GGGATGTAATGTACAACATGATAAATATAAAGAACACTGCTGTATGTTATATATAAAAGAGTAAATTATAAGAGGATCACAGGGAAAATTTTTTTCTATTTCCTTAATTTTATATTTATATGGAATGATGGATGTTCACTAAACTTGTGATAATCATTTTACGGTGTATGTAAATCAAGTCATTATCTGTATGTACACTTCAAACTTATATAGTGCTGTCAGTTCAGTTCAGTTCAGTCACTCAGTTGTGTCCGACACTTTGCGACGCCATGAACTGCAGCACGCCAGGCCTCCCTGTCCATCACCAACTCCCGGAGTCCACCCAAACCCATGTTCATTGAGTCAGTGATGCCATCCAACCATCTCATCCTCTGTCGTCCCCTTCTCCTCCTGCCCTCAATCTTTCCCAGCATCAGGGTCTTTTCAAATGAGTCAGTTCTTCGCATCAGGTGGCCGAAGTATTGGAGTTTCAGCTTCAACATCAGTCCTTCCAATGAACACCCAGGACTGATCTCCATTAGAATGGACTGGTTGGATCTCCTTGCAGTCCAATGGACTCTCAAGAGTCTTCTCCAACACCACAGTTCAAAAGCATGTTTTTCGGTGCCCAGCATTCTTTATAGTCGAAATCTCACATCCATACATGACTACTGGAAAAACCACAGCCTTGACTAGATGGACCTTTGTTGGAAAAGTAATGTCTCTGCTTTTTAATATGCTGTCTAGGTTGGTCATAACTTTCCTTCCAAGGAGTAAGCATCTTTTAATTTCATGGCTGCAGTCACCATCTGCAGTGATTTTGGAGCCCAGAAAAATAAAGTCAGCCACTGTTTTCACTGTTTCCCCATCTGTTTGCCATGAAGTGATGGAACCAGATGCCATGATCTTAGTTTTCTGAACACTGAGCTTTAAGCCAACTTTTTCACTCTCCTCTTTCACTTTCATCAAGAGACTCTTTAGTTCTTCTTCACTTTCTGCCATAAGGGTGGTGTCATCTGCATATCTGAGGTTATTGATATTCCTCCCAGCAATCTTGATTCCAGCTTGTGCTTCTTCCAGCTCAGCGTTTCTCATGATGTACTCTGCATATAAGTTAAATAAGCAGGGTGACAATATACAGCCTTGATGTACTCCTTTTCCTATTTGGAACCAGTCTGTTGTTCCATGTCCATTTCTAACTGTTGCTTCCTGACCTGCATACAGGTTTCTCAAGAGGCAGGTCAGGTGGTCTGGTATTCCTATCTCTTTCAGAATTTTCCATATATAGTGCTGTAAGTCAACTGTACCTCAATAAAACTGGAAGAAAAAGATTTTCTCTTCATTGGTTTGGAGCAATTTTATTACAATGTGCCTTTGTGTAGTATTTTTCATGCATCTTTTGCTGGTGTTCATTGAATTTCTTGGATCTGTTAGCTTATATTTTTCATTAATTTTGGAAAGTTTTAGGACTTTATTCTTTACATACTTTTTCTGTCCCCTCTGCTTTTCTTTGGGGTTTAGATTCCTGCGTATTAGGTCACACAAAATTGTTCCACAGCTCACATATGCTCTTTTTATTTTTAGAGATTCCTTTTCCCTTTTTCATTTTCTTAGTTTTTATTGCTAGGACTTTAAGTCATTAATGTTTTTCTTCTGAAATGTCTAGTCATTAATCCCATCGGGTGTGTTTTTCATCTTTAGAAATTCACTTTGGGTGAATATTCCATGTCTCTGATAACTTTTTTTAACATATGGAGTGCAGCTTTTAATAACTTTTTTTAGCATTATTCTCTCCTAATTCTAACATATGTGTCCATTCTGGGTCAATTTCCATTGATTGATTATTATGGGTCCTGTTTTCCTACTTAAAAAAAATAACATTCTTATTGAGATATAATTCACACACCACACAATACACGATTTAAAGTGTACAGTTAAATGTTCTTTTTAAAGGATACTTACAGGCTTGTGCAACCATCACCACAATCAGTTTTAGAACATTTTCAGCACCCCAAAACCCCATACTCCTTAGCAGTCATTGCCTTTTTTCCCCCAGTCATATCCTGCACCCCACCAGCCCTAGGCAACCACTAATCTATTTTGTATTTCACTTGCCTATTATGGACATTATCTACAAATGGGATCATACACCATGTGGTCCTTTGTGACTGGCTCTTTTCACTTAGCAAATGTTTTTCAAGGTTCTTCCACATTGTAGTATATACCTCTTCCTTCTTTTTATGCCTAGTCATTTTTTTTGGTGGGGGGTAACAGACATTGTGAATTTTACCTTATTAGGTATTAGGGTTTTATTATTATTATCCCTATGAATCTTCCTTATCTTTGTACTGAAACACAGTTACTTGGAAACAATTTGATTTTTCAGGTTCTTCCTTTAATGATTTATTAATTGGGTATGGAGTGGTGCCAAGTCCAGGGCTAATTATTCCCCACAACCTTCCTGTGTATTCCATGCCCTGTGAATTATGAGTTTTTCCAATTGACCTATGTGCCAGGCCTTTTTATTTTTGACGTGTACACACTGCTATATTTATTTATTATTTATTTATTTTTGGCTGCACTGGGTCTTCATTGCTGTGTGGGTTTTCTCTAGTTGCGGAGAGCAGGGGCTACTCTCTAGTTGTGGTGCACAGGCTTCTCATTGTGGAGGCTTCTCGTTGCAGAGTATGGACTCTAGGCGCACGGGCTTCAGTAGTTGCAGCACTTGAGAGTTGTGGTGCACGGGCTTAGTTGCTTCACAGCATGTGGAATCTTCCCAGACCAGAAATAGAACCCATGTCCCCTGCATTGGCAGGTGGGTTGTTACCCACTGGACGAACTAGGGAAATCCCAGGGGTTGTATCTGTAATACCATTTTAACATGGTATCAACAGAATTTGCCAGTGACAAAGGAGAATCAAGCATGATATGTCTGATCTTTGGCTTGCATGACAAACTTGGTGTAATGGTACCATTGGTTGAGATGAGGGTGACAGGAGGGTGTTTGAGTTAGGGAAATTCAAGAAATCTGTTTGGATGGGTTAAATCTGAGATGCCTTATGAGACATCCATGTGAAAATGTGCAACAAGCCATAGCATATACGAGTCTGGTGACATCTAGGCCAGAGGCCGAAATTAGTGAATCTTACAAATATTTGCAATAATTAAGGCTAGGAGACAAGATGAAGTCACCTAGGGACAAAAATATTGGCTATAAAAGCAAGGGGGCCAGGAGCATGGCCAAGGATACACCAATATTTGGAAACGATAAAAGTGGAGCAGTAGTCAGAGATACAGGAGAAAACCAAGAGAGTGAGGGCAAGAAACTGTGGAATATGCTGAGTGGTCACAGGAAGGGTTAGAAGTAACTGCCGTTTGGGAAGATTGTTAATCATCAGTAATCTGGTTAAGAGAAGACTCAGAGACAGGGCGTGATAGAAGCCAAACTGAATTAAGTCAAATATGCCTTAGCAAGTGTCTGATGGCCCACTGGCTAGGACTTGACGCTTTCACTGCTGGGGCCTAGGTTCAGTCCTTGGTCAGCGAACTAAGATCCTGCAATATGCCAGTGGCACGGCAGAAAAAAAAAAAAAAGTTAAATATGCTCTGGGTTGTGAGAAAGTGGAGACTGAGGAGAGCCAGAAGATTAGCTTTGTGGAGGAGCATAACAATGGAGTAATGCCTAGAGTAGTAGAAAGAAAGAAAGTGAAGTCGCTCAGTCATGTCCGACTCTTTGTGACCCCATGGACTGTAGCCTACCTGGGTCCTCTGTCCATGGGATTTTCCAGGCAAGAGTATTGGAGTGGGTTGCCAGTTCCTTCTCCAGGGGATCTTCCCCACCAAGGGATCGAACCCAGGTCTCCTGCATTGTGGGCAGACGCTTTAACCTCTGAGCCACCAGGGAAGCCCATAAAGTAGTATATGGGGCCAAAATTCACAGGTAAACATGCCTCTGGATGTTGACAACACAGTCCATCAAACAACCTAGATGGCTATCAGTAGGGGGAAAAAAAAGTGAAGTTGCTCAGTCGTGTCCGACTCTGCAACCCCATAGACTGTAGCCTACCAGGCTCCTCCGTCCATGGGATTTTCCAGGCAAGAATACTAGAGAGGGTTGCCAGTTCCTTCTCAAATCAGTAGGGGAACAGTGAACAATTATACATTTATTCCACGGAATACCATGAATCAATTAAAAAGGATACATTAAACCACTGTCTGTTATATATTAATAACTTTTGAAAGTATCAAAACAATACTTGAAAAAAGTAAATGATGGGTGGATTGTATCAATATCAAATGTATCAATATTCTGAGTGTAATATTTTACTATAGTTTGATGACACGTTACCTTTAGGGGGAAGTGTTTAAGTACATGGGATTCTGTATTATTTCTCAAAACTACACGTGAGTCCACATCTCAAAATTTAAAAGTTGAATAAAAAAATATTTCCAGTACATACATAATTGGGGTTTCTTCCCCCAACAGAGAACATTTATCTTGCCATCAAAAAAAATTTTTTCTTTTCACTTTGTGAATAAAACGGAGAGGTTAGGATGGGGAATCTCAACCTGGTTTCCCCTGGCTATAGGGATAGACAGCTTTGAAGGCTTCCAGAACCGCCCCCGCCTCAAGGGTCCTGGGTCGCCCCTCCCTAGGAGTGTACAGGAACTACAAATTGCTAACTGGGGCGGCCCCTCTAGCCCACCTCGGAGGTCCACGTCTTGTTAGCCCAGAAGATAACACTTCTAGCTGTCCGAGCTGGACCGAATTGAAGAATTTTCGCCCTTTTCCGCTCAGCGAGGGAAAGACTCTCGCCCACCCGTCCGCGGTTCTCTCAGACAGCCATGCCTTGGCTGAGCATCCTCTGCTTCCTGCGCCCTCCTGGGAGGACGCCACGCTCACTCGCATTGCTCCAATGACCCAGAAGCTGGGCTAGGAGGACTGGCCGCGTTTTCTGGGCAGGGTGAGTCATTTCCGGTCACAGGCTCCCTCCCCCGGAAGTGAGGCCTGATGTAAACACCAGAGCAGGGCGTCAAGGCCCGGGAGGTCAGAAAGCCGGGCCGCGGGCGGCACCGAGAACTGGAGCTGGGATCGGGGACGCACAGTGGTCAGGTCAGTGCAGGCGGCAGGGATCTGGGGCATGGTCCCAAAATTGGTTGCGGTCTCGGAGACAAAAGGGATTTTTGAGCAGGAGTTTTGGTTGATGGAAGGTATCTAGGACAAGCATCTTAAGTAGGTGCTGGCATTGGGAGGCGTATGAGGGTGGACTTGCACATAAGGGGTGGGGGAGCTATGTGTGAGGAATCCCTGGGCAGGGTTCTTGGGTGGCACAGGTCTTGGGATTGGGGGTCCCAAAGAAGAGGTCTTGGAAGTTTGGGGAATCTCCAACGAATGGGTCTTTGTGTGTGTGGAGGGAGCATTAGGGAGTCCAGTGGAGGTGGTATGAAGAGGTGAGGGGGACATTTGGAGGGTGGGAAGAGGGTGTGCCTGGGCAAAGATTTGGGGAAGATGGGTGTTTAAAGGGAGTATGGGGGCTCTAGGGCAAGAATATTAGGGGAATCTGGGGCGGGCATCTTGCTGGGGGGATTGAGTAGTCCCAGGTAGGAGTTTTGGAAAGTCTGTGTCCTGGGCAACGATCTCGAGGCAGTAGGGTCCCCTGGGGCAGGGTCTTGGGGAGAGGATAGGGAGTCTGGAGGAGGGATCTTAAGGGGTATGCAATTCCTGAGGGTAGGTCACAGCCAACCCATGTCAAAGTCAGGGATAGCAGAACACATGCAAGGGTATGTCCCAGGAGTGGGGCATCTGAGTGATAAGGGAATTCTGAAGTAGGGTCTTTAGGGCATATAGGGATCTGGGGGAAGGTCCAGGTTGTCCATGATCGGGCAGAAGTTAGCATGTCATAAGAGGGGTTGTCTGGAGGTAGGAACGGGATCCTGAAGGTATTTCGGGAAGCCTGTGAGGAAGGAAGGTGTGAGAGCTCAGGAGTGATAGAATAGGTTGGGGTAGAAGGACATAGAAGGAGAGATCCTCAGAATGGTGGACCAACCATAGGAGGTCTCAGGGCCAGGTCAGGGAGGTGCAGGAGGAGGTGGGTGCTTGAGCTCCCTTTCCCATTTATTGACAGGCAGACTTAGGTGCTAGGTCCAGGTGTAAGAAGAGAAGTGTAGGGGGTGGTTCCAGGCTATGTTGGGCACCAAGATCAGGATTGGCTGGGGATAAAGAGGAGACATCACTGAAATACCCCCTACCTCATTATTTCCTGAGAAATAGTCAGGGCCGGGGAGTACAGAGGAGGGGCAGGGGTGGTCGAGGTCAGGGTAGGCCCACAGAGTTGGGGTCAACCAAGTGTGAGAAGATGGGACTGTTCCTGGCCATGCTCCTTGGGGTCTTGGGAGCTCAGATGGAGACCCTAGGATTCTCCCCATGATTTTGTCTTCTCTGCAGTACTGCTGGGGTTAGGTAGCAGAGTGGAAGGAGGAAGAAGTAATCAGTTGAGGACAGGAGTTCTAGGACTCAGAGAACAGACCAAAGGACTCTTTCCAACCCTACCCCCATTTGTGTCCAGGGAAGTAATCCTGGACCATGACTCAGCAGCCACTTCGAGGCGTGACCAGTCTGCGTTTCAACCAAGACCAAAGTGAGAGAGGCTTGTGCCTGTGCCCTTTTTGGAGTGGGGGGAGGGAGAGAATGGCTACAGGTGGATGTTAAGCCCCTAGCTTCCCACTTGGGCATCCTTTGAGGCAGTCCGGATTCCTCCCATCCCCAGGCTGCTTTTGCTGTGCTATGGAGACAGGTGTGCGCATCTACAACGTGGAGCCATTGATGGAGAAGGGGCATCTGGGTGAGCTGTCGGTGGGGGAGGTGCAGTTGGCAGAAGGGATGGGTTGGGCATTGGCACCCACCCCTACTGACACCCTGGTCCTTGTCCAGACCATGAGCAGGTGGGCAGCATGGGCCTGGTGGAAATGCTGCACCGCTCCAACCTGCTGGCCCTGGTGGGCGGTGGTAGCAGTCCCAAGTTCTCAGAGATCTCAGGTAAGTGTCCTCATCCCATCCCACCCTTGGCCCAGATTCCCTAGAATCCTGGCCTCCCAGAAGCACTGGCAAATGAAGAGTAATTCAGAGTCACACAGTGAGGCTTACAAGTCCTGGATCTCATTGCTTGAGAAGCTTGGTGTTTTGTCTTCATTTAACAAACACTTGTTGAATGCCTCCTGTATGCCATGTCCTTACCTATAGAGCGCTTGCTGTGATCCTGGTGCTGTCCTAACCACTTTACATGTATTAACTCATTTAATACTCATAATAACTATGTGTGGTAGGAAGTATCATTATTCCCATTTTTACAGATAAAGAAACTGAGGCCCAAAGAGGTTAAGTGATTTATCCAAGGTCACACAATCAAATCTTGGGGCAGTCTCCCCAGTGCCCTCTTGCTTTGAGTCTCAAGCACCATCTTGTTTTAAGGGTTTTTGTTTATCCCACTGGGGCATGGCAAGAGAAGCCCTAGGATTCCTCACAGAAATCTTCTGGGGGTGTATGGACTGGGACCCTGGAGGCAGAAATGGTTACCAATGGGAAGTTCCAGGCCTGGGTATGAGTCCCTGCTTGGTTACTAATGGATTGTGAGGTCCTTGGCCAGATAGCCAACTCCTTTGAGCCTCAGCTTCCTCATCTGTAAATGAGTATAACCGTTTTAAAACCTGTCTCCTGAGGAATCACAAGTGGTCATGCTGTGTGAGGATCACATGGGGTGCTAGCAAAAGGTTAAACAAGTGGGTTGAGGTCCCATGGGGAGTAGGGGTAGGTCTTGTGTCACCAGGGCTGCCCCTCACCCTACATGGCCCCGACAACACACCCACCTGCCAAGCAGTGCTGATCTGGGACGATGCCCGGGAGGGCAAGGACTCCAAGGACAAGCTGGTGCTGGAGTTCACCTTCACCAAGCCAGTGCTGGCTGTGCGCATGCGCCATGACAAGTGAGCCTGAGGTGGACTGGGGGTGGGGGAGGTAGGAAGTCCCCCCAGCAGGTGAGAGGGTTCATCCTGCATGGGTACCCTGCCCTCTCTCACGACCATCCTGTGTTGTGTGATGCCCACAGAATCGTGATCGTGCTGAAGAACCGCATCTATGTATACTCCTTCCCTGACAATCCCCGAAAGCTGTTTGAATTTGATACCCGGGACAACCCCAAGGGTGAGAGGACCCTAAGATGCAGATGTAATGGCAGGAGGCAGTGGATGGGGAAGAGGGACATGCAGAAAGGAACTGGGAAAAAGAGGCAGGTGAGGGAGTCTTCATAGATATGCTCTGATGGGCTGAGACTCCCAGTGTATCCATCTTCCCATCCCTTAGCCAGTTCTCTCTCCCCACTCTTGGCCCTGTCCCACCCCTGGCTATCTGAGATCACAGAGCAAAAAGGCTCAGTAAGGACATTTGCGAGTATGCCAGGGATTCCTGGGCCTCCTGGGACTGCCACAAATGCATTGGGAGGTAGGTAATCTGCCTTGATGGTGGAGAGCACAGCCAAGGACAAGCCCCCTGTAGGTTCTGTGGGTAACATGTATCGTGGAAGGTTGAAGTCCAGCCTTTATCCAGTTCTGTCCATCTGAGACCCTGCCTGGCCCCATCATCCTCTTTACCAGCCCACCCTCCCTCACACCTTAGGGCTCTGTGACCTCTGCCCCAGCCTGGAGAAACAACTGCTAGTGTTTCCAGGACACAAGTGCGGGAGCCTACAACTTGTGGTGAGCTGTCCAGTGGGCAGGGATGGGTAGGTGGACTGGCTCTCCCTGTGGACTCTTGGCCACTTACCTCCTTACTACCTACTCTAAGCCTGAACTGCTCCTTCTGCCATAGGACCTGGCAAGCACAAAGCCTGGCACTTCATCTGCTCCGTTTACCATCAATGCACATCAGAGCGATGTGGCCTGTGTGTCTCTGAACCAGCCAGGCACGGTAGTGGCCTCGGCCTCTCAGAAGGGCACACTTATTCGCCTTTTTGACACACAGTCCAAGGAGAAACTGGTGGAATTGCGTCGAGGCACCGACCCTGCCACCCTCTACTGGTAAGCACAGGGCATGGGTGGTGGGCTCTTGACCCCATGCCCAGCATGACATGTGGGCATCACTGCTGGTCTGTCTTTCAGCATCAACTTTAGCCATGATTCCTCCTTCCTGTGTGCATCCAGTGATAAGGGTACAGTCCATATCTTTGCTCTCAAGGATACCCGCCTTAACCGCCGTTCTGCGTGAGTACCTCCTGCCCTGCCCTGCCTTACCCCCATCATCCTCCTGCACATATACCACACCTGAGCTTAGCCAGTATTGCCTGCAGGCTGGCTCGCGTGGGCAAGGTGGGGCCTATGATTGGGCAGTATGTGGACTCTCAGTGGAGCCTGGCGAGCTTCACCGTGCCTGCTGAGTCAGCCTGCATCTGTGCTTTTGGTCGAAATACTTCCAAGAATGTCAACTCTGTCATTGGTGAGTAGGAATAGCCCTTGACTGGGGGTACTGCATGGGCGGAGGCCTGCAAATTGGACCTGAAAGAATTTTAGGTCATGGGAGGCCTGAGGGAGCAAAATGGATGGGTCACTTCCATCATCAGTAAGAGTTGGCAAAGAGATGGGCAAAGGCCTGGAGGTAGACCCTAGGCTATGGGACACCTGAGAGAATTAGAGTGTGGCTTTGGCAGCCTCTAACCTTTTCCAATCCTCCCCTCTCTTCCAGCCATCTGTGTAGATGGGACCTTCCACAAATATGTCTTCACTCCGGATGGAAACTGCAACCGAGAGGCTTTCGACGTGTACCTTGACATCTGTGATGATGATGACTTTTAAGGACCCTGTGGGTTGTGCTAGGGATCTTCAATGGCAGATTGCAAAGCCTGTGTGGGGGTGGGAGTGCTGTGGAAGCGCCACTCAGGATGCATTAATGGAGTGGGTGCCCACTTTGCACTCTTAAGAGCAATGCCCAAACAGCTCAGTTGCCCCAAGCACTTCCTGATGACTGTGTGCCTGCAGGGCCAGGCCAGGGACCCAGGGAGACAGTGGACCCCCTGGAGCTCCCAGCCTGAAGAAAACTATGGACCCAGAGTGGGTACCCTAATCGAACCTGTGGGGATTTTTAAAAAACTTCCCAGAAAGAGATGCTCTCTGATGTGATGAATATAAATAAAAGGCCCTTAATAGTATTTATGACTGGACCTTGGGAGTGGGGACTAGAGAAAATGAGGCTGAAAAGGAGTTTCCTGAAAGGTGTGACCCTCTTGGACCTTGACGGGAAGGAAGTGGGATCTTGCTCAGGTTCTTCTGACAGTCTCTGCGTGTGCTTTTAAGATCTGGCTACTGGGGTGTAAGAACAGCCAGCATCTCCCCTGTGGCGCCCCCACGTGGGGGTGGATGAGAATGTCTCGCCCCATGGCGCAGACTTAATTTCCCGGCAGCCCCCGCTACCCTATAGTTCCGGTTTGTTGTTTGCACTTCCGGTCACGTGCACTGGTGCACATGCGCAGCTACTGGGTCGTCCTGGTAGCAGCTGCAGGGTACAGACTTCATTTCCCGGTGTGCCTCGTGTTGGCGCGGGGTGGTACGGGTGTTGTAGTCCGACCGCTTCTCTGGTCCAGCTACAACGACAGGCAGGATGTCGGAGGTGCGGCTGCCACCGCTACGTGCCTTGGACGACTTCGTTTTGGGGTCGGCGCGTCTGGTGGCCCCGGATCCTTGCGACCCGCAGCGATGGTGCCACCGCGTCATCAACAACCTCCTCTACTACCAAACCAACTACCTTATCTGCTTCGGCCTTGGTCTCGCTTTGGCCGGGTGAGGGAGGGAGGGAGGCGCCGGTTGGCCGGGGATGCCCACTGGCATGGAGGGTGGGCCCGCGGGATTTTTAGAGGGATGCAAGACCTTGAAGGGCGAATTCAGTAGTATGAGGAACTGAGGGGAAAATTGGGTGACAGAAGCTCTCGAAGAGGGCTGGGACTTTGCAAAGGTTTGGGGACAGGTTGGGATGGGAGGATCGGCTGGAATAGGTCCTGCGGGGGTAGGGTTAAATGTGGATCTGAAGATAAGGAGGGCCTGAAATTGGGACATGACTGCCTGAGGGGTGATGGGACCAGCTTTAGGTGGCCTTGAACAATTTACTGCAGAGACAGGGGCTGGACTTGGTCAAGTTGAAGAGTGGACTTGTGGAGGATCTGGACTTGGAACCTGGCTATAATTGGATTGCTCCAGGAGCAGGTACTAGTTGGGAAACTTGAGTCATGAGGAAGGACCCAAGGATGGAAGGCCTGAAACGAGGGACAGATGGAGAACCTGGAGGAAGGACTTGGTCAGGATTGGAAGTTAAGAGTGGTACTGAAAGCCTGGAAGGGGTTCTAGCAATGATGGAGGGATGAATCTGTAGGAAATGGGAGCCTGGAGGGGGAATTTAAAGGAAAGGAAGTCTGGAAGGAACTCTGGGCCTGGGGAGTGGGAAATGTATGGAAATAGGACCGGAAGAGGAATTTGCAAGGACTGGGCCTTTGCAAAGAGTGGGTTTGGGGTGCGGCTGGAGTGGGTCTTGCGGGGCGGGGGGGCAGGGTCAGAAGGAAAGAGCAGGGAAAGGCTGCGAGTCTGGGTGTGTGTGTGTGTGGAGGAGGGGGGTTGCAGGATGGGAGGGTCTGAAGCTGGAGATCTCAGGAAGATGGGACTGTAGGATTGATTTTAAAAAAAAGGATCCACAGCTGGAGGGTGGACCTCTTGGGAACAGGGCTGGCGGGAGTATTTGCCAAGCTGGAGGATCCAGAGTGGGGGTAGAGGTGGGAACAAACCAAAGCCATTGGGGCCCATCCAGGCTTTGGTGGACAGTGGTCTGGGAGGCCCTCTCCCCGCCTGCCCGGGGGCTAGCTTAGTTCCATTGTCCCCACAGGTACGTGCGGCCGCTGCACACCTTCCTAAGCGCGCTGGTAGTGGCGGTGGCCCTTGGCATGCTGGTGTGGGCGGCTGAGAATCGAGCCGCCGTGCGCCGCTGCCGTCGCAGCCACCCAGCCGCCTGCCTGGCCGCAGTGCTTGCCGTCGGCTTCCTCGTTCTCTGGGCCGCGGGCGGCGCTGGCACCTTCCTGCTCAGCATCGCCGGGCCAGTGCTTCGTGAGTCTTCACTACCCTGAGATAACCGGGAAGACAGCCAGCGCTCGCGAATGGCGCCAGGCCCGCCCTACCCCGGTTCTTGGGCTGAGAGGGGGCTGGGATACCCGGCAGGCAAGGCCACACCCCTCCTTTACAAAGCGCCTTCCCTGGCTTTGAGCCCGTCTCTGGGAACGCCCCTCTTACTACCCGCCTTTCTGGGCGTCACTGCTGGTCTGAAGTGCTTTCCGCCAGCCACGTCCCCATGGCTGTGCACCCTTCTGGCCACGACCCTGTTGTGAAACGTATTACTCCGCCATATTAGCAGGGTTCGGAGGCGACCTGGCTACCGACCATTCCGTTGGTCTGTCAGTGTTCCAGTTCCTTTCTCTGGCCCCCCATTAGCTAAAGGCAGATGTCCCATCCCACTGACCCCACTCCTCTCGGTATTGCCCACAGTGATCCTGGTGCATGCGTCACTGCGCCTGCGCAACCTCAAGAACAAGATTGAGAACAAGATCGAGAGCATTGGTCTCAAGCGGACACCAATGGGGCTGCTACTGGAGGCGCTGGGACAAGAACAGGAGGCTGGATCCTAGGGGCCTGGGATCTGTATCCAAAGGCGTGGAGAATGCCATCCCCACCCCAGCCCGAACCCAGAGCCCTTTCCCAGCCCTTAAAATAGGAGCCTCCCACCCAGTTCAAAAAATCAGACAACTGCAACCCTTTCCCCAGGTCCCAAACTGGGATATTCCCTCATACGCATCCCCACCTCCCATTTTAGGAAACCAGAGTCTTCCCAGCCCTGAACTTGGACCCAGAGATACATCCGGCCCAAAACTGAGGGTTGGAGACCAGAGCATCCATAGTCAACCTCAAACTCTAGGCCCACACCCCCAACCCCAATCTGGGACCCGTCTATCCTCCATGTTCAGTCCCAAAGCTGGGGTCTGGGACCAAGGCATTCTCAGATCCTGAACCCTGAACCAAGGCTTTTCCAGACCCAACCCCAGCTTTGAACCTAGGATCCAAGTGTTCTCAACCCCCATCAGGGTAGAGGATTCAGGTATCCTGACCCCATTGAACCCTTGGTCCCAGGTGACCCCAACACTCACCAATCCCACTTGTCTCCCTCCAGCTCTTAGGAGCTCTGCCACCCCCCAAAAAAATTCCACAGTGACAAGGACCAAGGGGTGAGGTGGGGTGGTGTGGGGGTAGCCCTAACCAGGAATGGGCCATATACAGCAGTATTGCTGCAACAATAAAGGCTGTTGCATTGCTCACGCCAATTCGGGCCTCTTGGGTAGTCTGTGTGTTTCAATGGCCAGATGCTTTTCAATTCTGCTGGAGACTTTTCTGACTGAGTCTGTCATATATGTGAGCTGAAAACACTAGCTTTCAGTTACTTTCTCAAATCTATTACCTCTGGAGTGGTGGGTTTTTTCTTTTTTCAGTGCTGAGCAGCTTGTGAGATCTTAATTCCCTGAGCAGGGGTTGAACTTGGCCCTCCAGCAGTGAAAGTGCAGAGCCCTAACCACTGTTCCACCAGGGAATCCCTAGAATGGCATTAACACACAAGGGAGTTAAGGGCAAGGAGTGTTTGCTGCCATCATTTGCATCTCTAAGGGCTCTTGCCTAGGAATCTTGGCATGGACAGGTGAAGAAGTTGCCCCACATCACAAAGCAAATAAAACCAAAGCAGATTACGTTATCAAAGGCTGTTTCCACAGTGCTATATATATATTTTTTTTCTTGTTAAAATATGTCATCTTAGGTAAAGATGTGGGCCCCCAAGGCAAGGCAGATAGGGAAGCAATACATGGGTTTAGTTTACACATTTATTATAGAAATCCCCTTCCAATGTGGGTAGTGTTTTGGGTCCAGATCCATTGGTACAAAAAGAAAAGTTTTCACACCAGCTAAAGGGGTAGAGGAACCCCCAGCTTCAGAAAGTCACAGAAAGGTATCATAGAAAACACAGCTTGTGTGGATTTTTTAAAAAGTGGTGGATGGAAGGAAAGCCAGGGAAGATGTGATGGAGCCAGTGGCAAGACGTCACTTGAGGATTTCATTGGCATCTACTAGATGCTAGGTTCCACCACCGCAGCATTCTAGGACACACAACACCCAATGGCTCTGCCCTTTGGTCCTCCTGTGGGGCTTCCCAATTGGGAAGAGGGCAGAGGCTGCCACCAAAGGCTGAGCCATCTGATTCTGTGGGCAGAGGCAGCGGGCACAGACAGACAGGGTCTGGGGCACTTGCAGGCACCCCTGGGGAAGGGAAAATGAACCCAAGCCTCCCACCCAGACTTCAGTCCTTCCACATGTGGGCAGAGACTTCATTCCTTCCAAATGTGGGCACCTCTGCCAAGAAAAAATTGTCCCAGTGGGTGGGTGGCAGGGAGTTCTGTTCACATCAGTCTCCTGACTGCCCTAAATTGGGCCTCAAGACCCTATCTGGTCCATTTTGTGGAGGGGGTTCCTGAATGGAGCAGGCTGGGCACAGGGACAGGAATGAACCCAACCAGGATGAGATCACAGTTTCCCTTTTTATAAAATGTCTAGTGTTGGGGGAAGACAGTGAATACCTAAATCACAACTGTAAACAGAAATGGAGGAAGGGGCTTGGAGTCTCCATTACATCACCTCCTCTCTTTTAAGCTGGCGGAGGGCCCCCAGTCCCCAGCACAGCATGAAAGGAGATACAGGGTGTCAGACAACCGTTATGGGCCCACGGGGAGCCAGGGGCCTTGGAAGATCAGGTTGGTGCCCACCTCCAGGAGTGACAGCAACCCTATCCCAGGGCTCAGCGAGGTCAGATGTGCGCTCCCCAAACTGGAGTCTTGCCCAGGCCAATAAGGGGCATGTCAGAAGGGGTCAGACCAGTGTTCCTGGGGTCTGGGGGTCAGAACCGGAGGACTGCTCCCCCTCTAGCGTCAGGTCACTTAAACGAGCGCTCAGCTCCGGGGGGTACAGGAAGTCCGCGTAGTATCTTTAGAAGGGGTAGCAGGAATCCAGAAGACAGGGTGGGAAGACCGGACAGAGGAAAAGACGGACAAGACACAGAAAGAGGAAAAGAGGCTCGTTAAAGAGGTGGAAGCAGGCACAGGAGAGTACCTTTAGGCTCGCAGGTGCGGGGCGTGGTGAAAAGAGGAAGAGAAAGGTGAGGGGCACAGGACAACCCTTCCTCCCAGCACCCTAGTTTCAAGGCTCATTTTCAGCTGACATGCACTGGCTGTTCACCTCTTACAACTCTTGAATAGTTCGGTGAAGAACTGCTGCTACCGGGGCCCAAGATACCCCTCCGCCGAGACCCCACAGATTAATGCGGGTCAGGCAGGCCCCAGGGACCACAGGCCAAGGCTGCAGCTACTTCTTTCGTGGTCCCTGTCATTAGCTACCATGACTAGCTGCTCCCTGGCCTGGACACCTTTGCCATCTGCCTCAAGAGACCCCTACCCATCAGTAAAAACACCCCCCATACCTGCCGGAGACAGGGGGCGCCGTGAAACTCCTCGAGTGCGGGAGCGGCGCCTGGCTGGGGGCCCCGTACAGTGCCTGGCCCACCTCATAGCAGCGGGCATGGAGGAAGGGCGGGTGCTGCGGGCCCATGTGGGGGAGCCCAGGCCGGCGCTGGGGCCCCGAGGCCAGTCCCGAGTTCCGGATGTACCAGTCCCGCAGCCCCTCCAGGGCAAGGTTCTTGTGGCCGCTGCGCTCACCGGCCGGGGGGATACGGGCGGGTGGGGGCATCCACAGCAGAGGGTTGGGATGCGCCTCCAGGCCCTCGGCGGCCTCCGGGGGCAGACCACAGGGCTTGGTGCGGGGGGCACGACTATGGGGGTCCTTGCTGCGGAGGAGGGGGCTGTTGCCGTCAGCTGCATACACAGGCGGTGGGCCTGGGAGCATGGTGACGAGCCCATCCCGGCGGGAGAGGGGTCCTGGAACCTCAGCTGTGGGCAGCAGCTCCCCCCAGCCTGTCCCGCCGCCCCCGCGAGGCAGGCCCCGGTCCAGGGAATAGTCCAAGAGGAAGTCCCCACACACGGGTGGGAGCCGGGGGGCCCCGCGGGAGGCCGGCGCGGCTGAGCTGGGCCGGGCAGCGCGGGGAGGGTCTGGGAGGCCAGCAGTGCGGGAGGAGAAGGCGGGGATTGGCTGGGGGCGCTCATATAGCACCTCACTGCTCTTGCAGACTGGGGGACCGGTGGCAGGGGGAACCAGAGGTGCCGGCGGGGAGCCAGCTCCCCCACCCGCTGCCCGGTCCACCAGCAGGGCCTCGGAGCTATTGCTGCGGCGGGTGCGAGCTGCGAAGAGGGAGGTGCGGTCGGAGACAGGGTCCACCCGTGGGAAGCCCATCTGGGAGTCCTGGCTGCTGGACCACTGGCGAGAATGGAGGCCTTCGGGTCTAGGGGCACAGAGGTGGGGGTGATAGGAAAAGGGTCAGAAATATCAGGCAGATGGGATGAATACCCTCCACCTCCCCCCACCAACACATGCCTCTCTCTGGGCCTACATTTTCACACTCCAAAACGGGCCCCGGACTAGAAATGGGACTAGAAATGGGGTGTAAAGGCGTTAGGGAGTGGCACATAAAGAGCAGCAGAGGTCCTAGCCAGGACTGGGGAGCAGAGGGGTTGAAAATGTATGGGGTGCCTGGGGCTGTTAGCTCCGAGGGAGATGGAAGCAAGGGGCTCCAGAGGAAATGCTAGCAGGGGAGGACACTATTCATAGAATGCAAGCGTCACAAGGATGGGGACTTTTGTTCACAGCCTGGAAAAAGTAGGCACTTGGTAAGTATGTATTTGTTTAAAGACTAGGAGACTATCATGGTTAAAAGCACGGACTCTTGAGTCAAATTTGTCTGGGTTCAAATACCGAGTCTTTGGTTTACCAACAAGTTAATTAACCTGTGTCTCAGGTTTCTTATCTCTAAAATGAGAATAATGGCATCTACCTCATAGGGATGTTGTGATAACTAAATGAGTTTGATACCAAGTAAAGGACTGATTCCTAGCAGATGGTAGGAATGTAGCACATGTTAACCAGAACTCATTTATGCCTACAGCCTCTTCCAGAAACAGATATTGATATGCCTGTTTCACAAATGAGGAGACCAAGATTCAGAGAAGGGAAATGACTTGCCCAAAATGCACAGAAAAGCCCATACTCAAACTTTGATGCTTCTGCCCCAAATCCCCACCCTCTTTCTCCACCAAGACAACTCCTATTCACCTTTCAAAGCCCAGCCTTTCTTTTCTTTTTTTGGTCAATTAAAAAATTTATTTATCATGTGATGTTACACATACATATGTATGGAATATTCCAAAAGATATTTTACCTATATTTCTTTATCATGTAATAGGATGCATTTTGAACAAAAGTTCTAAAGCATAAATAAAATTCTTGCTTTTTCATACAACCTACACAGAAAATCAGAATAAAACTGATGGATTCAAAGCCCAATCTTTCATGTCCTACACTCTTGGAATCCAAATACTCTCCCCAGTACCCCCTGTGAGAACTACCAGTTCCCTCCTCTGGTCCTCAAACTCACCCTTAGAGTCCACTTACTTGCAGAGCTGGGGGCCAGCGCCCCGGGTGAGGACGGGAGTAGCAGGCACACTTCGCCCCTCAAAACTGGAGGCACTCCTGGGCAGTGAGCGTGTAGGGCTAGACAGAGACATGCGGGCCCAGGGTGGGGGTGGGGGCCAGGTTAGAGACCGTACCTCCCAGCAGGCCCTCCTGCCCAGCCAGGCTCAGCCCCCACTCCTAGCTCTGTGGAAGGAGTGGAGGGGCTCACCCTCACCTGGTGGGGCTGGCCACAGAGTTTCGCCGGCCCTTCAGATCCCCATAAAGATCTGATGGGGGTGGTTTCCATGGGGTTCGCCGCTCAGGGCTGCCCCCAGAGACTGCCCGCAGTTGGTCCCAGGCCTTGGGCGGTGAGGGGCGCTCAGCCAGAGGGAAGCAGCCACGGGGCTCCTCTGAGGGGAAGGGAGAAAATGGTGGAGGGGGGGTTCAATGGGAGGGTTGTGGACAAAGCAAAAGGCAGGGGCTAGGGAGGTAGGGAGGTGCAGAGGGCTAAGCAGGGTAGGACAGGTGGAGGAGGAACCAAGGGAGGAGGGCAGGAACTGGGGCTGATGGGAGGGACAGGGGGAAGGCGGTGAAGTGAGGAAGATGGGGGCTCCACCAGAGGGTGGGGTGTGGCTAAAGAGGAGCTGAAGAGGAAGGGCAGGGGCGATGCATCAAAGAACGGGAGAATTTAGGGGACAAGGGTTCTCACCATTATCATGGCTGGCCCCAGACTCTGAGAGGGAGCTGCTCTCCGAGTGCAGAACTACGTCCTCTACAGGTGAAAAGGGGAAACCCAGGCTGATCAATGCAAGGCCTGGGTGCCACCCCCTTACACCACTGGACCGTCTCCTCCCCACCTGGTACACTTGCCAAGAATCCACCTTTACCTAAATCCAAGACCACCAGGGGCTTAGTCCCTCACTTTTTTTTTTTTTTTGGCTACACTGAGTGGCATGAGGGATCTTAGTTGTTGTGACAGAGATCAAAACTGTGCCCCCTGCAGTGGAAGTGCAGAGCCTTAACCACTGGACTGCCAGGAAAGCCCCTGTCCCTCACTTTCCTGAGGCCTGTTCCCAATGTCCCCACCCTTGCCTGGGAGCAGTCTACAACATTTCCTCTCACAGCTAGGGCCCCCTAAGTCCTGCCTACCTCCCCCAGTCTTCACTGGCTGCTCATCCACTCCACCCCTACCAGGTCCCTTAGCCAGTGCCCACCTTCCCGCTCTCGTCGGTGGGATAACAGGGCCTGGCTCACCATGGCTGAGCTGAGCGAGGCGCGTGCCCAGGCAGACTCCCTGGGTGGTGACAACGGCTCCTCCGGTGGACAGGGGCAGGGGCTGGGATGGCGGGAGCCCCGAGAGGCCAAGGCGGGCCCGGACCTCCCCAAGCTGCTCCTCCAGCTCGTGCAACCTCCGAAGGGCATCTGCCTGGACTTGGCGCCGGCGCCGGCGCTGCTCGGCACTGAGCTCGGGAGCCAAGGCCAGGCGGCGGGCAGCTGCGGCGATCTGCTGCTGCACAGACACCTCCCGCTCCAGGGCCTCAAGCGCCAGCTCCTGCAGGGCCCACCCAAGAGGGTGTGACAGGACCGGATGTTGGAAATGGAAATGCCAGGCGCCAGGACCAGGCGGTGTCAGAGCCTGTATAGGCTGGGGGCGGTGCCTGCCCCTCCTTGGGGCGCCCACTGTTCCTCTGGGGGCAAGGTTTGTGTGCATTAGAGCTGCACCTGCTCATCTTTCTGGGGGCTTATCCTGACAGTTAGGGACCAGCATCTTCTCTCAGACCTGGAAGCCACCTCCCTTAAGCTCCTTCCCTCCCCACCTTGAAAGTGAAAGTGAAAGGTGCTCAGTTGCGTCCCACTCTGTGACCCCATGGACTGTAGCCCACCAGGCCCCTCTGTCCATGGGATTCTCCAGGCAAGAATACTGGAGTGAGTAGCCGTTCCCTTCTCCAGGGGATCTTCCCCATCCAGGGATGGAAACCAGGTCTCCCACATTGCAGGTGGATTCTGAGCCACCAGGGAAGCCTTCCCACCTTAGTCTCTCCTTTCCCTGGCCACAAGCCCCTCTTGGCTTCCTCCGGGATCCTGTCCCACCCCCACCTTGCTCGGCGTGCCCATCAGCTCACCTCGGCGGGGCACAGGGAGTGGTGTGCTGGGTTGGGGTGCGGTGGAGGGTAGGCGCGGGCTGCAGGGGGGCGCCGGCGGACCAACTGGGGTCGTTCACCAGGCTCCAGTGGGCACTCGGGGGGCAATTGGCCAGTCAGCTCCTGGGTGGGGTCAGGGGTTGGAGACTACCAAGGGTTAGTTGGGGGAATGGGGCAAAGCAGTCATGACACATGAAGGTACAGAAGTCCGACTAGGAGCCCAGCCCTGCTCAGAGCCCACACCTGTTATTTCTCTTCCTCCTCCTAATTCTCCACCAGGTGGGTGTGTGACACACTCTCTGCCCCTCCGTGGCCCAAAGCCCAGGGCAGGTGGGCATGGGAAGCAGGGAAGCCTGCTTTGGAATCCAGAATCCCAGTTTTTATAAAGGTGACACCATCTGTATACTATATATTATATGACACTCCCTTCAGGGCCTAGGCTGCATGCTCTGAACTGCATTACCGTTTCTGGCAAACTGTGTGGACATTTGCAGCAAGAGAGGTAAATCGAAACTATAAATCAGCCCATTCACTTCTGGTCAGGTTTTACTGCCACGTTTGGGAAATAACTTGTCTTTGAGGCTTTTCTTCTTCTTCTTTTTTTTGGATTTCAAATTGTTGATAGGGGACTGTGGTAAAATATTACCGTGTTCGAAGACATCCAAGCTGAGCTTTGGGGAATCTCCAGCTCAGACAAGTGGCTCAGTCTGCCTACCTCGTCCCTGCTCCTCACCTCCACCTCCCCCCACCCCCTCCATCCCCTCCCCCCACCACAGACGCCCTTAGATTCAGGCCCTCACCGCCTCCTGAAGACACACTTTCCGCAGCTCCTGAAGTTTCAGGCTCAGGGCCTCCTGCAGGGCCCGCTGCCGGTCGAGCAGACTCCGTAGACGCTCTGACTTCATCTGGGGGGCAGCCTCTCCAAACAGGGCAGCTGGACACAGAGGGAGTGAAGATCAGGGGGTGGGGGGGGGCATCCTGGAGCAGCTGTGGGGTCAGGGCCCACTCTTTCCCACACAGGCGAGTGGTAACTCAGAGCAGGGGAGGAGGCAGCAGGAGGGGGAACCAGACACCGACCTGAGGCATTGAAGGTGGGAGAGCTGATCAGCTGACCTTTGACTTCCATCCTGAAGCTGTCAGGATGCCGTGACTGATGGCTGGACAAGGCCTAGCAGTGATGCAGGGGAGCCACTGGGGATCATCCAGCATGCACCCCCACCCTCCACCCCTACCCAGGTTCCCGTGCCCCAGCTGCGAATAAGGAGGACCCTGACCCCACCCACCTGCTTGGGCTGCCCTCTCAGATTCTGTGCCAATGTCAAGGCCCGGGTACCTTGGTTCCCTTCCCATTGAGTGGGAGCACAGCAAGTGGGGAGCTGGGCGGACTTACAACACCTCAGAGGCCCATGGGCCACCGTCAGGAGTCTTGCCTGGGAAAGGAGAATTAACAGTACAGATACAACCAACTAGAACAACAGTGGGCCTTTATTAACCACCTGGGGGCCTGGAAGAGTTACCTTATATGTCACATTTAATCCTCACAACTACCCTGTGATGGCAATTTCTGTGATCATCATTACCTCCATTTTAGAGATGAGAGTAAGACACAAGAGATGAAATAATCTGCCTACGGCTAAGGATGCAGCCAGGCCCACCCTCTGGTCCAACACTCTCCCTCCCTGGAGGTGCTGAACCTCACGAATTCCTCATAACCTCTCTGCCCATCAGGGTTCCAGGCCTTTGCGCAGGCTGCGGCTGCTGTCTGGAGTGCACTTTCCCCTCTGGCCACTCCAGCCCCTGGTTCTCTCTTATATTCTGGGGCTTCAGTGTGACTTCCAGAGGTGGGCCCCCACACTATGTCAAGACTGTGCCTCCCTTGTATCTTTATGAGAACAGAAAATGTATCAGTATCTCTGGCATTCAGAATACTTCCGGGTACACGGCAAGTGCTCAGGGAGTGTCTGCTGGGTGAATAAATGAATGACTGCAAGGTCTGTGAGTTGCTCCTTGTCCCAACTCCATCCTGTGGCCCTGGTGCAGCAGCAAAAGCGTTCCCTTGGCCTCAGGACCCATCCAGCCCCACCCAGCATGCCAGCCTGTCCCGCACAGGCATAGGGAAGTCACCCTGCCAGGACTGGGAGTGGCAAAGTCCACAGCTGCAGATAACAAGCGACTGCCTCCTTCTCTGGAGGAGAAGGAGCTCCATGGCTGACCATGGAGCTGCCCTTGGCTGGTTGCCAGGCCTGCCCTCATCCCTTCCTCTGGAGTTTGCTCCCTCCCTCCCACAGCCTGCTCAGTCCCCAGCTGGGCAGCTAGGTGACATCACCTCCCACCACCTGGTCTGACCTCGGCAGCAGGCAACTGGGAGGACCTCCTGAGGCTACGGAGGTTCCATCTCTACCTGCCTCCGCCGTCCCCAGCTTGTCATTACGTGGTGGCCGGGTGTGGAGAAGACCCAGGCAGCATTGGTGGGGTGGGTTCAAGCCCCTTCCCCATGTGTATCTTGGAGTACATGGCCAAGCTGCTAATAGGGTGCCAGCAGTTTTTCAGCGGGCCTCTCACCCACCTCTTGGGGACTATGCTCCTCCAACAAAGCAGGGGTTCCTCATCCTCAAAATCAGGGGTGGGGTCAGTCCCTAAAGCTATTTTGCACCTCCAGGCAACAGCCACCTTCCAAGGTCTGACACTGTCTGGCATGGCAGGCTTTCCTTGAGGTCCCAGCTTCGATTCCTCTGCTCCTTGGCTCCAGGGGTTCCTTCTTCCCCAGCTCCCATTTGGGTTTGAGGAGGGCTCCCCTAAACCTTCCTTAACCCCAACAGGAGCTTCAACTCCTCCCCAATGGGCCCGTTCACCAGGATCACTCCTACATCCCACACTGGGCTGCTTCATCTTCCTTCCATCTCCCTCTGCCTTCCTTCCCTGGGAGCTTGTAGAGCTTGTGGCATCCTGGAAGTCCACACGGGGTCCAGACAGGAACCCCAACTCCACACCCTGTCAGCCTGACTTCAGGGACATAGCTAGGGCCTGAGTCATGGGGTCATCAGGCAGGTTAGACACAGGTCAACGCCCCACACCCCCACACTCTCACACCCGCTCCCAAGCCTCTGCCTCCACTCGCCTACCCTCTACACACTGGCCTGGGGGCCTGGGGCAGCCTGGTTCCCACCCAAGGATGGTGAGAAAGAGGGGATCCCAGCAGTTCCCTCCCCAACACACTCCTAACCAGCCCCTGGGTCTCCCCACTGGTGACCCTGTGTCCCTGTCCTCTCTGAGGATGGGCTGCAGCGAAAGAGCTGCAAAGGGCCCCCCCACACACACCCAAAGGCGGCGGGCCCAGCAGGTTTTTCAGGTCTGCCCTTCTGACACCACAGCGGAGAAAGAAATTCCTGGCTGTAATGACTGTTTACAACCAAGACACCTCACCTGGGTGGCACCCCAACACCCCAGTGGGACCCCCATTTCTACATACTGCCATCTCTGGAGCAAATGACAACTCCTGATGTATTGGACTGTTCCCCACACTGCCCGAGAGGATCCCCTGGGGCCCCCTCTAGGGGAACAGATAGGGGTGGTGGGCAGACAGGTGTGGAAGGCAGTTTCTCAAAACCCCAGTCTATGCTTTCCTAGGGGGCTGAGCCCTGGGTTGAAGGAGGGCAGGGGCTATCCCAGCAGTGGAGGAAACGGACAGGAAGTAGGGGGGGAGTGGAGAAGGGGCACTTTTCTGCTAATAGGGTGCCAGCCTCTATTCTCCCCCAACCCTTCCCCTCATCCACTTCCAGCAAGGAACTGGCTTTATGCCAAGAAAGGAAATTGGACATTTTAGGCTTTGCCCCTTTAGCCAGGCCCTCCTTCCTGGTCGTGCCTCTCACACAAACCTTGCTCTCTCTGGCAGGGAACTTCAGGATACCCATGCCCTTCTCCCCTCACCCCTTGCCCCTGGTCCCACTGCTCCCGGGTGCTCACCAGTCAGAGAGGTGCTGTGGGGTGGCCTCAGGTACCTCAAAAAAAAAAAGTTGCTTCGACCAGGCCCTGATCCCGCTGGTAGTGGCAATAAGTGGTGAGCCCAGTGGCGTATGTCTAGGCCACCTCCCACTAGGTAATGGCCCTGCCTACCTGGCCAGGGACTGGCCCAGCCCATACCTTTTAACCCTTGCCTGCCTGACACCAGGGCTTGGGTCACCCTTAAGAGCTGTCTTGGAGTCATGTCTCCCCCGGGAGTCCAGCATGGCCAAGAAGAGAGCCTGGACCTCCCCGCTTACCCTGTATACCTAGCAGAGGACCAAGGAGGAAGGGCTGATAGTCATGGGAGTGGTAGCTGCTTCTGGCACTGCCCAAGTGACCAGATTTCAACCTTGCCCACCCTAGGAGCCAAAGGCTGGAGGTCTGGGGAGAGGCTAAGCACATGGAAGGACTTGGGTGTACACTGGGTGTGTGTCTCTTGTGGCAGCACCCATCACTTTCTGGAGACCCTTTACCCTTTCCTCCCAAGGCGAGGCAGGTGTGGGAGAAGGTCAGAAAGCAATTCCCACCCTCGTTAAGGTAACAGTTTCCCAAAGTGGGACAAACGAGGTCCACTTTTCTAAGACAGACCATGTCTCAGGACTCTACAACCTTCTGCAGCGTCACAAGAAATCATCCTAGCAAAGGGCAGAAACACACCAGTGGTTTAACCATCACCCCCCCAGACCCCTACACACCCGAGAGGATGGCACAGACCCAGCTCCACAGAGCCAGCTTGGAGAGATGAGAGCGGGGGGGCCCCCACACACAGGTGAAGAGGCCCAACTCTGATCACAGAGGCATTAGAGCAGCTACAATCAGAACTGCAGGGGCGGGGTGCTGGATTGCAGGTTGACAGAGGCAACTCCGGCAGGGGAGGAGGAGTGGGGGTGGTTCACGCTTCATAACCAGGCTGGGTCTCCCCCACCCTCTGGGGCATTTCTGGCCGAGAGTCAAGGAAATGGGAGGTTATCAGTCTCTGCGATGGACCAGACCAATGGACCGACTGTTTCCCCTACACCACCACCTGGGCTTTGGGCCTGCCCCGACACACCCCACACACATCCTGATCTCCATTAGGGACCATCTGCTCTGTGACCTCAGGGCCCAAGCCCAGCCCAGGCTCCAACAGCAGCCCATGTCCTGATGTGAAAGAGCGGAGTGAGGAAAGCTCCCTCCCCACTTGACAGGTGGGCCAAGGCTGGAAAGGAACTTGCTCTGTATCAGCAACGCCCCATGTGCATGCTACAGGCCTCCTGCTATCCTGCCCACCTTTCTTCCTGGCTGTGAGATTTCCGGCATGGGCCACAAACGCCACTTTCATCACCCCCCTTCTCACTCCCTTCACTGCCTGGGGCTGATGGAGGCAGAAGCCACAAGCTGGGCAGCTGGGTGTTGGTGGGGAGTGTCCTCTCAGCCATGGCTCCCCCACCCCCCGTCTTGTGAGACACCAAGGATGCTCGGAAGGGGGATGTTTATAAAATCAGGGCTGAGAGGGACAGCGTATCTGGCCGGAGATGCAGACTGAGTCTCAAGGCTTAGGTATCCACATCTGGAAAACAGGTAAATGGCGCAAACACAACGGAGGCCAAAATAACTTTGGAAGACACTGCAAAATGCAAGGAAACTCACACCATGTCATTCACAATTGCTAATAACTACATAATAAACTTAGGCAGAGGTGGGTTGGGGCGAGAGCAAGGAGGGAAGAGCAGGTAACTGGGGCTCTTGGGAGAGGCAGGACAGAGTCACCCACACACATCATTGGCCTGGTCCATGACTTTTAACAGCCCCCACAAGACAAAGATGGGCACAATAAAGGACAGAAATGGCATGGACCTAACAAAAGCAGAAGATATTAAGAAGAGGGGGAAAGAATACACATTAGAACTATACAAAAAAGATCTTCAGGACCCAGATAATCAAGATGGTGTGATCATTCACCTAGAGCCAGACATCCTGGAATGTGAAGTCAAGTGGGCCTTAAAAAGCATCACTACGAAAAAGCTAGTGGAGGTGATGGAATTCCAGTTGAGTTATTTCAAATCCTACAAGATGATGCTGTGAAAAGTGCTGCACTCAATATGCCAGCAAATTTGGAAAATTCAGCAGTGGTCACAGGACTAGAAAAGGTCAGTTTTCATTCCAATCCCAAAGAAAGGCAATGCCAAAGAATGCTCAAACCACCACACTACCTCATCTCACATGCTAGCAAAGCAATGCTCAAAATTCTCCAAGCTGGGCTTCAGCAGTAGATGAACCATAAACTTCCAGGTGCTCAAGCTGGATTTAGAAAAGGCAGACGAACCAGAGATCAAATTGCCAAAATCTGCTGGATCAAGAAAAAGCAAGAGAGTTCCAGAAAAACATCTATTTCTGCTTTATTGACTATGCCAAAGCCTTTGACTGTGTGGATCACAACAAACTGTGGAAAATTCTTCAAGAGATGGGAATATCAGACCACCTGACCTGCCTCCTGAGAAATCTATATGCAGGTCAGGAAGCAACAGTTAGAACTGGATATAGAACAACTGGCTGGTTCCAAATCAGGAAAGGAGTCTGTCAAGGCTGTACATTGTCACCCTGCTTATTTAACTTATATGCAGAGTACATCATGAGAAATGCTGGACTGGATGAAGTAAAAGCTGGAATCAAGATTGCCTGGAGAAATATTAATAACCTCTGATATGCAGATGACACCACAATTATGGCAAAAGCGAGGAAGAACTAAAGAGCCTCTTGATGAAAGTGAAAGAGGAGCGTGAAAAAGTTGACTTAAAACTCAACATTCAGAAAACTAAGATCATGGCATCTGGTTCCATCACTTCATGGGAAATAGATGGGGAAACAATGGAAACAGTGACAGACTTTATTTTTGGGGGCTCCAAAATCACTGCAGAAGGTGACTGCAGCCATGAAATTAAAAGACGCTTGCTCCTTGGAAGAAAAGTTATGACCAACCTAGACAGCATATTAAAAAGCAGAGACATTACTTTGCCAACAAAGGTCAGTCTAGTCAAAGGTTTGGTTTTTCCAGTAGTCATGTATGGATGTGAGAGTTGGACTATAACGAAAGCTGAGCACCAAAGAACTGATGCTTTTGAACCGTGGTGTTGCAGAAGACTCTTGAGAGTCCCCTGGACTGCAAGGAGGTCCAACCAGTCCATCCTAAAGGAAATCAGTCCTGAATATTCATTGGAAGGACTGATGCTGAAGCTGAAACTCCAATACTTTGGCCACCTGATGCAAAGAGCTGACTCACTGGAAAAGACCCTGATGCTGGGAAAGATTGGAGGTGGGAGAAGGGGATGACAGAGGATGAGATGGTTGGATGGCATCACCGACTCAATGGACATGAGTTTGCGTAAGCTCTGGGAGTTGGTGATGGACTGGGAAGCCTGGCCTGCTGCAGTCCCTGGGGTCGCAAAGAGTCAGACACGACTGAGCAACTGAACTGAACTGAGAAGACAACCACCTCTAAGCCACACCAAAGCGGGGACCTGAGCCTCCTGTGGCCTCTTCCTGTAGGGCTAGCAAGTGGTGGGTCTGGGATTCAACTCATCTCTGCCACTGCCTGGCTGTGTGACTGCTTGGGCAAGTCACTCAGCTTCTCTGTAACTCAACATCTTCATCTGTAAAATGGGGGTGATGACAGCAGTATATAACTCACAGGGTGATTGTAAGCATGACATGAGCTAAGACATCCAAAGCTTGCTTGGGACAGTTTAGGACAGCCTGGCCCATGGTAAGCGGTTAATATGCACATGTAATATGTCATACATAATTGTTTCTTCCCAGTCCAAACTCTGGAATCAAATACACACACACACACACACACACACACTTCAGCCTCAAAACCCTCCCTACTTGCTACCCAGATATAGAACCCTCTCTACTTGCCAAACGAGACATATTTGAAACAGAGCTGTTTTTCCTCATTATCCAGCCTCTCCCTACTCAACATCAAAAATGTAGGAACCAAATATATTCAGAAAAATTGTCTGAACTCTCACTATCCAAATACAGGAAGTGAATGGACCTTGATACATTTCTGAGATAGGACTCAATCTCTGAGCTGTCCTTTTCCTTTTTCACACTTTCCCTTTTCCTTTTTCTCACTCTCTGAGTTTTCCTTACTCACCAGGCAAAATAACAGGAACCAAACATATTTCTGTAACAGGATGCCCTTACTATCCCAATCCTTGCCACTGGAGCACAGGAAAGTTAGTAGATCTGAACACATTTCTGAGTTAAAGCCATCATCCTTCACTACCTGAACTCTCCCTACTCACTCTGTAAAATGCTAAAACAAAATACCTTCAGATAACTTAGTATGTTTCACTGTCTGAACTATTCAAACTCTCCTCTCAGAACTTGGATACCAAATACACTAGGATAGTGAGAGATGTTTGTGTTGTCATTAACAGGTTTGGATAAATGAAACAGATCCATTATTTCATTATTCAAACTATTCTCTATGAGAAATACAGGAATAAAACAGAATTGAATGACATGTTATCTCCTCACTACTCAAATTCTCCTTGTCTGTCCTCAAAATCAAGGAGATTCAGACAGTGAGAGAACTTCGTATTTTTTCTTGTTGTTATTACTGTCACTACTGGATGGGCCTGATTCTAACAAAGACCCCCACCACACACCCAATACACACAGACCTTCCCACAGAGGTAGGATGGACTTAGCATCAAGATTTGTTTTGCTTCCTGCTGAGAGGAAAAGGATAAACTCCTGCTTGCATCCTACCCCTACCAAGCCCTGAAGCCTCTGGCCTAGAATGGACTTTTTTCAGGCCAGGAAAGCAGGGATCATTGCGCCCAGGATCAAGACCAGGAGATGGGGATAACATGACCTAGAAGACTCACATCAGCCCCCAACCTAGCAAGGTTGGAAATATGACCCAGACTTCACAGACTCCCAGAGAGTCACTGAATAATTTAGGGTGCTCTTTCACACTTGGGGAGTGGGGGGGGGGGGCACAGGAACAGTTCCATGCCCTCCTGGGGCAGGGAAAGAAATGCAGTTTCTGTGTGAGATCACTGGGTGGGGGATGAGAGAAATCACACGTGAAAACTCCCTCAGTCGCAGGGGGCCCACAAGGTTGTTTGCTATTTATTTGCTCATGCTAAGAAAAGCTTCTGGGATGAATTTCAGAGATAATCGGTACAGTGGAACCTCCAAGTTCAAGGGGAAGGTATAATGGGACCCCTGTCCTTCTGGACTCAGAGATGGAAAATGGATGTTACGAAGAGGGGAGATCTGAATGGCATGGAAGGACATGGTAAGGGGCAGAATAGGGGCCTGGGGTTGGGACAGGATGAAGGGACAGAAGAGGAAGGAGTATAGGGAACAAAACAGAATCAGAGTCATTGTAGGCTGGAGGTCAAAAGATAAGATGGAGAAGGAGCCAGGACACTGGCCAGAGAATGGGATAGAGTGAGGTTCAGGACAAAGGCCAGAGAAAAAGTAAGGACAAAAGAGCAGGACAGGGATCAGGGTCAGTATAAAAGGGCAGTCAGAAGACATGATGGAGGACAGGCCAAGAGAGTAGTCAAGGAAGAGGGTAGGGAAAAGGGCAGGTTCAGGATGGGGGTAAGGAACAGGAAAAGATCTGGACAGAATGAGGATAGGAATGAGGACAGTGGTGGGCCTAGGGAAGACAACGGGAAACAGCATAGATTTGGGGGCAGGGGCATGGCAGGAGGCAAGAGGGAGAGTCTAAAGGTGATGGGCCAGGATGGAGTTCAGGAGTCAGGAGGGGGACCTGAGGGAGAAAGTACAGAAGTCAGAGGTTGGGAATCAGGACAGACCTGGATCAGACTGGAGTTTAGCAGACAAGACATGACTGGTAGGGGTCCAGAGACTGGGCTAGAGTTTAGGGAACAGGCATGTGAAGCATCAGGACAAAAACTGGGGTGATCAAGACAAGGCAAGATGAGCTTCGGAGCTGGAACAGGGTCAGGCAAGGATCTGGGGTCAGGTCAAGGATGCTTTGGGGTCAGGACTGGATTTAGGGGGGCAAAACAAAGGTTGAGGATCACACCAGGCCAGAATATGGTTAGTCAGGGGTCAGTCCAGAGGTCCTTGGACCAAAACTGGCAGGGGTTCCAGATTAAAAAGATGTATCCAAGTAAGTCAGGGGTCGAGGGGGAGACCACGGAGTCAGAGGTCGGGGGTGCAGGCGCAGGTACATCACTGGTCGACGTTTCCAGGCCTTCACCCGACCCTGTCTCCTCTTTTACAACCCCAAGCCGGCTTTACTCACCTAGTGTCCGCGCCCGCGGCGTAGGCGGTGTCCGTGCAGGCAATAGTGGAGGGGGGCTCCCCTCCCTCGCTGCCCCCGGCTCGTCCCCAGGCTCCTGCCTACTCCCTTTCCGCGCCCTGCCCGCGGGCCGCGTTCGGCCGCGCGACTGTGAGCCGTAGGGGCCAGACTGGGGACGCGGGGAGGGTAGGAGAGGAGTACCCGCTCCGTCGCGGGCGGTGGACCCCGGACCCCCACCTTCAACTCGGGTAGGTCGGCTCCCGACTGCACCTCCACCTCCACCTCCGCCGCTGAGCGCGAGCCTGGAGGGGCGGGGTCGGGTGGGGGGGGAAGACGGGGGGCGGGGCGCGAGACCACAGCAGCGGCGGAGTCCGAGTGCGCAGGCGCAAGTTCGGGTCTTCGATTTTCCTGCCCTGGGAGCGCCAGGAGCGAACCAGCTCGGAGCGCGTGCGCACACGCTTTCTCGAGGCCGTGGCGCTTTCTCATACCAAGGCCACGCCCCCTCAGTGATCAGACTAGTGTCCTCTCACCCCAAGTCACCCCGCGACGAAAACCCCAAACCTCCTCCTGTCAGCCGCCAGCACACCTCTGAATTCCCCCAACTGCCCTCCGTGCCCCAAATGCACTCCAAACCACATTTCACATCTCCCGAATTGTATCCCCAAACTACTGTCCACTGATCCCAAAGCAGTACCCCAAATCTACCTCCCTTGAACACCCAAGCTGCACGAATAAGCTACCCTCCAATACCCCAAATCGTTCCCCCAACGATCCACAATCAGCCCTGAAACCTTGAGTGTCCAAAGAGCACTTCCAAATCACACTCATCTCCCCCAATATGCACCCAAAACACCCTGCATTGACCCTAAACCACTCTCCATGTACTCTTCTAACCATAGTTTTTGACCCCCAGATGGCACTCAAGCCACTCCAAACATTCTCAACTACCTTTGAATGTGAACTTCACCTGCACCCCAAATCAATTCCAACAGTCACCAGCTCTAACTCCAAACTCTCTACCACCACCAAACCTTTCACTGACCAACCCTACTCCCAGCAAAACTAACTTCCAAAGCCCCTATCACTATTCCATATACCCCCAACTACTTAAAGTGAGATTCCCCCAACTGCACTTCAAACTGCCCTCCACACCCTCTCCATCTCCAAATCACATTCCACTGATCCAGACTCTGACCCCAGAGCACTCTCCAACAGTCCTCAACAATGTCTCTAAATAATCACTAACTTTCTTTCTGCAGTTACCTTTCTGCAGTGACCCCAAATGTGTCCCTCAAGCCTTCCAATGACTCTTACCCACACCCTAAATCATTCTTAAGTGACCCTATTATATTACAGAGCATCCTTCAATGATCTTTTCTTAAAACAGCTTAATTGAGGTGTAATTTGCATACCATAAAAGTCATTGACAGAACGTGGTCCACTGGAGAAGGGAATGCCAAACCGCTTCAGTATTCTTGCCTTGAGAGCCCCACAAACAGCATGAAAAGGCAAAAAGGAAACTGAAAGATGCACTCCCCAGGTCAATAGGGGCCCAATATGCTATGGGAGATCAGTGGAGAAATAACTCCAGAAAGAATGAAGAGACAGAGCCACAGCGAAAACAACACCCAGTTGTGGATGTGACTGGTGATGGAAGTAAATTCTGATGCTGTGAAGTGCAATATTGCATAGGAATCTGGAAAGTTAGGCCCATGAATCAAGGCAAATTGGAAGTGGTCAAACAGGAGATGGCAAGAGTGAACATCAACATTTTAGGAATCAGTGAACTAAAATGGACTGGAATGGGTGAATTTAATTCAGATGACCACTGTGGGCAAAAATCCCTTAGAAGAAATGGAGTAGTTATCATAGTAAACAAAAGAGTCTGAAATGCAGTACTTGGATGCAATCTCAAAAATGACAGAATGATCTTTGTTCGTTTCCAAGGCAAGCCATTCAATATCACGGTAATCCAAGTTTATGCCCTGACCGGTAATGCTGAAGAAGCTGAAGTTGAATGGTTCTATGAAGACCTACAAGACCTTCTATAACTAACACCCCAAAAAGATGTCCTTTTCATTATAAGGGACTGGAATGCAAAAGTAGGAAGTCAAGAGATACCTGGAGTAACAGGCAAATGTGGCCTTGGAGTACAGAATGAAGCACGGCAAAAGCTAATATAGTTCTGCCAAGAGAACGCACTGGTCATAGCAAACACCCTCTTCCAACAACACAAAAGAAGACTCTACACATGGACATCACCAGATGGTCAATACTGAAATCAGATTGATCATGTTCTTTGAAGCCAAAGATGGAGAAGCTCTATACAGTCAGCATAAACAAGACTGGGAGCTGACTGTGGCTCAGATCATGACCTCCTTATTGCCAAATTCAGACATAAATTGAAGAAAGTAGGGAAAACCACTAGACCATTCAGGTATTACCTAGCTCAAATCCCTTACGATTATACAGTGGAAATGAAAAATAGATTCAAAGTATTAGATCTGATAGATAGAGTGCCTGAAGAACTATGGACGGAGGTTCATGACATTGGACAAGAGGCAGTGATCAAGACCATCCCCAAGAAAAAGAAATGCAAAAAGGCAAAATGGTTGTCTGAGGAGGCCTTACAAATAGCTGAGAAAAGAAGAGACGTGAAAAGCAAAGGGAAAAAGGAAAGATATACTCATTTGAAGCCACAGTTACAAAGAATAGCAAGGAGAGATAAGAAAGCCTTCCTCAGTGATCAATGCAAAGAAATAGAGGAAAATAATGGAATGGGAAAGACTAGAGATCTCTTCTAGAAAATTAGGGATACAAAGGGAACAATTTCATGCAAAGATGGGCACAATAAAGGACAGAAATGACATGGACCTAACAGAGGCAGAAGATACTAAGAAGAGGTGGCAAGAATACACAGAAGAACTATGTGAAAAAGATCTCATGACCCAGATAACCATGATGGTGTGATCACTCACCTAGAGCCAGACATCCTGGAATGTGAAGTCAAGTGGGCCTTAGGAAGCATCACTACGAAAAAGCTAGTGGAGGTGATGGAATTCCAGTTGAGTTATTTCAAATGCTACAAGATGATGCTGTGAAAAGTGCTGCACTCAATATGCCAGCAAATTTGGAAAGTTCAGCAGTGGTCACAGGACTGGAAAAGGTCAGTTTCCTTTCCAATCTCAAAGAAAGGCAATGCCAAAGAATGCTCAAACCACTGCACAATTGCCCTCATCTCACATGCTAGCAAAGCAATTCAAAATTCTCCAAGCTGGGCTTCAGCAGTAGATGAACCATAAACTTCCAGGTGTTCAAGCTGGATTTAGAAAAGGCAGAGGAACCAGAGATCAAATTGCCAATATCCGTTGGATCAAGAAAAAGCAAGAGAGTTCCAGAAAAACATCTATTTCTGCTTTATTGACTATGCCAAAGCCTTTGACTGTGGATCACAACAAACTGTGGAAAATTCTTCAAGAGATGGCAATACCAGACCACCTGACCTGTCTCCTGAAAAATCTATATGCAGGTCAGGAAGCAACAGTTAGAACTGGATATAGAACAACAGACTGGTTCCAAATCAGGAAAGGAGTCTGTCAAGGCTGTACATTGTCACCCTGCTTATTTAACTTATATGCAGAGTACATCATGGGAAAAGCCAGGCTGAATGAAGCATAAGCTGGAATCAAGATTGCTGGGAGAAATAACAATAACTTCAGATATGCAAATATCAGCATCCTTTTGGCAGAAAGCGAAGAAGAACTAAAGAGCCTCTTGATGAAAGTGAAAGAGGAGCGTGAAAAAGTTGACTTAAAACTCAACATTCAGAAAACTAAGATCATGGCATCTGGTCCCATCATGTCATGGCGAATAGATGGGGAAACAATGGAAACAGTGACAGACTATTTTTTGGGGCTTCAAAATCACTGCAGATGGTGACTGCAGCCATGAAATTAAAAGACGCTTGCTCCTTGGAAGAAAAGTTATGACCAACCTAGACAGCATATTAAAAAGCAGAGACAGCCCTTTGTGCCATCCGGGTCTCTGGCGCGAGCTATTCAGTCTGTGGCGAAGCGTTGAAGCGGCCAGTACTGTGGAAAGCGGCAAGTGGAGGCGCCGCCGTTGCGGCCAAGACTCTGGACTATGGCGCCCAAAGCATATGTGAGGAGAGGCAGACTTGGAGAAGCGCTGTGCCAAGGTGCTTTCATTAAAGAGGGTTAATGAAATTAAGATTGGGTTCTCAGATAGGCTAGTGACGCAGAACGAGATGGACTAGCCCCAGAAAAAACATCCCCAGATACAGATTAGAAAAAAGAGCAGTCTGATGTATCTGTTTCTCCTAGAGCCTCAAAACATCATTATTCAAGATCACGGTCAAGGTCAAGAGAAAGAAAACGAAAGTCAGATAATGAAGGAAGAAAACACAGGAGCCGGAGCAGAAGCAAAGAGCGTGCTAATGCGCGAAGAGACTGAACTGAAGACGCTGCAGACTCAGATAGCAAAATAATAAGCCTGCTTCATGATAAGGCAAGAAGACATGAATCCAAAGATAAGTCGTCTAAGAAACACAAGTCTGAGGAACATAATGACAAAGACCATTCTTCTGATAAAGGAAGAGAGCGGCTAGATTCATCTGAAAATGGTGAGGACAGACACAAACGCAAAGAAAAAAATCATCAAGAGGCAGAAGTCACTCAAGGTCTAGGTCTCGTGAAAGGCGTCATCGCAGTAGAAGCAGAGGGCGGAAGAAGTCAAGGTCCGGGAGTAGGGACAGGAAGAAGTCGAGATCCAGAAGCAGGGAGAGGAGGAAATCACGGTCCAGAGGCAGGGAAAGGAAGCGTCGGATCCGGTCTCGTTCCCGCTCAAGATCAAGACACAGGCATAGGAGCAGAAGCAGGAGTAGGACACGGAGTAGAAGTCGAGATAGGAAGAAGAGAATTGAAAAACCAAGAAGATTTAGCAGAAGTTTAAGCCGAACTCCTAGTCCACCTCCCTTTAGAGGCAGAAGCACAGCAATGGATGCACAAGAAGCTTTAGCTCGGAGTTATCTCAATGTAACCTGATGGGCTGCTGCCCTGCGAACCCAGCCTGGCAGAAACTCCAGCTGAACAGCAGCAGCAAAGGTTGGAAAGGGCAAAGAAATTACAAGAACAGAGAGAAAAGGAAATGGTTGAAAAACAAAAACAACAGGAAATAGCTGCAGCAGCTGCCGCTACTGGAGGTTCTGTTCTAAATGTTGCTGCCCTCTTGGCGTCAGGAACACAAGTAACTCCTCAGATAGCCATGGCAGCTCAGATGGCAGCCTTGCAGGCAAAAGCTTTGGCAGAGACCGGAATAGCTGTACCTAGCTATTACAACCCAGCAGCTGTGAATCCAATGAAATTTGCTGAACAAGAGAAAAAAAGGAAAATGCTATGGCAAGGCAAGAAAGGAGACAAATCCCAGTCTGCTGAAATATGGGAGAAATTGAATTTTGGAAACAAGGACCAAAACGTCAAATTTAGGAAATTAATGGGTATTAAGAGTGAAGATGAAGCTGGATGTAGCTCTGTTGATGAAGAAAGTTACAAGACACTGAAACAGCAGGAAGAAGTGTTTAGAAATCTAGATGCTCAGTATGAAATGGCAAGATCACAAACCCACACACAGAGAGGAATGGGTTTGGGTTTCACATCATCAATGCGAGGAATGGATGCAGTTTGAAGAAGATCACACTTTATATTTGGGACTTTTATAGACTTCTGGTTCTGATGTCAGGTCCTTGTTCACCGAACAGCTAGCATTCTAGCTTGCATGGGTGTTGCATTGACTTTAATTTATTGAAAAATATGATTTTTTTGTAAATATCAGATCAGTGATACTGGTGTTAGTGTTGTAATCAGGTTAAACCCACTTCCATTAAACTTGACAGGACTATAAAAAAAAAATAAAAAGCAGAGACATTACTTTGCCAACAAAGGTCCGTCTAGTCAAAGGTTTGGTTTTTCCAGTAGTCATGTATGGATGTGAGAGTTGGACTATAAAGAAAGCTGAGCGCCGAAGAATTGATGCTTTTGAACTGTGGTGTTGGAGAAGGCTCTTCAGAGTCCCTTGGACTGCAAGGAGATCCAACCAGTCCATCCTAAAGGAGATCAGTCCTGAATATTCATTGGAAGGACTGATGCTGAAGCTGAAATTCCACTTTGGCCACCTGATGTGAGGAACTGACTCACTGGAAAAGACCGTGATGCTGGGAAAGATTGAAGGCAGGAGGAGAAGGGGACGACAGAGGATGAGATAGTTGGATGACATCACCACCTCGATGGACATGAGTTTGAGCAAGCTCTGGGAGTTGGTGATGGATAGGGAAGCCTGCTACAGTCCATGGGGTCGCAAAGAGTCGGACACGACTGAGCTACTGAACTGAAAAGTCACTCATTTTAAGCATGCAAATTAATTATTTTAGTATAGTTACCAAAATGTGCACTAATCACCACAACCCAGTTTTACAGCATTTTCATCATCTCTATAAGACCCCTCATGCCCAAATACATTTAATCCCTCTTCACATTCCCAGTCCCAGGCAACTGCTAATCTAGTTTCTGTCTCTATAGATTTGCCTTTTCTGGATAGTTCATATAAACACAATATATCGATGTTTGGTATTTGACTTCTTTCACTTAGTATAGTATTTTTGAGCTTCAGTCATGTTGTAGCGTGTATCAGCAGTTTGTTTCTTTTATTACTGAGAACAGTATTCCATCCAATGATCTTTTACCTGCTCCCCAAATCAACCATTATTAGATCCACAACTATAATGCATGAAATCCCTCTGACACCCTGACCTCAAAACAGGCCCGTAAACCGAATCCCAGACTGTACCCGCCAGCCTTCAACTATATCCCCAAACCGTGCCATTGATCCTCAAACTTCATCACTAAACTATCCAACCAGGTCCTCATCTTCACTTCCAAATCTTCCTACACATCTTACTTTACCCTCACACTGCCCTCTAACTCCCAAGAATATCCCCAAATTGCCCTTTCAATGATACCCAACTCTAATCACAAACTACTCTCCAACAATTATAAAACCCACCTCCCAAATTTCCTGTCCAAGAGCCCCCAACTCTACCTCTAAATACCCCTTAACTACCTTGCCTTGGTCCCACAGCTACAGCCCCAAACTATACCTCCAAGCCACACTTCAGTAACAGATATAGCTGTCTTAAATTACAGTCTGCCTCCATATCCACTGGCCCCACATCTGGGAATAGGGATGGCCAACTGTGTTATGTCATTTTATATAAGGGACTTGTGCATCCTTGCATTTTGGTATTTGTGCATGGGGGTGTCCTGGAACCAATCTCCCCTTGGATACCAAGGGGCGACTCTACATGCAATACACCCACAAAACATTTTCCAATTTTCTCCAACTGTACCACTCAAACCCCCTTCCAAGGACTCCCAATTATACCTCCAAACCTCTGGGAGTCATCCTCTGGTGACTCCCCCAGCACCACCTCAATCTTCCCTTTGATGGCTCCAACTGCACCCAAACATTTTCTAATGCCCCCATTATAACCTCAAACTGCCCTCAGTAAACTTCAAGCATACCCTTGAGTCCCTCCGACAACCCTCAAATCTACCCCTAAGCTTCCTGTGGCTACTGTGATGAATCGCCAGAAATTTGGTGGTTTAAAATGTAAAAAGTTTAAAATAATTGATTCCCTCAGTTCAGAGGGCCAGAAGACCAAAATTAAGGTGCCAGTAGGGTCATGCTCTCCTCAGAGGCTCCAAGGGAGAATCTGCTTGTTGCTGCTTCCTCTTTTGATGAATATCAGCCTTTTTTGTCTTGTGGCCATTTCAGTACAATCTCTGCTTGATGGTCACATTGTCTTCTTTCTGTCAAATCTGCCTCTGCCTCCCTCTTAGGAGGACACTATGGTTACAATTAGAGTCACTTGGACAATCCAGTATAATCTCTCTATCTCAAAATTCTTGCCTTAAGCACATCTGCAAACTGCAGAGTCCTTGGTCTTTTTCTTTTCTTCTTTTTTCTTGTTTGAGGTAAATTCAAAGGTTACAGGGATTAGGATGTGCATATCTTTTGGTGAGGACATCAATCAGCCTACAACAGTACACGCTTTGGCCTCCAAAGATACACATCCACTCTATGTGAAAAACACATACCTTATCCCCAAACTCCCAGAATTTCAACCCAGCACAGCATCAAATCAAGTTCAAAATCTGAGTTTAATATCATCAGCTCAGAAATTTCACATCTCATCATCTACATAATCTAAATCATGTATGAGTGAGACTCTGGGTATGATCCACTCTGAGGCAAAATTCCTCTCCATCTCTGGGCTTGTGGAAGTAGAAAACAAGTTATCTGTTCCCAAAGTACATTGGTGGGACAGGCATAGGATAAGAGTTATAGATATTCTTATTCCAAAAGGGTGAAAACAGAAGGAAAAAAAAAGGTGTGACTTGTCCCAAGTACTTGTGAAATCCAACAGGGCAAGTTTCATTTAGTTAGTTGCAAGGCCTGAGAAGAAGTCTCTGTGGCTTGAGGCTTCACATGTGGGCTCAAGGCTGTGCCATCAGAGTCATTCTTCCTTTCCCTTGAAGGGTAGCACATGTTTGCAGCTAAGTAGTTTTAGCCTGTATACTTCCAGTAAAATTTTGAGAGTCCAGCATCATTCCTTCATTTCATCCTGTATCTGTTATTTTTTCAAGCCCATTAGGCAGTGCTTCTGTCTGCATAACATTCTGAAAAATCTTTTGGGTCTCCCATGGGAAGCACAGAGATTCACATCATTAGACAAGAAAAGTGGAGAAAGTGTCAGTTGCTCAGTCGTGTCTGACTCTTTGAAATCCCATGGTCTGTAGCCCAACAGACTCCTCTGTCCATGGGATTTCCCAGGCAAGAATACTGGAGTGGGTTGTCATTCCCTTCTCCAGGGGATAGAACCCACATCTCCTGCATTGGCAGTCAGATTATTTACCATGTGAGCCACCATAGGAGCTCATTAGACAAGAAAGTCTTCCTCAAATTTTTCATGGATAATCCCATCTCTATTCCTGACTTCTTCTGAGATGGTCGAGGTGATCCATGAGTCACACAACATCTCTTTGCTACTAGCAAAAGGCTGTCCTGCCACACCCTTAGCTTTCTCTATAGAGCATACTTTCCAGACAATTAATATCCTAAATGTTGTGTCTTTTGCAATCTGGACAGTCTGAGAATTTTCCAAATCATCAAATCCTGGGTCCATTTTGCTTAATAGTTCTTCCCTCAATTTATCTCTTTCCTTTTACATTTAACCACAAGGAGCAAGAAGAAACCAGGGAGTACCTTCAACATTTTCCTTGGAAATCTCCTCAGCTAAATAGACATCACTTACAAGCTCTGCTTTCCATACAACTGTAGGACACAATTCAGCTAAATTTTCTGCCTTTATGTAATAAGAACTTTCTTTCCTCTAGTTTCCAATAACATGTTCCTTGTGTCCTTCTGAGCCCTCACCAGCAGCACCTTTAACATTAATATTTCTATGAGCATTCTGTTTATGATAATGTATATATATATATATATATATATATATATTTGTTTTCTCTAAGGCAGTGTATACTTTCCCTACTGTGCTCACTTCCTTCTGAGCCTTCATCGGCAGTGATTTTTTTTAGCAGTGATTTTAAACATTCATATTTCTACCAACAGTTTATTCAAGACAATCTAGGCTTTCTCTATCACGTACTTCAAAATTCTTCCAACCTCTGCTCACTAATTCCAAAGCCAGTTCAATATTTTCAGGTACTTGTTACAATATATTATGGACTTATGTCTACCCTACCCCACCCCCAATTAATTTGTTGAATCCCTAACCTCCAATATGATTGTATTTGGAAATAGGGCCTTCAAGGAGATGATTAAGGTTAAATGGGGCCATAAGGGTAGGGTCCTTATCCAATAGAACTGGTGTCCTTATTAAAAGAGGAAGAGACACCAAGAATGCACATGCACAAAGGAAAGAGCACGTGAGGACACAGCAAAAAGCAGTCATCTGCAAATTAAGAAGACCATTCTTATCAGAAATCAGCCCAGATGGCCCATTGATCTTGGACTTCTAGCCTCCAGGACTATGAGAAAATAAACTTCTATTGTTTAATACACCCAGTCTGTGTATTCTATTACGACAGCCCAAGCAGATTAAGACACAGCAGCATCTCATATCCAGGTACCAAAATCTACTTTATGTGACTGCTGTAACTAATCAACACAAATTTGGTGGCTTAAAAACATAAGAACTCTACTCTTTCATAGTTCTGGGTCATAAGTTCAAAATCCGTTTCACTGGGCAAAATCAAGGAGTCAGCAGGGCCATACTCTCCCTGGAGGCTCTAGGGGAGAACATGTTGCCTCTTTCAGCTCCTGGTGGCTGCTGGCATTCCTTGGCTTGTGGCCATATCACTACAGTCTCTGCCTCTGTGGTCACAGTGTCTTCTCCTTTACGGTTTGTCAAATCTTTCTCTGGTTTCCTAGTATAAGGGCATGGGGTTACAATTAAGTTCCACTCAAATAATCCAGGGCAATCTCCCGATCTCAAAATCCTTAATTTAACCACAATTCCCATCTCTTTGCCGTATAAGGTAACATTGACAAATTCCAGGGATTAGGACATGGATATCTTTTGGGGGGCCATTAGCACACCACACTATCTTATGACAGTTAACAGTTCTATGAAAAATTCCTTAAACTACAAAAGACCAAACACTAACTTTCTATACTCCCTCCAACTGCATCTCAAACCATCTTCCATCCACCCTCCCCAAAAGTATTCCAAATTTACCCTCCAGTAGCTCCTACCTACACTCCTATACTGTCCTCTAGTAGCCCCATTTCTCCTGAAGATGTGATTCTTCAGCTGTGTACCAACTGTCCTGTAATAGACACCAACATCACCCCACACCATCCTCAATCACCACCAACATCTTTTTATAAATATCCCCAGTTTCACCACCCAAATGCCCTCTCTTCTTTCTCCATATCTCCCATTCACCCTACTCTTCAGTTGCATCGCAATGAAACCCCAGCTTCCAGAGAGAGACTGAGACAGAGACTGAGATAACAGTGTTGAAGAAATTGTGACTTGTGAGCAAGAGATTAAAAGAGACAGACAGATGGAGGATGGATGCAGGGCAAGTGATGGGGATGCACTTGCCATGGAGATATTTGGGATGTGTGTATGAGGCTGGTGTTTGTAGAATTGGGGTATGTGACAGGATAGCTAATTTTTGGGTTTAATGCTGTATTTTTTTTCTCTCAGTCTGCTTCAAGTCTTTTAACTGTTTATAGCATCTTTCATCAGATTATAGTTTTATATTTTGATGGGTAAAATTGGAGAAATTGTGGAGCATGGTGATAAAGAGTGCCTGGGTTCCATAGCAGGTTTTATAAACTGAGGTGACCTAGGGCAAGTGGCTTAACTTTGCTGTACTTTGATTTCCTAATCTCAAGGATGAGTAATAAATGGAAGCCTCCTCAGAAGTCTGTTTTGAGAATTAAAATGACTTAATACAGATAAAGTGCCAAGAATGATTGATAAATGTTGTTTATTGTTATTTCCTTTATAGGTTTGCTTTTTGTATCCTGTTTAAGAAGGCCTTCTTTTTTTTGCCAAAGACTTAAACATATTCTCCAAACATATTTTTTTCTGATATTTCTTACAGGTGTTTTGTGTTTGGCCATGGCACGCAGCATGTGGGATCTTAGTTCCCCACCCAGGGATCGAACCTGGGTCCTCTACAGTGGAAGCATAAAGTCTTAGCCACTGGACAACCAGAAAAGTGTGATAAGTGGTATTCTTTTTTAATGGTTAGGTCTTTAGCTAATTTAGAATTAATTTTTCTGAATTGAGTAAAGTGAAATCACTCAGTTGTGTCTGACTCTTTGTGCCCCCATGGACTGTAGCCTACCAGGTTCCTCCATCCATGGGATTTTCTCGGCAGGAATACTGGAGTGGGTTGCCATTTCTTTCTCCAGGAGATCTTCCCAACCCAGGGATTGAACCCAGGTTTTCCGCATTGTAGGCAGACACTTTACTGTCTGAGTCACCAGGGAAGTCGAATTGAGTAAATTAGGAATCTAATCCCTCTTCCCCAGAAGACAGCCATTCTCCCCAGACCATTTTAGTAAATAGTCCATCTCCCAGTGACTTGAAGTATCACTTTTGTCATTTACTAATTCCCATAATACATTGATCCAGTTTTTCTATTCCTATCCCATATTACAATGTTTTAATTACTAGAACTTTGTCAGACATTTTGAATTTGGTTAAGACGGTGCCCTCCTCTTTCTTCTTCTTTTATAAAATTAGATATTCTTGCATATTTAAGGCATCATAGGAACATCAGTTCTGCAAGTTCCATTTTGCAGTCTTTATTGATAATGTATTGATTTTTTAAAAAATTAATTTGGGAAAGAGTTGTCATCTTTATTATGTGGATAATGTTTGTAAGCATAGAGGGATATGGGTGTTTCCAAAGCCAACTAGGGAAATAAGGGTGCCAGTACAGGAAGGTGCAAGGCAAATGGGAGCCCAGTGAAGTTCCCAGTGGTCCAACTGATGGGCATGGTCTTGGGACGTTGGGAGGGATAAAAGGAGGGCTGCAGCTCCCGGTGTTTTGTGAGCTGACTGTGCATCTGAAGATCTGGGTGGGACTCTCTGCTGTGTGCAAGCCAGCTTGTATATATCTAGCACACAGAGGAGCTCAATAAATATTTGTTAAGTCAGTGCACAAAGGAGTGAAGCAATCACATTTTGGAGAGATTATTGTATGCCAAACAACCTGTTAGCACTATTCATAGTAGTGCTAATCTTCATAATAACCCTTCCAGGCAGGTATTATGACCCCCCATTTGACAGGCCAGTAAAACTGAGGCTCAGAGAGGGGAAGTCTCTTGCCCATCTTCAAACCCAGGTCTTTATGATTCCAGAAGTCATCAACAGAAGGGACCAATTCTCATTTCCATCCTTCCACTCATTCATCCATCTGTCAAGGATTTACTAAGCACCTACTGGGTAGCACAACAGCCAAGTACAACAACCGCTCTAAATGACATAGAGTAGGTGGAAAGCTTCTAGGAAGACCGCCTGGGCAGCTGGGCTTTAGGTACCGAAAGGGTGGGGTTTCTGGCGTGCACCTCCAGGCAATGTATTACAGCTGCCTAGGCCTCAAGGCTAGGGCTTCCCTGGTGGCTCAGTGGTCAAGAATCTGCCTGCCAATGTAGGAGGCTTCTGTTTGATCCCTGGAGAAGAAAGAATGGAAACCCACTCCAGTATTCTTGCCTGGAAAATCTCATGGACAGAGGAGCCTGGCGGGCTACAGTCCAAAGGGTCGCAAAAGAATCGAACACGACTTACTGAAAAAAACAACAAGGCCTCAAGGCTATGGCTTTGGCTGAGGAGGGAACGCTAGATCACGGTTTAGGCAGCAAATATTACGAACATTGGCCTAGAGGGGGCGCGTTTCCGCAGGTAGAAGCATAGCCTGGAAACCCTCTTCGCGCCGACAGGCCATCAGTACGCAGGCGCAGAGGACCTAAGGCGCGGCTTAATATCTTGCGGAGGGATAATTTGCGAAGAGAAGGCGTGCCTCAATCAAATTACCTCTCATTGATTTGCCTCTGTCTCTGAGGGCGTGGCCCCTTCACGGAATAAGGTCCTGCAGAACCTAGTTCTCGCGCTGTTTGGAGGCGTAGCTTAGGGCGGGTCCTTGAATCATCCCTCAATGATTGGTCGCCTCACCCAGAGGGCGTGGCCCGGCTAGCTTTCTGTCCGTGGTTCGGTCACTTCCTGTGGAGTTTCCCCAACCCGGGGAGGAGGGGGAAGAGTGTGAGTGGGAGGAGGGCGGTCGTCCGGGGTTAGGTTGAGGGGGTTGTTGGTCCGTTCTGGGCGGGGGATGACTCACGGCCCATCCCATCTCCCCGACGCCGTCCGCCCGCGCAGAGCTCGCTCCATGGCTTAGCGGAGGAGGCGGTGGCGAGCGGGGGAGGGTAGTCTTAATTTGTTAGGGGGACCGGGCCGAGGCCCGACCGGCCTGGCAGGGCTCACCCGGGGCCGGGCGTCATGTCTCATGCGGCCGAGCCAGCTCGGGACGGCGTAGAGGCCAGCGCGGAGGGCCCTCGAGCCGTGTTCCTGTTGTTGGAGGAGCGCAGGCCGGCCGACTCAGCCCAGCTGCTCAGGTGCGGGGCCGCCTGGGACCGGTAGTGCTGACTGGGGTTTCTGGGGGCAGCGGGAGCCCAGGATTGTGATTGGAGGCCCTCGGCCTAGACTTGGAGGACGTCTGGGCGCCCGACTTGGGGGGGCACCTAAGGAATCTGGCGGTGGCCTGCTTGAACTCAAGCTTAAAGGAGTCATGGAAGTGCATTAAGGGAGGCCTGGTTCAGATTTGGGGGGGCCTCTTGACTGGGTCTACAGGGGCTGATTCTGTTGTGTCCAGAAACTAGTCTAGGGTTGCTGAGCTTTGAGTACTGAGACTCTAACTAGAGGCTGCATTTGGGGTCTTTGAGTCGGGTATGAGGGGACACTCTGAGGTGAAGCACTGATTTGAAGGGACTTTTTCCCTCCGGGAAGGGCTCCTAGAGGCTGCATTTGGGGTCTTTGAGTCGGGTATGAGGGGACACTCTGAGGTGAAGCACTGATTTGAAGGGACTTTTTCCCTCTGGGAAGGGCTCCTAGGGGCTGCATTTGGGGTCTTTGAGTCGGGTATGAGGGGACACTCTGAGGTGAAGCACTGATTTGAAGGGACTTTTTCCCTCCGGGAAGGGCTCCTGGAATAGAGGTACTGTCTTGGGAGCTTGATGACTCCCAGTGGCTGGTTGCTGGAGGCTGTGTTTGAGGACAACATGACTCTGGACGGATTTGGGGGTATCTCGAATATACTGCATGGAACCACCCTTGTGTGTGAGTGAACAAGAAAAGCAACATTAGCCAAGACTTGATCAGAGTAATCCCCTCACCTGCCCACCCATCCAGCTGGGTAGTGGAAAAGCTGTCTTCCCAACACCCGTATAGGGGCTCAAATGGGAGACAGTCAGACAGCAATGGAGATGGTGCCACCTCTTATCTCAGAGAAGGCCTCAGACCTTATTTCGGAATCCAGAGAAGGGTCTTGTTCCTGCTGCTGCCTGCACTAGTCGCTCAGCCAGCCCTCTTCACCCCCTACACACACACAGACATTTCTTTTAAAATCTCACCTTTCCAGACTGTCTCTCAGGCCCTGGAGACAATCTTGAATCTGACCCTAGAGCTGGAATGAGCACCAATTGCACCATCCTTGCCTAGGTGGATCTTCTCTGACATCTTAGCCTCACTTCCATCAGAGGGCCTGGAAGCCCCAGTCCTCTCTGTGTATACCCTGCCTATCCCAGCCCCAGTGCCCACCTCTTCCAACTTCTGTGCAGTGAATGTGTGAGCATGGGAGGGGGCTTTGCCTACTTTCTGCCTTGGGATTGTGCTGAACTCAGCGACTCTCTGAGCTTCCTCTTCCCAGCTTCCTGGGTGGTTTTAGGGCCCCAACTGTGGGTGAGGAAAGGGAGGAAGACAGATTCTTGGGGAGGGGCAAGAATTCTTGTCAAGTGAAGTCAATGACAATTTCAGGATTCTAAATCTTTGACTAAATTCAAGGATGCATATCCATCTGTCTACATGTTAATATCCCTCACCCACTAGGGTCTTGCACCCAGCATGGAGGGTTGAGTAGGAACCTTTCCATATATCAATTAACCATCTTCTAATGTCTTTATAACAACTTAAGAGCATCACAGTAGTGGCAGTTGTTGAAGGGGAGGGGTGTTCATGTCTTCTCATTTTATGTGTCAGCGGGTTTTGGTATTGGAGTTGCATTTGTGTTTTGATTTATTCAAAAAACTGGAGAGGGCTGGGCAGGCTCCTCTGACCAGAAAAAAATGTTCATATAAAGCAGATCATCCGCCCAAATTCTCCCTCTTGTAAATCCAGATTATTGGACCGAGGGGAGCCTCTGTTATTCCCATCTTGTTTTTGGATGCCTATTGGCATCCCACAAACTCTGGTTGGGGCAGGGTTGGTGGGGAGGGGGCGGGGCACTTTTGCAAAGCGGCGGATTCTTCAGTAAGTGAATCAGCTACCCCAGTTCTCTTTGTGATGCATTCAGTTTGTGTTACAATGGACTGTTCTGCAGAGGGGTGTCCCCACTTGGACCAACGCAGGCTCACCTTCAGCAGCTAGGAAAGCAGCGGGGGCTGTGGGGGCTGGGTGAACTCTGAATGCGGAGTCAGGAATCCCTCAAAGTGAATTGTCACTCCTAAATTCTTCATTTCTATTTTCCTGAAACCCAGGTTGTACACGTGATTGTTAGATCGAGGAGCTGGGATCCAGGCTTATTATTTTGAATCTTAAGGAACTATGGGTAACACGGAGCAAGAGTGGGGAGGGAATAAGACCGGGGAATTCATGGTGGTGGTTTCAGCAAAGTGGCAGAACGTGAGGGCTACACTCGGTTCTTCTCCCTCCTGGTGTGTACTTCTGTTCTCTCTGTGTGTGTCTGTCTGTGTGTCTCTGTCTGCCTTAGGGGAATGATGTCTGCATACAATCACTGACCATTACCCCTGCCTTTTCCCCACCCTCAGCCTGAACTCTTTGCTTCCGGAGTCCGGGATTGTTGCAGACATCGAGTTAGAAAACGTCCTTGATCCTGACAGCTTCTACGAGCTCAAAAGCCAACCGCTATCGCTACGGTCAAGGTATGTCTCTTCCGACTTCCCCTCCTGATTCCTCAGGCACCGCCATCACCTCTTGATGGGCAGAGGTCTTAGTGTCAGCCCAGCCCATTCTCTCACCAGCCTAAACTTTTCAGAGAGTAAAATTAAGGGCCAGAAAGATCATGTAAAAAGCAGGAGGCCAAACTAGGATTCCAGTATCTCAGACAAAATCTCCTCTGCTTCCTCCCGCCCCACCTGCTCATCCATTCCTAGATAAAAATTTCAGCGTGCATGGAGTTCCCAGACCCGGGGCGTGGCGTGCTTAAGTCCAGCCCCCGAGTGGGTGGAGCCGTTCCCCAAATCCCTGGTCGTCCTCCCGCCTAACTCCACGAATTCACTCCCACCGCCCTTTAAGAACCCCTGCTGGTGTCTTCTTTCCCCCCAAGCTTGCGAAGTCGAAATGTGCTGAGTCATGGGCCTGGGCTTTAAGAGAGGGGAGGGGACCTGGAAGAGGGGCAGGAAGAGAGGATTGTGAAATCTCCTTTTCAAGACTGACTAGCTCCTGGGACCAGAGGCCTAAGCAGGGAAGAAGAAGGGTTTTCCGTTGCCCGGAAGCCTGATGCCCACCCCCAGGAGATCAGGGAGTATGTCCAGCCCGAAATAGAGCTTAGGAGCCTTCTGTGCCACAGTCTTAATTCTGTTTCTTTCAGCTCTCCTTTAAATTGCTCCCAGAGCTGAACAGTGGTATCTCAGCTCAATATATGAACAGGCCCCAGTCCTGGCTTCACCCTAAGGACTGAGGGCTAAAGTTGCCCCAGCAGACTGTGAGCCCTGAGTGTGGCAACTGGGTCTGGTTCCTGTATCTCCCCTCTATGTTGTGGCCTCTGGAGGCAGAGAACAGGCCAGGTTCTTCTGTCTGCTCCATCCCACTGTGACTCCTTAGGCTGGGAGCTGAGACTTTTAGCTTACCTGTGGCCCCGTATTTCCCATTCCACAGCCTCCCAATATCACTGCAGGCCACACCAGCCACCCCAGCTACACTCTCTGCATCATCTTCTGCAGGGGGCTCCAGGACCCCTGCCATGTCGTCGTCGTCTTCATCGCGGGTCTTGCTGCGGCAGCAGCTAATGCGGGCCCAGGCCCAGGAACAGGAGAGGCGTGAGCGTCGGGAACAGGCCGCAGCCTCTTCCTTCCCTAGTCCTGCACCTGCCTCTCCTGCCATCTCTGTGGTTGGCGTCTCTGCTGGGGGCCACACACTGGGTCGTCCTCCCCCAGCTCAGGTGCCCAGGGAGGTGCTCAAGGTAAGGCCACATCCAGAGGCCCTGGGAGGGGCTCCTGGTGACTGAGGATTGGCCCTGGTGGCTTTGGGGTGAGGTCCTAGGGGCTCTAAAGGAGGGTCTCACGTACTGGTAAAAGGGGGCTGTGCTAGTGTCCCACTGTGCTTTGGGTTTCCAAGGTGTTCCCGTGGAGTTGTGAGGGGTTCTTGGGGGCCATAGGATGTCTTGGTGGCCTGTGGAGGTGCACGAGTGCCCTGGAGTCTGTGAAGTGACTCGGTAGGAAGCACTTTATGTCTGGTGATGCATTAAGAGTTGTTTGGCATTGGAGTGTTTTGGGAAGCCGTGTGTGTGTGGTTCCCAGGTTTGTTAAGTGGGGTCAGAGACTTTGCAGACGTGGGGAGTCTTGGGGACTGTGACAAGCTGCTCCAGAAGCTGAAGGAGTCTGCCAGCCTTGGGTAGATCTTGGGAGGCTGTGCAGGATCTCTGAGAGAGGGAGTTTGGGTCCTAGGGGAGAGTTACCAGTGTTTGGGGGTTGGGCGAGGGTTCTCAGATTCTGGGCCTGGCTTGCCATCCTGAGCCTAGAAACAGATGACTTCTGGGAGGCAAACTGGGGCTCAGAGTTGCTCTTTCTGAGCCCTGTTCTGCCTTGTTCCTTCCTACCCCGTCTCCCTTTCATTCCACAGGTGCAGACCCATCTGGAGAACCCAACACGCTATCACCTACAGCAGGCGCGCCGACAGCAGGTGAAACAGTACCTCTCCACCACACTTGGGCCCAAGCTGGCTTCCCAGGCCCTCACCCCACCACCAGGGGGTGCTAGTGCCCAGCCGCTCCCCACCCCCGAGGCTGCCCACGCTCCTGGTCCCACCAGCAGTGCTCCCAACAGCCCCATGGCGCTGCTCACCATCGGGTCTAGCTCAGAGAAGGAGGTGAGTGGCTGCAGACGACCCTCACAGGCTCCCCCTACCCCAGCTTCTTCTAATGCTCTTCTGTATTTCTTCTCCCAGATCGACGATGTCATCGATGAGATTATTAGCCTGGAGTCCAGTTACAACGATGAGATGCTCAGCTATCTGCCTGGAGGCAACACGGGGCTGCAGCTCCCCAGCACGGTGAGGCCCTGAGAGGGGAGGTTGGTCTAAAAATTTGTGTGTCTCTCTGTTCCTGAGGAATAGCTTATGTACACCCAAGCTGGCTATATATAAGAGATTCTCATGTTGAATTGTACTGAGATAGAGTGTGGGGGCTGAATGATAAGAACGGGGCACATCAGTGCCCTGGGCCCACGTTAGACTGCATGAACAGGTTGACTTTGTAGATTTTGATACATACACGGTGGGAACTTTATGGACATGTTAGGGCATACCAAAGCACTCAAGCTTCACTGTGAGGAAAAAGAAGAGGACTCTTGTAGCATTTTGAATGTATTAAGACATTCAAATCATGAGGACATACACAGACCATGAAGTGATTGGAACACGATATGCCAAACTTGATGTAGCCAGATTTGATGTACTTGGACCTTGAAGTAATTAGAACGTACCACATCTCTTACAGTGAACTGTGCCAAGAGGCTGGGTCCTTGTAAAGATTGGATAAAGCGTTCTAGAGTAAGAGATGTACCAGTGAACTATAACATTCTGGTTTTGAACATTCCAAGAGTCCCATAACTTGCTTTGGGACATAGCAAGTGGCTATAGCTTTACTTCTTTCCAGCTCATCAAGAGGATAGAAGCACATGTTAAAATGGTATCAATTTATCAGAATTTTTCATTGATTTGGACAACAGCTAAAGATTGGGATTTATATTAGATCCAGTGGACTAGTAGGGGTTTCAAGAAATGAAAACTCATCAAGAGGTGGGACTGATCGCTTATGGATTAGTTTCTTGCCCTAGGGTGTATTCAGGAGAGTTTGAAGGAGAAAAGAAACTAGGTGATGTAAAAACAGTGCTTGTTGAGTGGTTGGAAAAGAAATCCTGAGAGATCAGAATGTGCAAGATGTTAGAGTCAGGACCTTGGTGAATGGCAGCTGAAGATTGTATGTAATGTGATGTAATGCAGTCACAGCAAAAGACTGGAGATCGGGCTGGGGAACTTTCCAGAAGGCCAGATTTGGGGTGGAATATTGCCATGACAATTTCCCAAGGTCTGAGAAGACTGGGTTGGAGTGTTCCAACAATCCTGAATTGGAATGTCATGCTAGGAGGGGCTGAAATATTGCATTGGAACTGATAAAGACCTGAGAAGGGTGGTTTTCTGGCACTTCTCTTCAGAGCCAGCCCTGGGGTTTGGGAGAGAGGCTTCAGAAGTCTCCAGGGGATTGGAGGGGCTATGGGGTCACAATGAACAGGCCAGGTAGGGTCCAGTCCCCCAGCAAAGCAGGGTAGGTCCCCTTGACCCTGTCCTCCCTGTGAGTCACCGTATGAAATTCCCTTGACGGAGAAGGAAGGGTTCCCACATGGAGCCAGGCAATCTTTGTGTGAGGGGGCCCATCTTTGGGGTGTGTGGAGGGTCAGGAACTAGGTTTGGAGAAGAGGCTGAGCCTGGGGTCTGTTCCAACCATGTTTTTTCTGCTTGCTGTGCCTGCAGCTGCCTGTGTCCGGGAATCTGCTTGATGTGTACAGTAATCAGGGCGTGGCCACACCAGCCATCACTGTCAGCAACTCCTGTCCAGCTGAGCTGCCCAATATCAAACGGGAGATCTCTGGTAAGGAACAGGGTCTTGGCCCTGTGCCATCATCCTTTACCCCAGGGCAAGCCCCATTTCTACCAGGTCTGGAGGTCGGGGCTGGTTCTAGGGGAAGAGGGTTTAAACAGACAGTAACGGGGGCTGTTTGCCACCTTTGGCCATGTGGCCTATGGTCCTGCTTTCAGTCCACTTCCTCTTCTCTTGGGTTTAACAAATGGCCTGTCACCATGGCTTCTTTAAAAATCGGAAAAAGGGTAGCACTTTGTAAATAGTCACTTCCCCTGCCTGCGCCCACCAAAGCCTACCCCAGTGGCTACATGTGCTGCACTCCGTCATCTGTCATCCTTCCCGGGCCCAGAAGCTCTGACCACCACCCCGTCTCTTCCAGAGACGGAGGCCAAGGCCCTTTTGAAGGAACGGCAGAAGAAAGACAATCACAACCTGAGTGAGTGGGAGCATGTGCCCCTGGCCATGTGCCATGCAGCCCTGCTTCACTCTGCCCAGCCTTCCTTGAGGGGGTGGGGCTCTGCATGCAGCAGCCTCTTAACTCCCCAGTTTTTCTTCTTCCCTCCTTGGCCTATTGATGACTCCTCTTTCTTTCCCTCACCTTCCAAGTTGAACGTCGCAGGCGATTCAACATTAACGACAGGATCAAGGAGTTGGGCACCCTCATCCCCAAGTCCAGTGACCCGTGAGTCTGGGCCGGGAGCCCCAGGGCCAGTGGAAGGTGGGGCAGGGGCCCCACTCCCTGAAAGTCATTCCAGGGTGGGCCCGCCCTAAATGGGAACCACCCAGGCAGTCCTGCTCATTTGCCTCTTTCTCACCCAGCTTTCCTCACTCTGAGCAGGGTGGCAGCCCCTCACCACGTCCCTATCTAAAGTTTAGGTTCATGACATTATGGTCCATGTACCTCGTCCAACCCCCGCATGAGTTTTCTGCTTATTTAGTACTTCTTTTTATTTACTCAAGAAATATATTCAGCTGCTTTTGCTTTGTGCCAGGTACCATGCTAGGCCCTGAGGACACCAGAGGGCACAAAACACAAAAAAGTCCCCGACCTCATGGAACTGATGTTTTAGTGGGGGCAGACAGACAGCAAACAAGATAAATAAGTAAAATCTGGTGGTTATGATGAGTGTGGTGGAGAGGAATGAAGAATGGAAGGAAGAATGGGGGATGCTGGGGAAGGTCACAGGTTGGAGTGAGGAGGGTGGGGACAGGGCAGGCCTCAGCTGATGAGGAAACATTTGAATAAAGAGCCTGAGTAGGTGAGGCTGGAGCTATCTGGGTGGCCATCTGGGAAAGAGAGAGCTCAAGGTGGAGGGCAGAACTGAGCTGGAGGCCCTGGTGTGGGAATGATTTTCCATGTTCTAGGAGCATTGAGAAGCCAATGTGGCTGCAGTTGGGGGAGGGTCGATAAGAGGAGCGGTAAGGGATCAGGTCAGGGAGTCTCCTGGCTTCGGAGTGTGATGGGGCATCATTGGAAGGTTCCAGGCAGGTGGTTTTCATCTGAGCATTCCATACCCTTGATGGGCCTGCACTTCAAGTTCCAAGCATGTGGCTAGGTGCTCCATCTACCTGGTGCAGTGCCCCCTTCAGTTCCCAAGAGACTCCATATGCAGCATTCCCTTCTTTCCTCCCCCTCGGGCCCCACAGGGAGATGCGCTGGAACAAGGGCACCATCCTAAAAGCCTCCGTGGATTACATCCGCAAGTTGCAGAAGGAGCAACAGCGCTCCAAAGACCTGGAGAGCCGGCAGCGATCCCTGGAGCAAGCCAACCGCAGCCTGCAGCTCCGAATCCAGGTCTGGAAGGAGGAGGCAGTATTAGAGGTGGGGGTGGGGGGGCTTCCTGAGGCAGAAGCAGAGGGAGAAGAGGCCAGGATTTCCCCTCTGGGCATATTTGGGGGATCCCCGGGCTTCCTGACTCACAGGTTGATGATGATGACGATCATAAGCAGTGATCATAACATGCTATCGTGAAGTTGCTTCAGTCATGTCCGACTTTGTGACTCCATGGACTGTAGCCCTCCAGGCTCCTCTGTCCATGGGATTCTCCAGGCAAGAATACTGGAGTGGGTTGCCATGCCCTCTTCCAGGGGATCTTCCCCACCCAGGGATCGAATCCAGGTCTCTTATGTCTCCTGCATTAGCAGGTGGGTTCTTTACCACTAGCACCACCTGGGAAGATCAGTCATAACATTAACAAGAATAATAATGAATATTGGCTAACAGACATGGTGTTCATCTTGTGCCATGAACTGTGATAAGAGCCTTCTCTCCATTTACTAAGTTAATCCTCACAACAATCCTGTGAGACAGGGACCATTATTATACCCATTTTATGGATTGGGACTCTGAGGCTCAGAGACAGATGGTAAGCAACTTGCCTAAAGTTATGCAACTAGTGAGTGGCAGATGCTGAATTTGAACCTAGGCAGCTTACCCTTTTAACTTTTAAATCCCCTGCCTCTGAAGGACCTCTGAACCCCATCTTGTGCCACACACCCCCCACCTATGTTTTGCAGGAGCTGGAGCTGCAGGCCCAGATCCATGGTCTGCCAGTGCCTCCCACCCCAGGGCTGCTCTCGCTGGCTGCAACTTCAGCCTCTGACAGTCTCAAGCCAGAGCAGCTGGATGTTGAAGAGGAGGGCAGGCCAGGCACAGCGATTTTTCATGCAGTGGGGGGCCTTGCCCAAAGTGCTCCCCATCAGCAGCCCCCGCCACCACCCTCGGATGCACTTCTGGACCTGCACTTTCCCAGCGACCACCTGGGGGATCTGGGGGACCCCTTCCACCTGGGGCTGGAGGACATTCTGATGGAGGAGGAGGAGGGGGTGGTGGGGGGACTGTCAGGGGGCACCCTGTCCCCACTGCGGGCTGCCTCTGATCCCCTGCTTTCTTCAGTATCCCCTGCAGTCTCCAAGGCCAGCAGTCGCCGCAGCAGCTTTAGCATGGAAGAGGAGTCCTGATCACACCTCACCCCTCCCCTGGGACTTCCCCACCCAGGAAGGGAGGACCTGTTAGGATGAGGCCCCACCTTTTCCGCCGCCTTTCCATGAGACTGCCCTGTCCAGGTGTACCCCGGGGAAAAGGAGACTTGATGAGGCCCCACCTCTTCCCCACAGGACAGGCCAGTGCAAGTGTTCAGGCATGGAGAAGGTAGGGACATCAGGGCCTGTCTCCTGCAGATCACAGCCTGACCTTGTCCCGTGAGACTCGCCCGTGCCCAGGTGAGGGAAAAAGATGGGATGAGGTTGGCCCCTGGCCTCTGGGGACTGTCCTAGTGGGTTTCCTGTGATAAAGAGGTGTCCGGATAATGCTCCATCCCCTCTCTTGGAACCATCAGTCTAGTCTATCCTGGGAAGGAAGAGGAGTCAAAATGATGGTGGTCCCAAACTAGATGTTTAAGCCCTGTCCCTTCCCTGTGAATCTTGCCCTGCCCAGGCAAGGAACAGAAGTGAGGATGAGAGCCAGCCCCTTCACCTGGGAACTCAGTCCTGGCCTTGTAACAATGGAGGACTCAGGCCCTGCCCCTTCCTTATAGGAACAACTCAGCACAGGTATTTCAGGTGTGGAGGAGTCAGTAAGATCAGGCAGCTTTGTGGAGACCACAGTCTTTGTCTCTTAGCAATATCCCATCCAGCATTCCATACTGCAGGGAGGAGTGGTACTTAAACTCCCCCCAAACCCCGATATCCACCCCCCTGCCTTAACCTGGGACCAACTTGACCTAACCTAGGAGGGCTTTAAGCTGACCTTGCCCTTGGAGAAGGGGGCAGATCTTGAAATCTTGTGGGTTGACATTCCAGACCTAGATCAGGAGTGAGTGAGAGTTAGACCCTGCACCCTTAGGCAGAGTGTTGCTTCCTTTCAGGGGTAGACTGGAGAGGTGATGGAGATTAGGGAGTACTTGGTGCAGTTTTACACAACCAGCACCACAGTACTCTTTTTCAACATGTAGAGGAACAGGATGAAGGAAGGGGCCTTTCCAGGGAGTTCCCCAGCCTGGGAACAAGTGGAAGCCTATCCCACCAAGACAGAGGCATAGGGGGAGGATCGCGAAAGCATACATACCCACTCTTTTGTTTACCTGATTTTTTAATTGACTCCCCTCCCCACTCAGAAGCTAAGTCACCCCCAACCTCTGGCCTCCACCCAGTTCTCCATTTGGAGAAATCCTCCCCGTTTCAGAGTTATCAAGAGACACTCCCTCCTCATCCCCATCCCTCCTACACATACACCCAAGGTTTTCAGCTTTGAATTGTTGGGGCCATGCCCCGAGGAATGTGTTCTGAAGGGTCTGTAGGTTTGTGATTAAAATAATAAATGCTAGGCGTGTTTGATGCGCTTTTAACTTTGGCAAAGAGTCTCCTGTCCTTGATTTTGTCTGTGCAGTTAGCATGGCTCATGAAGGCCAGGAGAGAGAAAGGTTCTTGGAAGAAACAGATTTGAGAGGATGAATAAAACAATTTAGGTAGAGGGGTTGGAGGAAAACAATGTACAAGCAAATTTAGTCCTCAACTATCTGCTGGGCAGTCGGTTGCAAGTGTTGTACCCAATTTATTATTCTAAGGAATATTCATCAAGAGAGTACTGGTTCCTATTCCTATTTCATGTCTTAAGAAACGCAGATTAAGAGTAAGAACTATCTGAAGGTACACAACTGGTAAATGGATGAAGAGCTTAATGGTAAAGTTAGGTAAGTGAGGGCTCTGGTTTGAAAAATGTCACTGAGGACAGACGAGCCAAAAGATATTTTCTTGCAAGGTCACTTTTGAAACTGATAAAAAAGGAGTATATGATGATATCTATGGCAAACAGTAGAGGTATTCCAGATGGTGAAAATGGCAAAGACAAAAACTGTAAAGGTAGAGGAATAAGCAGACAACTTGGTTTTGGAACAGATGTTGACATTTGTGTGTGGGCGGGGGGGGGGGATTTAAATGGAAGTGAAGAGACACAAGTACTCCTGGAATTTCTCAACCTAACTGACTCCCAGGACAGGTATCAGGCCACCTCCTGTGTCACCCCCATCAAACATTGACCCCTGAGCACTGGGACCCAGCCTGGTCCTGTGTTTCCCCAGTCAGACTGACTACCACACTGCCTTGCACCTTTCTAGCCTAACATACTGTGAGTCCTAGGGCCTGGTCGCTGAGCATTTATCACCAGAATGGTGGTTCTCTGATAGCTTTTTTTCCTCCTCAGATTTGCTATATTTGATTTATTTTACAAAGATAACACCCAGAAATTTTTTTTTGTTTGTTTTCTGGAATAATTCAGATTTACAGAAGTGTGGCAAAGATAGTAGAGTTCTCATAGCTATAATCCAGCTCCCCCTAATGTTAACAGCTGTAACAACCATGGCACATTTATTAAGGCTAGGAAAATCACATTGGCACAGCATTAGGAAGTCCAGACTATTTGGATTTCACTGGTTTTTTCCCAAATGTCTTTTCCCTGTTCTAGGATTCAAGTAAGGATACTCTATTTGCTATCTCTGTGTAACAAATGACTACAATCTTAGTGGCTAAAAAATCATGTATGCATTATCTCCCAGTTTTTGCAGGTCAGGAATCCAGGCTGGCTTAGCTGGGTCCTCTACTCCAGCGGCTGTCACAAGAGTTCAGTCAGGGGAGATGTGGGTAGGACTGAGGGCTCATCTGAAAGGGGGACTGGAAAAGAATCTGCTCCGTGCTAAAATGGTTTGGGGCAGACCTCAGTTCTCTGCAGCCTATTACACTGAGGGCCTCAATTCCTTGCTGGCTGTCAGCTGGAGGTGCCCACGGTCCTTATTGTATGTGCCTTTCCTCCCTTGAGGCAGCTCATAACATATGTAGTTTGCTTCATCCAAGTCAACGTTAGAAGAGTCCGCTAGCAAAACGGAAGCTACAATCTCTTGTAATCCAATATGGAAGTGATATCTGCTCACCGTTAAGGCATTCTGTTGGTTAGAAGCAAATTACTCAAGGGAGAGGATTACACAAGATCATGAATACCAGTAAGACCACTGCGGGAGGAGCTGTCTTAGAAGCTCCATACCACACTGGGTTGAGCTGTCATATTTTCGTGGTCTCCTCTGACAGTTTCTCAGTCTGCCCATTGAGAAGGCATTGTACTATGCCAGAGGTAACAAGCACATCTAGTACCCAGATCTTGGTTTCTAAGTGCCACGCTCCAATAAAAGGAACATGAGCTCCTTGGAGAAATGACTGATTTTAAGGCTGGTGAAGAGAAATTTAACAAGACAAGCCTGGAGCATTGTGTGGTGCCAGAAAGTAAGGAAGAACCTAAAAAAAATGAGACTGTCATAAAGATGTGGGAGCCAATCTGAAAGAACTCCCAACAGCCAAAGGTAGAACAATCTGAGCAGCAAAAAAATAACAATAGTGCTGTATTATAATCCAAAAACTAAATATCCATGATTCCATACTTATATAAATCAGTGATATGATTGTGTAAGTAAATAAATGCTGGAGATGGGACAACTCTTCCTTGCATAAGACTCCCAAATAATTAATATAGAAGGAATGAAAGAAATGGAAAATTACCACTAGAATACCACAATAATAATTACTCTGGACTGGATCCACAGCTAAATGCTAAAATTAGCAGGCAAAACTTGAAGGTGGGCACACAGTGAGCCTGGACTGTACATTATTTCTGCCTGGGTCAGGTTCAGAACCCTGCTTGGAGGGAAGTGGAGCCTAGGAAGAGAATAGCAATATAGCTGAGTTGGGTCGGAGAGGTCAGATTTTAGACCTTAGGACTAGCAGGCATGATACCGGGGAAAAAAAAGCTTTGTAGAGTCAGACTTTCAGAAATCATCATAGGCATTGCTTTAGGTCTTTGACCAAATGCTAGGCTATGCAGGTTTAGAGTGAGGCACTGCGAGACCAAGCAAAGATCAGTCCTGGGCTTAGATGAACTGAATGGATGCTTGCACATTCCTGGGAGACAGAGATTTTGACCAGCCTGAGTGGAGAATCTTTACCCAATACCCCAGTGAGAAACAGACACCCCAGAAAGACCATGCCTTAAGACCATGCCGCTTCAGCTCTAGAGTAAGGGTTACTATAGATCTTCTCCAAAATATGCTAAAAATATGCTTCAAAAGGATCAAGTTGAATTGTGACATTTAGAATGTATGTAGATATAGCATATATAACAATAACACAAGACAGGATTTGGGAAATGAAACCACAGCTTTGCAAGATTTTTCCATCTCATGTGAGATGGTGCAATATTAACTTTGAGTTGACTGTAATAAATTAAGGATGCATTTTGTAATCACCAGGGCAACCTCTAAAAAAGATAATGAAAACAGGTACAACTCAAAAGCCAATTGAGGGCTCCCTTGGTGGTCCAGTGGTTATGAATCCGCCTGCCAATGCAGGGGACACAGGTTCAATCCCTGGTCCGGGAAGATCCCACATGCTGCGGGGTAAACTAAGCCTGCATGCTGCAACTACTGGAGCCCATGCTCTGCAACAGGAGAAGCCATCGCAATGAGAAGCTCATGCACCACAATTGGAAGCCCATTTATGATTCTATGAGCTAGAAAATCAATGTATGCATGCTAACCCATATATTCACACATATCTATAAGTATTTCTGCATCTATTCATCTCTATATATTTTAAGATACACATGAATTCATAGTGATGTTCCAGTACCATATGGTTCATCTTAACCTTCCCTTCTTGCTTATCTGTAGCCTGACATTCCAACGTTGAGAAACCCAGTTACAGCCATCCACCAACCATTACTTAATTGTTTGATCCCAGTGTATATGGATTGCAATATCGGAATTGTTAACCTGTATTCCTACGAGAGACAGCTTTACCAAAGTTAAGTGCTTTTCTATGGTTCCCTTTGTCTTTTAGCTCTGGAGTTTCCAGTCAAAATACCATTTTCCAGGGTTACTTAGGTCAGCATATCTGCTCCCCATGCTCTTCAGCGACATAGTATGGAATTCTACTTATCAATAAAAAGGAAAAGATATTGATACATACAACAACTAGGATGAATCACAAAAGCATTACACTTAGTGAAAGATGCCAGATGCAAATGAATATATATTACCTGATTCCATTTGTATGAAACCCTACAAAAGGCAAATATAATCTCCCATGACAGAAAGCCAATCAGTGCTTGTCTGAGACGGAGTGGAGGGTTGGGATGGGTAACTAAGGAACCTTTTAAGGGTAATGGAAATTTTCTATATATTGATTGTGGTGGTGGTTACAAGGAGTGTTTGTCAGAACTCATTGAATTGTACAGATAGGTAGATAGGTAAATAGAGAATATATCTCAATAAAGTTCATATGTTAAAAAAGTAAAAAAAGAGACCTGGCTGAAATAATTTTCCCACAGCAAGCAGATCATTTAGTCTGATGAAAATGACAGAAAAAAATGCAGGGGCATGGGTTTGATCCCATATGTGCTCCAAGAAAAAAAAAGGATACAATGAGATGCCATTTCTTTGTTCTGAGATTGGAGAAAACTGTAAAATAGAACAACACAGATTATTGGCTAGGCTGTGAGGAAACAGGTACTCAAATACGTTGATAGTGGTTATGAACTTGGAACAGCCCATTTGGGAGGGAATTTGGGAGTATCGACTAAAACCAGATATTCATGAAAAAAAATTTTTTTAATGTATTTGTGTGACTGCACCAGGTCTTAGTTGCAGCACATGGGATCTAGTTCCCTGACCAAGGATCGAACCCCCTCCCCCTGCATTGGGAGCGTGGAATCTTAGCCACTGGATCACTAGGGAAATCCCCAGATATTCATTTTTTGATGCAGCAATCCCAGTTCTATGAATTTACCCTGAAGATATACCCCAGATAATAATAAAAAATATATATACAAGGTTATTCCTTTTGGCATTGTTTATACTTGCAAAATACTAGAAACTGCCTATATGCGCAAACATAGGAGCGTAGTTCAATTATGATACATTGAAAAAATGGGGTACTATGTACCTGAGACAAAGAAGATATTCTCAAATGAAAAATGCAAAGCACAAAAGAGTAGTTACAGGATGTTACCCTTCATGCAAGATAAATAAGATAATATACATGTATGTGTTACAGCAGAAAAGTTTTCCTTCTATTCTGTAGGTTCTTTGCTGGTTTAATAATTAAATTAACATAAGACAGATAAATAGGAGAAAAACTAGTTTCGTATGTGCAGGATACCCATAAAAATATGAGACCCAAAGGTGGCTGGGCAATTGAGGCTTACATGCCAAACTGAGCTAAGGAACAGGATCAGGGCTTCAGAGAGGTTTCAGAGGGGAGGAGGGCAATTCACAGGATGATAAGAGCAGATGTTTCTTAGGCAAATGTTTGCTTGGCCATGCCGTGTCTTTCAGATAAAACGTTATCTCCGTATAGTTCTCTTTCTGGGCCAGACTACCTATCTTAATTCTTCTAAGCGGTTAAAGGAGAGGTAGAAGTTTTTTTTGAGCGGGCTGGTCTTGATTATTTTCAGCTTAAAATAAGTCACACACTAAAGTAGACATTTTGTAGACATTTCTCCAAAGAAGACACAGATGGCCAACAGGTACGTGAAAAGACGCTCAGTATCGCTAATTATTAGAGAAATGCAAACCAAAGTGGCATATTTTGGGGTGGCATTTCTGCTCCTCTTCACACGTGCTCATTTGTGTGAAAAGAAAGAGAAAGGATAAACTAGAAATTAAATAGGTTGGTTACCACAATAAGGAGGTGGAGGGGAGGGCAAAATGGAATTCAAACAAAAACAAAGGAAACTAACCATATTTTAAATGAATCATGCAGCCTCATGGAGGAGGGGCGTTGGGGAGAGGGAGAACTAACCCAAGCAAATTTTTAAAAAATCTTTTTGGTCACTGGCATGTGGGATCTTAGTTCCCTGACCAGCGATCAAACCTCACCCTCTGCATTGGCATCTCAGAGTTTAAACCACTAGACCACCAGAGAAGTCCAAGCCAAACAATTTTTGAACACAGTATTTTGACTATCAGTTTAAAGGAACGGCATCATATTGAAGCTATGGTAGTCTTGTTAAACACAGTATTTTGACTAGAAACCAACAGGAATCTAAAGACAAAAGAAGCTGTAAAAAAGTATTGACCTCTAGTTGATAGATTTGTTTGTCATAGTCTTATGGGTAAGCAATCCTGGAGTTAATGTGCATTATGATTACACAAATAAGTGAATTTATTGTGGGCAGTGGGAGATAGGTTTCTTTCTGTTGGAGAAGAATATGAAAAGTGAGGAAACTAAAATGAATCTTGTGTGTTGTGCTGAAATGGAAGTTATTAGTAGTGCACTTATGTTTTTCAAGTACATATACCTAAAAAATAAAAGGTACTTACCCCCATGGTCCAGTGGTTAAGACTCCTTGCTTCCACTGCAGAGGGTGCAGGTTCTATTCCTGGTCAGGAAACTAAGATCCCACATGCCACACGGCATGACAAAAAAAATAAAAATAAAAAATATATATACCTATAGCAAAATACATAACTAGATATAATAGGTATGTGTGTATACATGAATTAGCCCATATACATGTATTTTTTAGCTCTGTACACTGAGAGGGCATTGAGAAAATTATACTCTAGTAGCAATGAACACTTTCTCAACTGGGGCTAAAAAGGAATAATGTTGAATCTGGAGCATCTTGTAATGCTAGAAAGCATGGAATTGCTTTAAAAAAAAAATGATGGGGCCATGTCAAAGGGACACAAAAGTCAACTTGAAGGAGCTTCCACTGGTCAAATCTGGGACAATTTGAGCGTCAAAGGAAATAATGACAATGATTGATTATAATCTATGGAATAAAATAAGAATGAGTCTGTACAGATCTAAACACATAAATGGGGAAGAAGAGAAAGCTCTTTCTTATAGTAGACTAGTAACTAACAAATATCAAAGGAATGTTGGTGTTAGGAAATCATTGATGGATGCTGAAGCCAATAGTTCAAAATTTTTATATCTAAAGACAGGATGATAAAGCAAAGGTGGCAAAATGTGAACAACTGATGAACCTGGTAGAAGGGTACAGGTAATTTCCTTATGGGCTTCCCTGGTAGCTCAGACAGTAAAGGACTCGCCTACAATGTGGGAGACCTGGGTTCAATCTCTGGGTTGGGAAGATGGAGGAGGGCATGGCAATCCACTCCAGTACTCTTGCCTGGAGAATCCCCATGGACAGAGGAGCCTGGCGGGCTACAGTCCATGGGGTCGCAAAAGGTCGGATACGACTGAGTGACTAAGCACATTTCCTTATACCATTCTTGCTTTTCTGTAAGTTTAAAATGGCATAGAATCGTTTTTCTCCTCGCCCCACTAAAAAGAAAAAAAAGATAAATAAGGCATATCCTAGTACCAGATATGTTGCTGCTAAACATGCTTTCTAATTTTTTTCTTTCTTAAATATAAACTACTGCTTGGGTGGCAGGGTTTGCAGCGGTGGCCCATAAGCACAAAGATGTTTATAATGCATTTAATCTTTTTTTATTATTATTATTTTATTTTTTATAATGCATTTTAACACTTATTTGAATGTTCCTGATGTTTTACTATCCTAGTTTTGTTTTTTAAGTGAAGCTCTCTCGTTTGATTCACTGCCATTCTTTCCTCACAGGTATTTTAAATTTATTGGTGGCTGGGCCCTTTACCTAACAGTATCACGTTAAAAAAAAAAAAAAAGCGTCAAATCTTAAAAAAAACAAAAAAACAAAAAAACACGCCAAGGGCTTCACGAGAGACGGGATTCCCGTTTTCGGGTCACCCGGAGGTGGGCCGGAACAAAACATGCGCACAGCTTCCGCTTTCATTTCCACTGTAAAGCCGACCATCTTCCTTAAAGGGGTACCGCGGAAGCGCGATTTTCGGTCGGCAAACACTTCCCTAACGACGAGTCCCATGACACAGGAATGTCACAGTGTCGCATCACAATGAGTAGCCTAATGATAGCTCAAAAGTCAGATCTAATGACCTGGATTCTGGTAAAACACTAAACTGCAATTCACTTAACCGGCCAGTTTTCTTTTTCTCTTGTCTCGGTTTCCAAAACGCTAAACTTCCGGAGTAGACTCCTCCCCTTCTATTCCTGCCCGGTGGTTTGGTCCGACCCAATTCTACTGACAGGAGAGACAAACCGCGTCGGCGCAGAAAGCTGTTGGGGGGGTGGGGGGGAGGAACATGGCGCAAGCTCTGTCTGAAGAGGAGTTTCAGCGGATGCAGGTACCGCTCGGCGGGGAAAAGACCAGCAGGCTAGGCGACGGGGCTGCGGGGAAGAGAGAGATTGTGCCACCGGCTTTGAGCAGGGGTTGGTTGGGATGGACCTTGAGTCTAAGGGTTTTGGAGAAGGGAAACTGAGGTTCCGTGTGGTGAGACTACTGGATTCCGAGAAACTGTTGGGCTCTCAGCGGTTGGATTCTGTTAGTTTTGTGGGTGGAAGAGAGAGTTCTAGCGTGGGTGATACCTTACTGAGACCTGGAGGGGACAAGACCTTTGGGCTCGTGTGGGAGACACCCTAGGTGGGCGATGATATTGCTGAGCTTTGAGGGAAGGAGATCCTGAGAAGGCGAAACCATTTTGCCTGGAGAGGAAGGAAGCGGGCGTTGAGTTGTTTGCGTCATGGTGGGGGGAGCCCTGGAGAGGGCAATACCATTACTTGTGGGAGGTAGACATTTTTATGGGAGATACCACTATGCCAGGGCACTGGGGAAAGACCCCACATGTTGTCCTTGTTCCTGGGAGGTGGAGCTTCTGTGCAAGGGGTGGTACCATTGGATGATTAGGGGTGATCCCATTAGGGCTGGGGTGATGAAGGCCCTGAATGGGTAATACCATTAATCCTTGTTGGAGAGAGAACCAGAGGAGGTGAAAGAGTGATACCCCTGGACCGCGTGGAGAGGAGATCACCGGGCTCTGGGAAGGTACCCTGACTGAGTATTCTGACCACTTGATTCTTTTGGTGGGACTCTGAGATGGGATGAAAGGCCAAAGGGGGCCCTTGTTGACATAGTTCCTTTCTGGGGAAGATCATTGGATTTTGTGCGTGGGTAGACTCAAGGGGGGAAACCCTGTGTAGGGTCTGTGGGAGGACAGGAGGAACTCCAAGTGAAGACAGATAATTCATTCGTCCTTGAATGAAAGAAACCAGTTGTCACTGTGTGAAGGACCCTGAGGGTGGAAGGGCAAGATAATTGGACCATAAAAGGGGAAGGCCCTTGTAACTTGTGCATAAGGGTTATTCCGTGTGAGTAAGGGTAATCCACCTAACCCATCCAAGGTCTTGTGGGGGAAAAACCCTGAAAGGTATAGGTTCATCTCATTAGATCATGACTGGGGAGATTTTGAGGGGTGTAGGGGACCCTTCAGTGAGGAAGATTGATTCCATTAGTCATGAGTGAAGGGAGAACCATTGGATTCTGATGGATAGAGACTCTTAAGTGGGTGCCAGGGGTGTTCTTATTGGATCAGGAGGAGAGGATCCAGGAGTGGACAGGGGCAGGAAAGGTTGTATAGGGCCCAAGCCCTCTCCCCTTTAGCAGACCACCCAGGGATGGAGTCTGGTGCCATGGGAGAGAGGGAAAGGTCCTGGTGCTGTAAGGGATGGTCGTTCTGGGAAGAACTGGCCTCAGTGCCCTGCAGTGCTGGTAGGTAGGGATATGCTGTTTGGAATGACCCATACTTCACTTGTCCTCGATTCTTGAAAGGGATCTGGACATTTTGAGAGCCTTGCTTGTGGGGACCCCGGGTAGCCCCTTTTTACTCGGTGAAATTGGTCATAATACCAAGCCCTCTTCCCTTGGGAAAGAGGGAAGAAGGCAGTCCCCCGCCTCCTACTTGGGCCAAGAGGATAGACAGCACCTCTGATGGAAGACTGCACAGTGTTTAGTGTATGATGAGGCCAGCCAGGGTGAGGAGGCTGACTTCATCCTGTGGGCATGGAGAGCCGTGGAACACACAGAAACAAGAGATGGACTGGGTCAGCACTGTGGCATCGCCTGGGGTCATAGTTGGACTGAAAGGGGAGAGGTGGAGGCAGCAGGGAGATGGGCAGAGCTGGCTGTGGTCATAAGTAGAACTGATGAAGGTGGGACAGGGGCTGAGCAGCTGGACTCATTTGGGATGCAGCAGGCACAGGTCTTAAGAGTGACTGAAAAGGCACAGGAAGGGCAGCAGGGTCTCTGGGGCTCAGAGGGTTGGTTCCCTCCTCATGAGGGTAGAGGGCACATTCCCGCCAGGTCATTTCCCTCCCTGCTTCCCTCTCAGGCTCAGCTACTAGAACTCCGGACAAACAACTACCAGCTTTCAGATGAACTACGCAAGAATGGTGTTGGTGAGCCAGGAGGGTCTCATTAGATGGGGGTGGCTCTGGGGGACAGAGGCTAAGGGGGAAAATACCTCAGAGGCCTGGCAGAAAGACCTTTCAGCTCCTTACCACTGACTGAAGCTGAGATTCCCTGCTTTCCCCACACCAGAACTCACCAGTCTTCGACAGAAGGTTGCCTACCTGGATAAGGAGTTCAGCAAAGCTCAGAAGGTACCTCCTTCTATCTACTCACTCACCCGAGTTTCCCTGTAGCCATCTGACTCATTCATTTGTCCAGTGAGCACCTGCAGTGAACCAGCATGTAACCTAATGTTACATGTTGTCATTAGTCATTCAGAAATTTCTCATGGAAGTCTCTCTTGTTTGGTAATTTTATCTAATTTTCTTTAATGTATTGATTAATTTTAGTTTAATTAATTCATTTTTAATTTCAACTACTTATTCAAAATAATCAAATCCATCAGTAAGTCACCTTGACTCTGCCTTCTGTCCTCCACTCACATTCCTGCCTTGTGCTCCTAGTCCCCACCCCGTCCTGGTCCTGTTGGTAAAGTGAGACTAAACCTACCTCTCAGATCCTTTGAAGGTGAGATAGCATATAAGCTGTCATGGCCCCTTAAGGCATTCAAGGCCCTCCTTTGTCTCTTTCTTCACTGCTCTGTCCCCAAGCATAGCACAATGTTATACATAATATATGCTCCACAAACATTTGCTAGATGAAGGAATACAGAATGCAGAAAGTCTGGCAGCCAGAAAGCTGGGCTTCTGTCTGTTTGATAGGGTGCTGATTTCCCAAACTGGCAGTGTCTTCAGCTGCCCAGCAGAGGAACAGCAGTTTCCATGGTTCTTTGGAGGGATCCACATAGATATGTTTGGACAGATGTAGCAATGAAGCCATAATTTCTGAGCCCAGAGATCCAGCCTGTGAAGGGTTAAATACTATGACCTGTGAAAAGCTCAAGAGCTTAGAGGACAGGGTGTAAGCAGGGTGCTCCTCACTCACTCACTCCATTCCTTTGGGCTATAAATTGTTGTGTGAGTTCTGTGGTTATAGACACCCCCATCCCTCAACCCCTGTTATCATTGTGTTCCCTTGACATTTGCCACAATCTCTCCATACCCTAGTGAGGGAGTCCATCTCTTCACCTTATCTCTCTTCCCATCCCCCTCACCTTTAGGCACTGAGCAAGAGCAAGAAAGCTCAGGTAAGGGGACCCCTGGCGGGTAAATGTGTCTGGTAGACTGCCTTAGAGGGGATATTTCGGTATGCTGGGATCTCCTTTTACTGGCCTTTCTTTCTCTGTATGTGCACTTGCATCCGTGACTACCTCTCAGCCATGTGTTTTTGTGTTTGTCTTCTGTGTTCCTGTTTTGTCTGTCTCTGTGTCTTTCTCCCTTTTTCTTTATCCTCCTCTCTGAGCCTCTCTCTGTCTCTGTCTTCCTGTTCTTGGATTCTTGTTTCTCTCTCCAACATTCTCTTTGTCTTTCCCCTGCCTGTTCCTATCTCTGCCATTGTTTCATTTCTTCTTTCACTTTCTTTGTCTCTGTTGACTTCTTTTTCCTTACTCCCCTGTTCCTCTATCTTTTCCTGGTTCATTTCTTTCCCTGACCCCCTCTCTCTGTTCCATTCTCCCTCTGTTGATCTCTTTGTTCCTATCTCTCCATGGTCCAACCTCTTCTTTTTCTCTCTCTCCCCCTTCCCATCACCCTCTCCTTCCTCTCTAACCTCCTTTCCCCATCTCTGTGTTTCCTTTCTCCCCAATTTCTATATACCCCTCTTTTCTTCTCATTCTCTCTCCTTTCTCTCCCTCCATATCTCCTCTTTTATTCCTCTTTATATTTCTCTCCCCTTGTATCTCCTGATTTCACCCATCTCATTCTCTGTACCCTGTGTTCTCCCCTCAATGTCATTTTCTCCATTTCTGTTTCTTTGCCCTATTGCCCCATCCTTTCTACCCATGTTGGAGACCTGGCTTACATCTGCCACTGCAGGAAGTCGAGGGGCTGCTGAGTGAAAATGAGATGCTTCAGGCAAAGCTGCATAGCCAGGAGGAGGACTTCCGCTTGCAGAACAGCACGCTTATGGCCGAGTTCAGCAAGGTGCTGGTGCCCTGGATAATTGAGGGGGGCGCAAGGGGTAGGGACTACATGGGCTATGGCTGGAGGGCTGCTGAGGGTGGTTGGACAGAGGCTGGCCTTGACTCACTGTCCATGGTGCTGAAACACGGCCTGGAACTGTGTTGGGGGGCAGTGGTTTGACAGATGGGACCACTCACTGCTGTGATCAGAAGGCTGCAAGCCTTAGTGTCAGCTGGTTCTTGACCAGGTCACTCCTTTTCTTTGAGCTTCAAGTCTCCTGGTGTATATTTTGGGGCTGGTGCTATGCAGCCCCAGGTTATTGGGGAATCTTAGGTAAAATTCTTATGCTTAGTATGGGATGGAAAGATGTTTAAGCTGCTTCCCTTTTCTCTTCTAAGTTTTTAGTGTCTTTTAAGGGGAGAAGTCTCATGGCAACAAAATAGGTATTTCCAAGGTTCTACCTGAGAATGTAGGGCTCGAGACTTCAAAAAAGAAAACAAAGCAAAGTATGTTTGTATGCAGGTACGCAGTATGGAGTATACAGATATGCAGGTACGATATCAGAGGCAGTTTAGTAAGTAATAGTAAAGATCCAGAACGCCTCGATTAAACTCTCGGCTCTGCCTTTTACTAACTGTAACCTTGAACAATTCACTTAAACTCCCTGTTTCTTGCTTCCCAGATGTTAAAATGGAAAAGCTGATAATGACAGTACCTGCCTGGCAGGGCTTTTGTGCAAACGGAATCAATTAATGTCTGCAAACCACTTAGAACAGTCTTGCACATAGTATCAGCTTATGTAGGTGTTAGCTGCTGATAATACTCTTTTATTAGTTCATTTTCCCTCTAAAATATTTCTTGACTATTTAAAAGGTTTATATCTATCCTATGGACTTGCCCTGCCTTTAGCCCTTACCACCTATTACCTGCTCTATTCCCACAGCCTCCTTGCTGTCTCCTCACTTCCAGCTTCTTGTACCAGGCCTGGTCTGAAGAGTGTTCTGACCTGTAGGTCCTCCCACATTGCTCCTTTCCACAATACCTCCCAGTGGGTCCTTGCCCCCCAAAATTCAGGACTCCTGGTGCTCACATAATAGCTGATATCATTGCCTCACTTTTCACTGCTTCCTTCCTCCAGCCTCAACGGTATCATGGTTCTTGCTGGGTGAGGTGGGGCAGTTATTCCTCCACAAATCCAGCTCGTGTTTCCTGGCACTTGCCATGAGCTAAGCACTGGACCAAGTATAGAACCTCCTTCACACCTCCCTCTTCCTCCTAGAAGCTAGAAGTGCTCATAGGGAGGCCTGAGTTCAAGGCCTGTCTCTGCCACTTATTTACCAAGATATTTCAGCTCAGTTGTTCCTTCAACAAATAGTTACTGAGCCCCCACTGTGTGCTCTGTATTCTAGAAATAGTTGTGAGCAGTACAGAATAGTCCTCCTTCTTGAGTAGCTTATATTTCTGGGAGTGGAATGGGAGAAAAGATGATAATATAGTAGACAAATAATAGCACTAATAGCTGACAGATTGAATTTACTGTGTGCCAGGTCCTATTTGGGCTTCCCTCGTAGCTCAGTTGGTAAAGAATCTGCCTGCAATGCAGGAGACCTGGGTTCGATTCCTGGGTCAGGAAGATCCCCTGGAGAAGGAAATGGCTAACCACTCCAGTATTCTTGCCTGGAGAATCCCATGGACAGAGGAGCCTGGCAGGCTGCAGTCCATGGGGTCGCAAGAGTCAGACACGACTTAGTGACTAAACCACCACCAGGTCCTATTTATGGACTTGCCTGGTGGCTCAGACAGTAAAGAATCTGCCTGCAATGCAGGAGACCTGGGTTTAATCCCTGAGTTGGGAAGATCCCCTGGAGAGGGGAATGGCAATCCACTTCGGTATTCTTGCCTGGAGAATCCCATGGACGGAGGAACCTGGCTGGCTACAGTCCATGGGGTTGCAAAGAGTCAGACACAACTAAACGAGTAGGTCCTATTTGTTGTGCTTTACATTATTCACCCGTTTAATTCTCTTGGCGAAATGATGAGATATCATTACTATCAGGAAAACTGAGTCCCAGAGAGATGAAAAAGCTTGTGCCAAGATCAAATGCAGAGTAGAAATTCACATGCAGGCAGTCTGGCTTTGGAATCTGTACTTGTGACCCTATGTTATGAAATAAAATTTAATTGTGAATCACAATTTATGATCCAAAATTTTTCGGAGATGTAAGAAATTAAAACCATATTAGGTAAATTTAATTGCAGTTTGTGCTAAGTAAGAAAGAAGTGAACAAAACGCCATGCTAGCAAGTATTATAGTTTGTGTGTTGGAGAATATTACTTGAAAGGTGACGTTTTAGAAGAGCACTGGTGGTTGCAAAAAAGCCAGTCGTATGAAGAACTGGATGAAAGGAATGGTGTTCTGGGTAGAAAAGAAGCCAGTCAATAAAAATTCTCTGTAGACCTCAGTATTCTCATCTGAAAATGGAGACAAAGGATCCTGTCAGGTCTACTGTCCAGTAGTTGAACAGGGGGCTGGCTTAGTTTGATTTGCATTGTATTCTTCTCCATGAGCTCTCCCAGGGCTAATGATAGGGAGCTGTGGTAAATACTGACCCTGGAAATGCTCTGAAAGCTATCTGTGGTGCCTTGGCTCCCAGATGCAGGCTGCTCCACAGAAGAGGGCTGGCAGTGGGGCCATCCGTGATGTTGACATCTGGGACCAGCAACTTGTAGAGGAGCCTGAGGTCTTGAATTGTGACTGTGAGGTTGGGCGTGAGCAGGTGGAACATTGTTCTCAGTATTCTCAAATCTTCTGTTACTCTTTCACTTCACAGCTGTGTGAATTTGAGGTTTAACATCTGTGCCTCTACATCACAAGGGTGTTATGGGAACTAAATGAATTGTAAAGTACATGGACCAAGTGCTGTGTATATTTCAGCAAATGCTGTTCTGATTCTTTGCTTTTCTGCCACCTCACCTGTCCCCTGCTCAGCTCTGCAGCCAGATGGAGCAGCTCGAGCGGGAGAACCAGCAACTGAAGGCTGGGGCTGCCAGGGAAGGGGCTGCCCAAGCTGGGAGCCTTGTGGATGGGGAGCTACTGAGACTGCAGGCGGAGAACACAGCCTTGCAGAAGAACGTGGCAGGTGTGTGGACACCCTGCTGGTAATGTGGGGACCTTGGGGCTTGAGTTAGGTGTTGTCTTCCCTCAGAGAAGGGACAGGCTTCAGAATCAGGCTTGGCCCTGCCATGAACCAGTGTATGACTTTGGACAAGCCATTTCACCTCTCTGAGCCAAAGCTTTGTCATCTACCAAGTGCATGCACCTGGAAAATTGTAATAGAGATAAGAGGTGATAATCTTTCTGAGTTTAGCTCAGCACCTGATACCTAGCAGGTGTTACAGATTAGCAGCTTGAACATCAGAAAGGAGATGTTTGCTAAATGGAGAAAGGGAAGGAAGGCGCATTAGGAAGATTCTGAGCCCAAGTTGTCAATGGGGTCTGGGATGAAAGCTGAAAGAAAGCTTCATCGAGTGTGGGAGTGTCCTGATATGTGGACTTTTGGAGAGCAGCTTGGGCTTGTGGGGTGGTGGGTGGTAGATTGGTGATCAGGAGGGAGACTTTGTAGAATGTGGCTGGGGTTAGAGGTTGTAGAAGGATTCAGCTGTAAGTGGAGGAGGGTGGGTATCACCATCACCTTGGAAGACTGGGTGGGGCTTTAGGATGGAATTGGGTCTTGGGAAACTAACTTGGGCTGATTTGATGGTAGATAGGATTTCTGTGGTTAGTGGGGCTTAAAAGATTTGTGAGAAGTGGGGGCTGAACCTTGATTTTCTAGGCTTGTGACCATTGGAGCAGGGTTTCTGCTACCTAAGGGGTTGAAAGCCAGTTCTCCCTCTATTTGAGGTGAGTCGGGGGTCTTCAAAGATTACCTCATCCATCATATGTCTGTTTTGCCCACTAGCCCTGCAGGAGCGCTATGGGAAAGAGGCTGGCAGGTCTCCAGCTGCCTGTGAGGGTGAAGGGGACCCCCCCGGGGGCTCAACTTCCCCTATCATGGCCCCCATGCCATTGGCAGAAGTGGAGCTGAAATGGGAAATGGAGAAGGAAGAAAAGAGATTGCTCTGGGAGCAACTGCAAGGCTTGGAGGTGAATCTGGGTCTGTTGGGGCTGGGGTGCCAGAAGGCAAGTGGATGCCCTAACTCTGCCTGGTGATATCTGTGACATCACTCTCTTGTGGGCTGATGGATTAGGAGAGCAGGGAAAGGCACAGGCCCTACCTCCTGCCTTGCTGATAACAATTCCCTCCCTCATTCATTCTGGCAGACCTTGAAGCAGGCTGAAACATCCAGGCTGCAGGAAGAACTTGCTAAGGTGGGGCTGCTAAGCTTTCTCTGGACTTTGCCCTCACCCACTCTCCACCTGCCATGCTTCCATTAGTAGGATAGAGGGGCAGAGTATCTTCTCAAAGCCCAATTTCATCATCTGTGAAATGCAGAGACACACATTTATGTCACAGATGTGCTTTCAATATGATATGGGCTAATGTCCCTCTGTGTCTTGTGCTTGGCAGGTCCCATCCCATCCTTCTATGTCCTCCCAGCTCTGCTTGTTCATTCATCTGTCCATCCATCTGTCCATCCATCCATCCAAGCATTTATAGACTGCTGGCTCTTAGGAACTTGAGACACAGTGGTGAGGCAGCTAATTATGATCCTGCTTTCCAGGACTCCTAGCCTAGCTATTCTATGATGTGGCCATCAGTCAATAGATTGGGGGCATATGTTGGGCTTTGGAGCCAAAGGAGCTGGGTACAGGTCACATTTTTGCTGCCGACCAGCTGCCCAACCAAATTACTTAACCCTTCTGAGATTCCGTTTCCCCATTTGTAAAGCCAGTAGTGTTCACTTCTCAGGACAGTTTTGAGGATTCTGTGAAGTAATGTAAGTAAATCTCAGTTTCCAGAAGGGCCTTAGTAGAAAGTGTCTGTAAACATGAAATTAATTTTTGTCTTTATTAATATTATTCTCATCGTTATCACTTGTCTGTAACCCCTTCCCCAACCCTAGCTCTCCGAGAAACTGAAAAAGAAACAAGAAAGGTAAATTTCTTTTTTCCAGAGCTGGGGGGGAGGGGTTTGGGGGGACTAGGGAGGAGCTTGACTAGTGGAACTGATCCATATACATCTATCTTTCTGTGCCAAGTTTTTGCCGTCTGCAGACAGAAAAGGAGACACTATTCAATGACAGCCGGTAACTACCAGGGTTGGGGATATTGGTGGATAATATGGCAGTGCCCAGCATGATTAACTGAAGATCCTGGGGCCAAACTGGGAGACTGGGCCTTGGGCTGTGATCAGCGTGCCCCCCTTCCACCAATCACCCCCAGGAACAAGATTGAGGAGTTACAACAGCGGAAGGAGGCTGATCTCAAAGCCCAGTTGGCTCGAACTCAAAAGCTGCAGCAGGAACTCGAGGCTGCCAATCAGGTGAGGGGCTGGTTTCTGAGATCACTGGGACAGGGACGGGGCTGCAAGTCTGGGGAACTCTGAGGTCCACGGAGGCTAGCTGGGGAGTCTGATAGTTCCTGTGTTAGAAATATAAGGACTGAATGGGTCCTGGACCCCTTAGGAGCTAAGAAAATGGAAACTGGGGAACCCTGAGAGCCCTAGGGGTTGGGCTAGGACTCTGCATGAATCAAAAATCTCAGAGGGAAAAAAAAAATCTCAGAGGGGCTGAGGACTGGGGGCCTGTGTGCCACAAGTGTAGATGAATCTGAATTACTGGGGTATTAGAGATAGGAATCTGAAGAAACCTGTGGTCACTGGACTGGGACCAGGAGTTGGAGTGAGTCTGAACTCTCCGGAGGCTGGGTAACTTTTAGAACTATGGACACAGCTGGGCCTGGAGGCTGAGTGCATTTGAAACCCTCAGAGCTTGGGATCTGGTTTGGGTCTTGAGACACCTAGGAATTTGGATCATGGGATCTGGGTGGTCCTGAGAATCCTGGGGATTGTGGATAAAAAACTGGTGAGTCTGAGACATCCAGAGATTGGAACAAAAGTCTGGGGTGGTTTGAGCCTCCTAAGGGTGGGGGGCTGGGTGACTTTAAAGTCTCTAGGCTTCCCTTTAGAGTGAATGTGTCTGAGGTCCCTTGGACTGGGGGATATAGTGGCTGTGGGTCCAAGGCCCCTCAGAGCTGGGGACAGAAGTCTAGATAAAGCTGGGTCTTCAGTTAGCAGGATCTGAAGATCCCCGGAGACTGGGGGCAGGAGTGGCAGGTGAGGTGTCGGTCTGAGACCTCACCAGGAGCTGGAAACTATGCAGTTGTATCAGTTTGAAACCTGAAGGATCTGGGGCTGTGAGTTTGGATGGGTCAGAGACTCTTGGGGACTAGGGACATGGGAGTTGCATGTGTCTAAAACCCCTTGGGGTTGGAGTCAGGAGTCTGGGTGAAGCTGTAGTCCCTGAGAGTTGAGTGTGTCTGAGAATCCTGATGCCCTTGTGCTGGACTTTGGGTCAACGTGAGACCTCGCATGGTTGGGGGCTGAGTGAATTCGAGATTCCCTAGGACTGTAGGTGTTTTCTGAGGTGCTTAGGACTGGGATGTGTACAGGGGTGTGTGAAGCCCCTTGGGATAATGACCTAGAGTGTGGGTGAGCCTGAGATCGCTGATAGCTGGGTAGCCCCAGACCCTCAAGTGCTGGCAACATGCTTCCCCCTTCCATAGAGGAGGTCTGTATGGTTATACATACCCCAGGGGAGGCTGAGGTCTGGAATGGACTCCCCTGACCTGTTCCCCACAGAGCTTGGCAGAGCTGAGAGATCAGCGGCAAGGGGAGCGCCTGGAGCATGCAGCAGCTCTGCGAGCCCTACAGGATCAGGTATATTGTACTGAGCGGGCTTGGAGAGGTGGGGGTGAGGGCAGGTTCAGCGGGTATTGTGCAGGCAGGCAAGGCCCCAGGGGTCCTGCTCCCCCTGGTCGCGGTTCTTGTGGGTGTGTGTATGTGTGTCCTTTCTTTCTTGGCTGCGGGTAGGTCCTGTCTTCCGGTTCTGGACCCACTCTCACTTGTTGTGGGGTGGGGCCAGGTGTCCCTTCAGAGTGCAGATGCGCAGGAACAAGTGGAAGGACTTTTGACTGAGAATAATGCTCTGAGAACTAGCCTGGCTGCCCTGGAGCAGGTACAGGACACATGGGAGCCCATGCTGATCCCTCCCTAGTTCCCCCATTTCCCTCTGCTTGTGATCCACATTGGGGTAGGGTTGCCTGGACTTCATGCTGTTCTCCTGCCTCTGCTTTTATTTCATTCTCAGCTTCTTTCTCTCGACTTCCACCCCTCTTCTCTTTGGTCCCCCATCTCTGCTTTTCTTACATTCTAGTTTCTCATCGGTAAAAAGCCAAGAAGTGTACTAATCTTAAGTGTACACTCAGTAAATTGTCCCTGTGTGTATATTTCTCTATCTCCATGTAACCAGCACCCAGAGGAAGATATAGAACATTTTCAGCATCCCAGAGGCCCCTATTACCTCTTTTCAGTCAGTACTTCCCAGAAGTAAGCACTTCTCTGACCTTTAGCAACATAGATTAGTTTTGTTTGTTCTTCAACTTCATGTAAATGGAATCAGACACCCAATCTTATGTCTGGCCTCTTTCTTGAAGCATTCTATCTGTGAGGTTTATCCATATGTAGCACTAATCTGTTCTGCTATCTCTGTGTACTATTTAATTGTATGAATATACCACATTTGTCCAATCCCCTCTTGATCACTTTGATTGATTTTCTCTTTGAAATTCTCTCTCTCCTCCTGGCTGTCTTTTCACCTCTCTCCCTGTCTCCTCGGGAACATCTCGCGACTGGCCCCTGGGGCCTCTTTTACTCCACTCCCATTACCACCATTCTCTCCAGATCCAAACAGCAAAGACCCAAGAACTGAATATGCTCCGGGAACAAACTGCTGGATTGACAGCTGAGTTGCAGCAGCGGCAGACTCAGTATGAGGACCTCATGGGACAGAAAGATGACCTGAACTGCCAGCTCCAGGTGACACCTCTGGCTTGCACCTGTCTCCCCCTAGTTCCCTAGTTCTGGCTCAGTGGAACTTCCCATGGGGTGTGGTGGGAAGACCATGGAGTCAGACAGACCTGGGTTCCAGTATGACTGCTGAGCTTATTAGCACCTGTGTGTCCCAGACCAAGTCATTTCACTCGAGGTTGAGCCTCTTCAGTTAGTTAGGATAGCCAATCTGATTCCATAATAGAAACCAGAATAATGGTGGGAGAATTAATGGTGGGAGAATAAATGCTGAGGAGCAGCTAGGGATCTCTGCATGTTTCTAATCTAGAAACAGAGAGACCATCACTCACTTGACCAGACGTGTCCTGGATGACCAGCACCTCCTGGGGGCTCTTTATCAAACTCACTCCCTTTGTCTCTGCATTAGGAGTCATCGCGGGCCAATAGTCGGCTGCTGGAACAACTACAGGAACTTGGGCAGGAGAAGGAGCAATTGATCCAGGAATTACAGGAGGCTCGGAAGGTGGGCAACACTGAGGGGGTAGCCCAGACTGCAGGGGCACAGGTGATGTGGGCCAACCCAAGGGAATGGGAGGGGGCAGAAAGTAGCCAGTTCTATGAGGAGGGGTGGGTGGCTTAGCCTGGTCAGTGAGGCTGGGGAAGAGGTGCACTTTGGCTTGTTCCTTCGCCCTTGTTTGGTTTTGGAGAGGAGGTTGACTGGCGTCCTCCTGCCTGGCCACCAGAGTGCTGAGAAGCGGAAGGCCATGTTGGATGAGCTGGCCATGGAGACGCTGCAGGAGAAATCCCAGCACAAGGAAGAGCTGGGAGCAGTGCGACTACGGCATGAGAAGGAGGTGCTGGGAGTGCGAGCCCGCTATGAGCGTGAGCTCCGTGAGCTGCACGAAGACAAGAAGCGGCAGGAGGAGGAGCTGCGTGGGCAGATCCGTGAGGAGAAGGTGGGTGGGTAGGTGATGGTGCCCTTCTGTCTCTAAAACCTGGGGAGCGAAGCACTGCTGATGCATCAAGGGGTGGCATGGGTGAGGTTCCCACTTCTCCACTTGGCCCATGGTGGCTGGCTCTCTCACAGGCCCGAACGCGGGAACTGGAGACTCTTCAGCAGACGGTAGAAGAACTTCAAGCTCAGGTACACTCTATGGATGGAGCCAAGGGCTGGTTTGAACGGCGCTTGAAGGAGGCTGAGGTGAGTTGGTGCCTGGGGATGCTCAGAGACTGGTTGGGAGGGTACCCATGGCAAACCAGGGGACCGGGAGTGGTCAGGCCCTGGAAGTTTCTGAGATGCTCTGGACTTGAGCATCCTCACCGCACTCCCTGGGTCAGCGGCACCCCTCTGGAGGGGATTGGGGCATGGTCATCAATCAGTAGGGCAGAATGTCAGCTGTGCAAATTTGAAAAGGCACCTCTTCCTTCTTACACTGTACTTCTGTCAGGAATTTATTGTAATACAATCATTCTACTTTTGTTCCAAGCAGAACTTTTACTACCATTTTCTGGAAAACTGATGATAGTACATAAGAGGCTGTGTTACATGGCAGTGAAGAACATACATGCTGGAGCCAGTTGTTTGCCTGGGTTTGAATCCTGGCTAGGCTGCTTTATATTATAGCTGTGTGGCCTTGGACAAGTTATTTACTTCTTTGTGGCCAGCTTTCAACATCCATAAAAGAATGATAACAATAATACTTGCTGTTTAGGTACTATGGGAGGGTTCTATAAAATGAGGTAATATGTATAAAGTCCCAGGTGGCGCTAACAGTAAAAAACTTGCCTGCCAATGCAGGAGACGAAAAAGATGTGGGTTTGATAGTTGAGTCAGGAAGATCCCCTGGAGGAGGAAATGGCAACCTACTCCAGTATTCTTTCCAGGAGAATCCCATGGACGGAGTAGCCAGGTGGGCTGGAGTCCATGGGCTTACAGAGAGTTGGACACAACTGAAGCGACTTAGCACGCACAACATTCCTGGTGTGCAGTAATGCTATGTTATGTTTTATTAAATAAGATGTAAATGCAGATGTTGGTCCTCGATGTGACACTTCTGCATCCAGTGTTCCCTGTGGGAGTATCTTCCCTGCACACCCAGGGGCCCACTGCAATCCCTTACCCTCCTCACTGGGCGTGATGTTCTCTTGGGGGCTGTGGTCAGACCTGGGACTTGTCTTGTAGGAATCTCTGCAGCAGCAGCAGCAGGAACAAGAGGAAGCCCTCAGGCAGTGTCGGGAGCTGCACGCCAGCGAGCTGAAGGTGCCTATTGTATGATGGCATTCCTCTCTGGTGGGAGGATGGTTTCCCAGGCCTTGGCCTGAGCTGCCCTCTGCTTTGCAGAGCAAGGAGGAGGAGCTACAGGGTGTGCAGGAGCAGCTCCGACAGGCCCAGGAGGAGCGGGACTGTCACCTGAAGACCATCAACAGCCTGAAGCAGGTCCCTGGTCCCTCCTGAGCCCTTGAAACACCCTGGGCCTCAGCATGCAGTAGTGGGGCAGGGAGGGAGCACGCTACAGGCAGCCATGCTGGCGCCCACAGCCATGCTGTCTCTCTCCCACAGGAAGTGAAGGACACAGTGGATGGGCAGCGAATCCTGGAGAAGAAGGGCAGTGCTGCGGTATGACAGCACATGCTTGGGAGGTGTTCACGCATGGCCCACTCCTGTGCTGTGGTACCCCCACCTGTGGGCCCACCAGGCCTCAGCCCCCCTCTTTTCCCCTTTCCCCACAGCTCAAGGACCTCAAACGGCAGCTGCACCTAGAGCGGAAACGGGCAGATAAGCTGCAGGAGCGGCTGCAAGACATCCTCACAAACAGCAAGAGCCGCTCAGGTGAAGGGCCCAGAGCGCAGGGGAGGCTGAGGTGTGGGGAGGCAGAGCTTGGGGCTGAAGGCTGGGGCTGCTTCCTGTACTTTATTTTGTAGGGCACTCCTGTGTCTTCTGTCCCTCTTGAACTTTGTCTTTTACCCTTTCTCTGCATCTCTCCCTCCTCTGTTTCTCTCTCTCTGCATTCTCTCTCTGGGCTCTCTCTCCTTTTTGCTGTGTCTCTTCTGTTTCTATCTCTCTGCCTCCTCCTCATTTCATCTCTCTCTATCTGCCTTTCTCTCCCAGATTTCACTCTCTAGTTTTCTGTTTTTCTCATCCTGCTCTTTTCTTCTCTCTGTTCCTTTGTCTCTCTCCCTCCTCGGTCTCTCTCATCTGTCTTTGTCTCTGTTTGTCTCCTCACTACCCCTCAGACACTCCCACACCTCACCTAGTGTCTATCAGTCTGTTGTGTTCATTCTCTCATTCTGTAAATATGGACTGAGCCCTCACACTCACATCTAGGGTCCCTAATAGGAACCCCCCACCCTAAGTCTCAGTCCTCCAGGAGTTTCCCGTTGAGCTGGGGAGATAGACTTACAAGCAGGTAGCAGCACTACCATGTGATCATTATGCAGTTAAAATTACATTATTTCTGCCACTTAAGGTAGAAAATAAAGCAGAAAAATTTGAGTTGCCTCAGACTTCTTTTTTTTTTAAACAAAGAAATGGCCTAAAACTATTGTTTAAATAAATAAGTTGCAGTGATGGCTCTGGTGCATTTCCTGTATCATAAGTGAGAGAAAACTTGCTGCCTGTCCGTCCCCAGCCACCCTGCTCTTGCTGGAGATCCTTGGCTTGTAGTGCCAGCCCCACTCCCTGACACTCAGAAGCAGCTGCAGGAACAGAGGCACATGTTTAGTGGCTGTGTTTCAAGTGATTTGTCAAAAACGGGTGTATTTCTCACCAAATCACTGTCTTGCTGAGGCATTCAGTCTCCTGAAGTTACCTCTCTTTATAAGGGAGGACTTTTATTTCTTTTCTGTTGCAAGTTGGTGTACAAATCAACAAACAGATTCAAACTGTGTGCCATACATTCTATTTGTCCACTAGATGAAGATTTAGGTGTATGCCTGTGAGTCTATCGCCATCTTTTCTCTCTGTGTCACTACTCTGACTTGTGTCCTAAACCAGCATCTCTATTAGCTTCTATCATCTGCTCTGGCTTGCTGTCTGTCTGGGGTCTTCTCTCTGCACATATGGGTGCCCTGGTGCCCTCTCCAGCTATCTGTACCTTGAGTCTGAGTGCAAATGTCAATTTATGCCCATTTGTGACCACATCACGTCTTTCTCCCCATCTTCACCTTTGTTTCACTTCTGGTGTGTGTTTGCCTAGAGAAACAGCTCTTTTTTCTGTTTCTGCTTTTCTCTACCCTACTGTCTGCATCATGCCTGAGTGCCTCTTTGCCTCTCTCCATCTCTGTCAAATCTATTTCTGCCTCTTCCTGCCCTGGGACCCTGCTCAGATTTCTCTTCCTTCTCTGCCCAGGGCTCGAGGAGTTGGTTCTCTCAGAGATGAACTCACCAAGCCGGACCCAGACTGGGGACAGCAGTAGCGTCTCCTCCTTCAGCTACCGTGAGATCTTGCGGGAGAAGGAGAGCTCAACTGTTCCAGCGAGGGTAAGGGGCAGGGAAGAACCTACAGCCCCAGCTTCTACCCAAATTCTGGGTCCTTCTTTTTCCCTTCCCTGCTGCCATCTTCTACTCTGGGCCCAGCACACACATATTCTTGTCAAATTTTCCTCAAGCTCACAAACTTGGATTCAGATTGCTAAATGGAGGATGAACAAATTATCTTCTCTGACCCTGTTTCATCATCTCTGGGCTAATTCTACTTTTCCTGGTGCTATAAAATATGTGGCTCATAGTAGGTGCGTTATCCATGTAGGAGATCCTTTTTTTTCCCCATTTCATAGTTATCACTTATTATTGTTGTCTATGTCAGCTTCCTTGCCAGACCCTTATATTTGGAAATAACTTTTTTTATCATTCTATAAGTAGTTTGTGTACATTGTAGAGGGGCTTCCTTGGTGGGTCAATGGTAAAGAATCTGCCTGCAATGCAGGAGACACAGGAGACCCAGGTTTGATCCCTGGGTTGGGAAGATCCCCTTGAGGAGGGCACAGCAACCCACTCCAGTATTCTTGCCTGGAGAATCCCTTGGATAGAGGAGCCTGGTGGGCTATAGTCCATAGGGTCACAAAGAGTTGGATATGACTGAAGCAACTGAGCATGCATGCACATACATTGTAAAAAAATTGAAAAAACACAGCAAAGATTTTTTTTAAATTCAAGGAAATCACATCTTTATCATCCAGAGATCACCACTATAAATTCTTAGTTCATACCCTTCTAGACCCCTCTCTCTTTTTTTAAATTTTTTTTCCTCTTTTTTTTAAACCTAAATAAGATTGCAAGTAACCAACTGATCTCTACCATCCTAATTGGTAAATGTTCAAGTGATGTGGGTTTGATCCCTGGATCAGGAAGATCACCTGGAGGAGGAAATGTCTACCCACTCCAGTATTCTTGCCTGGAGAATTCCATGGACAGAGGAGCCTGACGGGCTACATTCCATGGGATTGCAAAGAGTTGGACACTACTGAGCACGCACACATCTTCTGTAGTACTTTGACCTTAATCAGATTTCTCTAGTTGGTCCCAAAATGTCCTTTATTGCTGGTCTTATGAAAACCAGCATTCAATTTCGAGCACATTTGTTGCATCTGGTTGCTTTATGTCCCTTAAATCTCTTGAATCGAGTGTGATCCCTCATTTTCATGACATCAACCTGTAGAAGAGACCAGCCCAGTAAACCTGCAGAAAGTGTCCCACCTTTGGGATTTTCCTCTGGGCTTCCTGGTGGTGTCATTTAGTTTGTTCTCCTCTCCCCTGATTCTCCTGCCAACTGGGAGAACTCAGGGGCCCCAGGCTCTCCCTTCATGATCTCAGTAAGTCTATACTGTTTGTGGTGTGATGGTTCCTGTCTCCCTCTTTAGACAAAGGGGGATCCAGAGTCTCTGAGGGTGCCAAGACTTGTCTATGGTTTGTCTGCAGCCCCAGTTGCACAGCCCACCCCCGGCTTGGTTCTCCTCAGTCCCAGATCCTATCTGGGGTGACAGTGCTGAGCCTGGGCTGGCCTCTCCCCCGCTCTTCCCTGCAGTCCTTATCCAGCAGCCCTCAGGCCCAGCCCCCACGGCCAGCAGAACTATCAGATGAGGAAGTGGCTGAGCTCTTTCAGCGCCTGGCAGAGATGCAGCAGGAGAAATGGATGCTGGAGGAGAAGGTGCCATCTGCTTGCTTGTCCCTGCTTGGCCTGCCTTGGCAAGGAGGCTGGGGTGGCAGGAGTTGGGGGTGGAGATGGGGCAGTATCTGGCCAGGCCCCTCCTCCTGGGTGAACATGCTGCAGTTTAGGGTCTGAGGTGGGCTGGACCACCCTGCAGGTGAAGCACCTGGAGGTGAGCAGTGCATCCATGGCAGAGGACCTCTGCCGGAAGAGTGCCATCATTGAGACCTACGTCATGGACAGCCGGATTGGTTAGTGCTCCCTCCCCAGCCCTCACCCCTCATTCAGCCCCTCACCTGCTCCTGCCTTCCCTGCCATCCAGAGCTGTGGCCTCTCTCTTCTGATGGAACTCACCAAAGTTATTGCAAAGACCACAGGTGGTGGAGGGGGGAGCCAGGCAGGCCAGGACCTTACTGCCTTCCTCTCTACCCCATCTCTCTTCTCGGTTCCTCCCTCTTGTCTGAGGCTCTGTCATCTCTCTACCCTCCTATCTTGAGTGTCTTTCCTTCCCATTTTCTTTTCTCCTCCCTGTGTTTCTTTCCCTGCTTTCTCTCCCTTCTCTTCTTTCTGCCTCATCTCCGCCCCCCTTCATTGTGGCTCACTGTTCCTACTGCCTGTCTAGATGGTTCCACCTCTGGAAATTTTCATTCTCTGGATGCATAACCTTTTTAGGGTCCTTCCCTCCTCCCGGCTCTTCCTCTGCTCTCCTTTCTCCTCTTCCTTCCTCCACCCCCATCTTTGTTTCTTTTGTCCCTTTCAGACCTTCTCCTCTGCCTGTTTTATTAAACCTTAATCAGAACAATACCACTTGACACGTGCTGAAAGCTGACTGTGTTGCACACAGTCATAGGCATTTTTCCATGTGTTAGTTCTTGTCCTGATTTCTCAGGGCTTCACAGCTAGTAAATGAAACCAGGGTTTCACATGGCAAAGCCTCTGCCCCTCCATTAGGTTTCTCCACGCATTCTTCTCCCCTGCTCCCTGTTTCCCTCTTTCCTATTCTGTCTCTGTCTGTCTTGGCCAAGGGGGTGGTTCTTAGCTTGGGTCCTTGCAGATGTATCTGTGGCAGCAGGCCACACAGACCGCAGCGGGCTGGGCAGCGTCCTGAGAGACCTAGTGAAGCCAGGTGATGAGAACCTTCGGGAGATGAACAAGAAGCTACAGAACATGCTGGAAGAGCAGTTGACCAAGAATATGCATTTGCACAAGGCAAGTGTGGCCTACCAGCCTACCCCTTTGTCTAGCGACACAGCCCCTGGGTCATCTGCCAGTTCCCCCTTCACCTACCCCATTCACCATGTGCTCCTTCCCCCTTGTCTTCCCATCATCCAGTTAATGTGTTCACTCTCAGTTTTAGTCTTTCATTCTTCCTTCTGTCCTTGTATCCACGCACTCATCCAGTCATACACATTCAGCCACTCTCCCATCAACCAACCATTTGCCCATCTGCCTTGCTACCTGTCTAATCATCTGCACATGTCTTTGGATCCATTTCCTGACATATCTCTCTCTCTCACCTAATCATCAATCACCCCTTGTCTTACCTTTTACCCACCTGCTCAGCAATCTGCCTGCCCACCTGTTGTCCTCCATCTGTCCTCTGAACAGTTCATCTGTCCACCTATTTGCCTACCATGGATCTCTCATGCATCCACCTATGTGTCCACTCACCCACCCTGCCATCCAAGTATTTTCCCATCTCAGGGTAAGTCAGAAAGGATACAGGTCCAGCCCCTACCTCAGAGAAGCAAGCTCACTGTTTAGTAGACAGGAAGGTGGTGGGGATAGGGGTACAGCAGATGATCCACTCCCATGTCCATATCCCTGGCTCTAGGCACCCCTCACCCCCTCACACACACCTTTCCTGAGCCCAGCCCACTGCTGGGAGCTCTGGGACTACTTCAAATACCTTCTTGTCTCAAGCTAGACATATCTGGAAATCGAGGGGATGAGATGAATGACACCCAGGCTTGGTGAGGGTGCCATCGCCTGCTACCTTCTCTGACCCTTGATGGCTCCTTTGTTTCTTAGGACATGGAAGTTCTGTCCCAGGAAATTGTGCGGCTCAGCAAGGAGTGCGTGGGGTCCCCCGACCCCGACCTAGAACCAGGAGAAGCCAGCTAAAGACCTGCAGGCTGCACCCACTCCCTTCCTTCTCTGGCTCCCAGGACACCATTCCCTTGGGCTGTGGTGGGAAAATGGGGGTGGGGCCAATATCAAATAGGTTGGGAGACTGGACATTAAAGGGGTTGGAGGCCTGATGGCTGGTGTCAGTGACCCTGTCTTAGGGCTGAGGCCCCTGGGGAGTGGGGAATCCTGAGGGGAGGGGCAGGGTTTTCTCTTCTTCCTTGGTCCTGGCTCCCAGGGGCCTTTGCCTTCATCTCTGCATGAGCTCTCCCTCCAAGAGACCAACTCTTTTTATTTAATTTTATTTTTTAATTTATGTCTGGAAGCCTGGCTACTCTGCATTTGGGATTGGGGATGTTGGGTGGGGCATGGTCCATGTTCAGCGTTCTAGCAATGTGTGTGTGTGTAAAGGCTGTGTAGCCAAAATACCATCTGGCCAGATGGGCCCACCCACTCACTGTCTGCTCTGATTCTTTCCAACTATGAGGGATGTGCTTAGGGTAGGGAGGTTACTGGAAGGGGGAGGGTGGTCACTGGGTGCACCTTTACTCTTCTTCCCCCACCCTCAGCCAGCCTGTCTCCAGTTACTGTTGACCAGTCTCAAACTGAGTGGAGCAGAAATACCCACAGACATGTATGTGGGTGGATATGTTTGGGGTGTGGGTATAGATGAGTGGACAGATGGGAGGATGGATAAGTGCTTGGATAGACTGGTGGACAAAGTAGAATGTTGCATGGGTTGGTGATGGGAAATAAATGGACGGATGGATAGGTGATTGGGTGAATAAATGGACAAATGGGTTGCTGGACAAGTGGATAGGTAGAGGAGGAACAAGTGGGGATATAAATGGAGAGATGGATGGCTAGGGGGATGTGTGGATGGATGAGTGGGCAGGTTGATGGATGAGCTAATTGGAAGACTAAAGAGTAGGTATAATGATAGGTAGAGCTATGGATGGGCTTCCCTGATAGCTCAGTTGGTAAAGAATCTGCCTGCAATACAGGAGAGCCCGGTTTGATTCCTGAGTTGGGAAGATCCGCTGGAGAAAGGATAGGCTACCCACTCCAGTATTCTTGGGCTTCCCTTGTGGTTCAGCTGGTAAAGAGTCTGCCTGCAATGCCGGAGATCTGGGTTTGATCCCTGGGTTGGGAAGATCCCTTGGAGTAGATAAAGGCTACCAACTCCAGTATTCTGGCCTGGAGAATTCCATGGATTGTATGGGGTCACAAAGAGTCAGACACTACTGAGTGACTTTCACTTTCACTTTTAGAGCTATGGATAGATGGGCAGATAGATGGGTGGCAGTGGGGAATCCATATGGATAGGTTGATAAATAGGTGTATGAGGTTAATATACCAATGGATGAGTGAATGGGTAGGTGAGTTAATGACTAGATGGATAGGTGACTAGATGACATAGATAGTGACTAGATGGTGAGTTAATGACTAGATAGACCCATCTAAATGGATAGATGTGTAGGTAGAAGGAAGGGTAGAGGAATTGGTTGTGTGAGTGGAGGAATGGATGGGTAGGTGGGCAGTGGGTAGGAGGAGGGCTGGATACATGGACAGATCAGGATTGTGATGAACAGATGGAGGATTACATGGGTGTACAAGTCCGTTGAACGGCTAAAATTGGTCCTGCTCCCCCATTGCCACATACCTTTAATTACTAAAGGTGAGGTGTCCTCTGTGTGCCATGCCCCTCTCACATCACTCCATTTAATGTTCCCAATGACACTCATGTTGGGGGTCACTCTCCATGGACAACAAGGAAAACAATGTAAGTCACTTGCTCAAGGACACACATCAGTGGCACAGCTGGGGTTTGAACCCACCCATGCCTCAGGCACTCTTGCTGCCCAGGAGCAGAGCCCTCTAGGGACGGAGGCATGATTTGAGGCTCCTGGATGTAGACACATGGGGAAGACTGCACCTCAGAGTGGAGACTGCCTGGGGGAGAGCGTGCTACCTGGCCTTGTCCCCATCTGTACTCCCCTTATGCCCCGACTCCCACCCCTGTTTCACATCTGAAAATGGAGGACAGTGCTCCAGTCCCACAGCAGGTGTCTTAGAGCTGGACTTTAACCCAGGATCTTCAAGGAGCAGCTTTGGGGGTTTGGTGTCTAGGAAAACGCCCCCCACCAATCCCCCGCCTCCTTCTCCAGCCTAGGGGGCAGGGTCGGGACACAGCGCTGCATCATTCCCCATGGCACTCTGCGCTCTGGGGCCATTAACCGATGCTTCCCCATCGATCGATCTGCTAAGTGCTGCTGATTCAGACGGGTGGGGGCGGGGGCCCTGGGGGCAGAGGGGGTAGATCTGGGCAGGAAGAGGGGGGAGTCCAGGAAGGAGGTGGGGAGAATTGGCAAAGCTCCCTGCCACCCCCATTTTCCAGATGACGCGACTGAGGCCCAACCAGCTTTGTAGGAGGCGGAGTCTCCCCAGGGTCCCTCTCAGGCTGTCCTAGGGGAGGGGTCTCTGGGAGCCACGAGGCCCCTCCCTGCCTCTCCCTCCATCTCCCGGCAAGCTCAGAGGGGCGGGGAGAGAGAGCCAGAGGAGGTGGAGAACTCGGAGCAGCTCTGCAGAGGGGGGCAGGAGCTCCGGTGTTTGATACCCCCAGCCCCAGCGCTGTTGCTGCTGCTGCAACGGGGACATAGGTGAGGACGGCCCTTGGGGAAGGGGGAGGGGGCCACCAACAGTGCTGTCCTTGTCTTTGCCTGATCCAGCCCCCATGCCCTAGCCCACCCTGGGACAGTCCCAAAGGTCCTGCTGGACCGTGTCCTTCCAGAGCCTGCTTCCAGGGACCCAGCCCCCTCCTCCTGCCTGTGCTGCCTTCTCCTCTCCCAGGCCTGGCCGTGGCTGCTTCTCTTCCTCCTCCAGCTGCCAATGCTGCTTTTGCCGATGCCCAGCACACACCGCCAGCCCCTCGGGGTGTGGTTTCCCTAGACCAGCCCCCAACGGTAGGACGCAGCCTGATCCTAGCCTTGCCTGTGGGCCTCCTGCAAGGTCCAACAACCCCCTTCCTGAGACACACCCAACTTCCTTTCAACACCCCAACCCTTTCTCTAGTCCGTTTTGAGGGGGACCCCCCTTCCTCTTCCTCTTAGCCTTTTTTGATTCTCTGGGAGTCCTGGGGCTGTGCCCAACTTCCTTCCAATTGAGTCCCAGCCCTGAGGGGTTTCCCAGGTTCCTTCCCTGCCCCCGGAACTCTTGAGAGCGTGGACCAGGCTTTCTCAGCCCCGCTGGATACCCTTCTCTCTCAGACACATCAGCCTTTGCAAAATAACGTGACCCCGCATCTCCCCTTTTAGATACCCCACCCCCTTCTCCAGCCCCGCTAGGGTCCCTACCTCTCCTTCCTTCCCTAGAACTCCTGTAGAGTGTGGACACACCACCCCCAGGCTGTTCTTGGCAGCTCTAGGCACTCAAGACCTCTCAGCCTCTTTACAACTTCCTGGCTCTGTAGTCACCCCTTAGATGCACCAACCCCTTTCCTAGATCCACGAGGGGGCTCCAATCCCCTTATCTTCTCCCCAGAAGTCTTGAGAGTTTGGACGGCCCTCCTCAATTCTCTCAGACCCTCTACAATCCCCTTCCAGACACTCCCAGCCTCTTGCAAACACCTCTGGTTCTGTTTCTACCCCCTGGATGCCCCAGTCCTCTCTCCAAGCCCACTAAGTGGTTCCAGTTCCTTCTTTCTTCCCTCAGAATTCTTGAGAGTGTGAACAACTCCCCAGTATTTCCTGCTCCTTCCTAGACACCCCCAGATATCTCTCAGAATCCTCTAGAACCATCTCAGTCTCTATGAACCCTCCCTCAGATCCTTCTTGGCATCTGTAGATGCCCCCTTTTTGCTCCTTTCCATGTTCCCTAGCCCCTTTGTGCCCCCTCAAGACACCCCCCTGATCCCTCTAAGACCCTCTACATCCCCCCCAAGCCCTTGCCCATCTCTCTATCTCTAGTTCCTCCTCCTGGTTCCTCTTGGCCTCTCTAGACACCCCCAGTTTCCTTGTGCGAGTGGCCCAGGGCCTCTCCAAGCCTCCACCACCCTGGAGACAGCCACATTTTCCTAAAGGCTTCCCCCAAGTCTCCGAGGGCCTGGGGCGCGGCAGGATGGCGGCAGGCGTGGCCACCTGGCTGCCTTTCGCGCGGGCTGCTGCTGTGGGCTGGTTGCCCCTGGCCCAGCAGCCCCTGCCCCCGGCGCCGGGGGTGAAGGCATCTCGAGGGGATGAGGTTCTGGTGGTGAATGTGAGCGGTCGGCGCTTTGAGACCTGGAAGAACACACTGGACCGCTACCCAGACACTCTGTTGGGCAGTTCAGAGAAGGAATTCTTCTATGACGCCGACTCGGGCGAGTACTTCTTTGATCGCGACCCGGACATGTTCCGGCACGTGCTGAATTTCTACCGCACGGGCCGGCTGCACTGCCCGCGGCAGGAGTGCATCCAGGCCTTCGACGAAGAGCTGGCCTTCTATGGCCTGGTGCCCGAGCTCGTGGGCGACTGCTGCCTCGAAGAGTACCGGGACCGCAAGAAGGAGAACGCCGAACGCCTGGCAGAGGACGAGGAGGCCGAGCAGGCCGGGGACGGCCCAACACTGCCGGCTGGCAGCTCCCTGCGGCAGAGGCTCTGGCGGGCCTTTGAGAACCCGCATACAAGCACCGCGGCCCTTGTGTTCTACTACGTGACCGGCTTTTTCATCGCTGTGTCGGTCATCGCCAACGTGGTGGAGACCATTCCGTGCCGTGGTTCTACACGGCAGCCACCAAGGGAGCAGCCCTGTGGCGATCGCTTCCCACTGGCCTTTTTCTGCATGGACACGGCCTGTGTACTCATATTTACGGGCGAATACCTCCTGCGGCTGTTTGCTGCCCCCAGCCGTTGCCGCTTCCTGCGGAGTGTGATGAGCCTCATAGACGTGGTGGCCATCCTGCCTTACTACATTGGGCTCTTCATGCCCAAGAACGAGGATGTCTCAGGTGCCTTTGTCACCCTGCGGGTGTTCCGGGTATTCCGCATCTTCAAGTTCTCCAGGCACTCACAGGGCTTGCGGATTCTGGGCTACACACTCAAGAGCTGTGCCTCTGAGCTAGGCTTTCTTCTCTTTTCCCTTACCATGGCCATCATCATATTCGCCACTGTTATGTTTTATGCTGAGAAGGGCACAAACAAGACCAACTTTACTAGCATCCCCGCGGCCTTCTGGTATACCATTGTCACCATGACCACACTTGGGTGAGTGCAGACCCTGTGTGGGGAGCTGCCCGGTCAATCAATTATACTCACCTTTTCTGTAAAATTAAAAAAGGTTAGATCAATGATCTCTTTCTCTATTTGAGCTCCAGTCTGTCATCTGTAAAATTGAGAGAGTTGGATTAATCTCCAAATCCCTTCCACCTCTGACAATGCCTTTATTTTCCCTGTCAGGAGACTTGGATTCCAGGATGGTCTTAGCTGCACTGTTTCTGTTGACATTTTACCCCCTGGGCCAGTTTTCCCCTCTGCAAAATGAGAAATGATAACCCCTTCAACATCCAGATGGGCTTCCCTGGTGGCTCAGTTGGTAAAGCGTCTGCCTGCAACATGGGAGACCTGGGTTCGATCCCTGGGTCGGGAAGATCCCCTGGAAAAGGAGATGGCAACCCCCTCCAGTACTCTTGCCTGGAAAATCCTGTGGACAGAGGAGCCTAGTGGGCTATAGTCCATGGGGTCGCAAAGAGTCAGACATGACTGAGCGACTTCACTTTCTTTCTTTCAACATCCAGGGGCAATTCAGTCACATTGTGAAAATTCTCTTCATGTTTCTGGTGCAGTATAAATAGAAATTGGCTTTCTAGCACCCTCTTTTCCATCTTGAGGGCCCATGTCTCCCAACCCTTTAGATTCATCAGCTGTGTGGGGCAGTACCTTTGTGGCTTGGTGATTCCTTGATGTTTCCCCAGAACAAGATATTTACAGTGTTATTTTTTTTTAGTCCTTGAGAGGAAATGGGATAAAAGCATCAGATGAAATCATCAAACTTATTTTGTTCTTAAAGACTTTGTCTAGGGCAGATACTGTGATCCTTTTCTAAATTCCTATCACTGGGATTAGGTAGGCAGTCACTGCTTGGGATCTGTTGAGTGAATGCATTAGGATTACTCAGTACCTTAGTAGAGGTACAAAAAGTTGATTTGAGGTTTCTAAGAAAAATTCTAGTTGGTGGTTCACGATTATGTCGACAAATACTGAGAACAGGTTGGAACTGAGTATTTTGATATCTTTTTATCCTATTCAATCTTCCCAACAACCCTGGGAGGGTGTCTCATAGTTGAGGACATAGTCTGAGATGACACATCACAGAGCCAGAATGGTCAAGTTGGAGAGACTTTTAAATGAGTCAAAGGAAAGAAATAAGAAAGAAGCATCCTGGGAGTGGGGGAGGTTGGGGTTGGGGGCAGGCACAGCCAGAGCAAAGGCCCAGAGGCTGAAGACTGCAGAGGCTGCCTTTCTGTGGAGCGGATCTGGTTCTGTGGTTAGAACAAAAGTACACTGTGTGATCTTGAGCAAAGCAGTTATGGAACCTCTCTGAGCTTCACCCCCCACCCCCAACCAAACAAGTTGGTAAGATTGGCTCTGCTCCATCTCCATTGGAGGGGGAGGGGCATGGTATGGAGAAAGAGAGGGAGGAGTTTCAAGGCTCCCCCCTATTTTTTCATATGAGGACAGTTTCAAGGCTTCCCCCAGGGGAATAAGAAGGGATCCTACCTAGAGAAGGTAAGACACGCAGGAGCAACACCAACAGAGAACTGTTCCTAGGACTCAGAGCCCTTTAGCTGACTTGTGGTGGTGGGACTCTTTCTCTGGGAGGCTATATTTACTGCCTGTGACTTCCTCCTTCTCCCCTATTCTGGGTATTAATAGATTTCTAGCTGACTCAGATGCCCAGTGCACATCTAGGATGGGGGCAGCAGACAGTAGGGGTTGAGGGCCCATTTCTCACTTGACCCCTACTGGTGGCCAGGGAGGTCATTCCCTACAGAGTTTGCAGAGCAAGAAACTGAGAGTTTGAGTGCCTGGCCAGGGTTGCAGAGTGAGTCAGGTTGGATGGGATGTGGTGGGGGACTGAGGGGTGGGTGGGCATATTTCTTGACCTTGGCTTACCTCCCCCGGCCCCAGCTATGGAGATATGGTGCCCAGCACCATTGCTGGCAAGATTTTTGGATCCATCTGCTCACTCAGTGGCGTCTTGGTCATTGCTCTGCCTGTGCCAGTCATTGTGTCCAACTTTAGCCGCATCTACCACCAGAACCAGCGTGCTGACAAGCGCCGAGCACAGCAGGTAACTGCACCTTCCACCTGAGTACCTACTATTCCCCATACCCCAAGCCAGTCTCCTTTTGTTTGCCCACCTGATCTTTTCTCCTCCTCTTTCTGTAGAAGGTGCGCCTGGCAAGGATTCGGTTGGCAAAGAGTGGTACCACCAATGCCTTCCTGCAGTACAAGCAGAATGGGAGCCTTGAGGTGGATAGGGGCTCAGATTGGGGTGAGAGGTGAGCAGCGACAGGAGGTGAAAGGGGCTGACCCTATCCCTCTGCTCTATCCACTCCAGGACAGTGGCGGTGGGGAGGAGCAGGCACTGTGTGTCAGGAACCGCTCTGCTTTCGAGCAGCAACATCACCACTTGCTGCATTGTCTAGAGAAGACGACGGTGAGGCCTAATGAGAGGTGGTATGGCAGAAAGAAGGGGGTCCCTTTTCCACCAAGCTGGCTCCCTTCTGGAATGGGAGGCTCACTACTAACTGTAGAAATCACACAGGGCTTCCTGGAAGAGGCCCCAGTAGAGCTGAGTCTTGAAGGGTGGGCAGGGGAAGGGAAGAGAAAGCAACTGACAGAAAGGAATGGCCTAAGCAAGGGTCTGGGGGTGAGGTCAGTGTCTGTGTGGTACCTTGTGATCATGCCTCCATTCTGCCCGCAGTGCCATGAGTTCACGGACGAGCTAACCTTCAGCGAGGCCCTGGGTGCTGTCTCGCTGGGTAGTCGCACCAGCCGCAGCACTTCCGTGTCCTCCCAGCCAGTGGGAGCTGGCAGCCTGCTATCTTCTTGCTGCCCCCGCAGGGCCAAGCGTCGTGCCATCCGCCTTGCCAACTCCACTGCCTCGGTCAGCCGTGGTAGCATGCAGGAGCTGGACACGCTGGCAGGACTGCGGAGGAGCCCTGCCCCTCAGAGGTGAGGACCCCCACCTGCTGCGCCCCCCTTTCCCCAGGGAAGCTCAGAGCTTGGACCACAGGGTCTGAGATTTCATGACTCCAGATCTCGCCAGTCGAGCTCAAATCCAAACTCCTCCATGCTGGAAGTTTGCTTATCTTGTTTGGAATGCCTCAGTTTTCATTTGTACTTTCAACAAACATTTCTTGAGCACCTACTGTATGCTAGGCACAGTTTGGGGCATTCTGGAGTTCATTTTAGTTTAGGAGTTTAGTTCAATTTAGGAGGTGAATAGAACAGACAGAAATCCTGACATTATGGAACCTATATTCTAGTGGGATGAGACAGTTAAAAAACAAAAACACAGATGGTGCAGTGTGCTTTATTTATTTATTTATTTTTGGCTGCACTGTGTCTTCATTGCTGCACACCAGCTTTCTCTAGTTGCAGTGAGCAGGAGACTACTCTTCGTTGTGGTGTTTGGGCTTCTCATTGTGGTGGCTTCTCTTGTTGTGGAGCACAGTCTTCTAGGCACGCGGGCTTCAGTAGTTGCAGCACATGGGCTCAGTAGTTGCGGCGTGTGGGCTCTAGGGTGTGTGGGCTTCCATAGTTGCAGCACACAGCCTCAGCAGTTGTGGTGCATGGGCTTAGTTGCTCCACAGCATGTGGAATCTTCCTGGACCAGGGATTGAACCTCTGGCCCCTGTATTGGCAGGTGGATTCTTATCCATGATGCAGTATGTTATGTGCCAAGGAGAAAAATAAATCAGGGATGGGGGATAGAGAGTGTAGAACAGGGTGTGATGCAGTTTTAATAGTGTGGTTGGGGAAGGTTTTGCTGAGGTGACATTGGGAGTTGAGACCTGAAGGAAGAGAAGGAGTGAGCCATATGGATATAGAGAGAAAGCTTTCCAGCTAGAGTAAACAGCCTATGCAAAGACCCCGAGACAGGAATGGGTCTGCAGGTTAGAGGCACAGCCAGGAAGCTTCTGTGTGTAGAGTGGAGTGAGAGAGGGGAAGAGTGGGAGGAGGTAAAATCAGAAAGGAACAGGGACCAGGTTGTGTCGTCTTCCTGTAGACTGTTGTGAAGATTCTGACACTGTAAGGAGTAACCATGATAGAGAACACTCTTATGTGTGTGCTCATTGTGTTCCAGACACTATTCTGAGCACTCTGCACCATTTATTATCTTATTTAATCCCCACAACTCTCTGAGGTAGTAAATATTATTTCCATGCTCCAGATGAGAGAAGACAGGTTTAGAGAGGTTAAAGTGGGGTCAGGACTTTTCACTCACTTGGCACCACCATAATTGAGGGTGCAGGGGAAGCACTGAGCTCAGGGCCAGGGACCCAACAGGCACTCAGTAAATGTCATGATTGCTGTGGCAAGTATTAAGATGACTTTTTAAGAACCTTCCATATTCCCACCCTTATCCACAGCCGCTCAAGCCTCAATGCCAAGCCCCATGACAGCCTTGACTTGACCTGCGACAGCCGGGACTTCGTGGCTGCCATCATCAGTATCCCCACCCCTCCTGCCAACACCCCAGATGAGAGCCAACCTTCCTCCCCTGGCGGTGGTGGTGGTGGGGCCAGCAGCACCCTCAGGAACTCCAGCCTGGGTACCCCTTGCCTCCTTCCCGAGACTGTCAAGATCTCTTCCCTATGACAGGCAGGCCTGCCCATCCAGAGTGCCCTCCCAATTCTTGGGGACTCCTTTCCAAAGCCATATTTTGGGAAGGTAGAGAAGGGCAGGCCTGGGGACCCCTTCTGCCCCCCACTGAGAACTATGCAATGGAGTTTCACGGAATGGCCTACCTGGTGGGGAAATAGCCAGGGAATGGAAAACTTCCCCTACCCCAGACAGCTTTCCTTGTGGGAGCTGAAGTGCTGGGCTTCCTCAGACCCTCAACCTCCTTGCCCCAGCACACTGGGACTGGCCCCTCTACCCAAGCTGGCCTCCTGCATGCTCCTCCCCTCCCCAGTTCTGACACAAGAAGGAGAGGTGAGACTTCCTCTTCTCTCTGGCTGAGCTATGGAGGTTTGGGGGTTCAGAGAAGAGAACTCTCACTGATGATCTGGCCTCTAGAAGAAGACCCCACCCTCCACCAGGCCCAACAACTGCCAAATTCTGAAGCTTGGAATGCAACCACAGGTTTCATGGGCTGTGGTTTCAGCAGTGACCTGCCACCCCTAAACTTTGGCTGAGGGGTTAGGCTGCCTTTCCCCAAACACACAGATAGCACAAACACCACTCCCCTTCCCTGGCTGCTGGAAATGGGTCCCCACAACCCTGTCCTCCACTGGGCCGCCAACAAACTCTAGCAATAGCAGCTGCTGCCGTGACATTATGCAAAGCCTCTGCCCAGTTTGCTGCAGCATTTACATCTGCCCTAATCATAGGGGCCACCTCTAACTATGCCTCCTTCTCTCTTCTCTGGTTTACCTCCTTCCTGGGTTGGGCTGGAGTCTGGACTGGCTGAGATAAAAGTCTGGCAGCCAGCAAGAACTGGGCTGTGTTTAGAGATCATGGGCTGACTCCATGTTCTTGGGCACGAGTCCAGAAGCATCAGGGACTGAGGCCCAGCTTATTCCTGAACTCTAAGAGTTGTAGGTGGCAGGAGAAACTTCTTGATCTCCTCCTCCAACCCCACAATGCCTTTTCACATATTCCTCTCTCTTCTCCCTCTTGGGTCACCTTCCAGAACTCTCTGTCTGCTCTCAGGCTGAAATCTGGCATCATCTCAGGTTCCCTGTCCCCAGCACTGTCCCTGTGGAGTTGGTGGCTGACCAAGATGTAGTTTCCATCAGTCAATAAAACCTGAGAGGAGAGATGAGGATGAGCACCTCCTGGCTCTGTGGGTTTGGGGCTGGGTAGGACTGGGGGGTTGAAAATACTCCAATTTCAATTCCTTTTAACTAGTAGAAGGGCTATTATGGGAAAAGTTATGGGAGGTGGATGGTTGCTGGTGTATTTTAGAAGATGGGGATCTAGGAGAAGTGGAAGAGGGTGCTTAGAAAAGGTAAATCTACAGCCAGTGAGACAGACTAGGAGATCCTGAGACATGCCCCATGAACATAATTTGCTCCAGCCCCCTCACTCACAGATAGAGAAACTGAGAACCAAGGCAGCACACACTTGCTTAGAGAAGACTTAAAACTAGGCTTTCTGACAGCAAACAGTTCTGAATTAAACCCTGATGAAAAGCATCTCTCGGTTTGGCGAATTCCGCTTCCTTGTGGATGTCCCCTACCTTTACTCTCTCTTTTGGGCCACTGGATACTCTAGACTAGCGTAACTGAGATCTGTGGAGCACCGAGAAGACAACCCTTGGATTCAGGATGACATGGGTTCCAGTCCCTGGGTGAGAGGATCACTTATCTTCTCTGGCCTCAAGTTGCTAATCTGTGAAATAGAGATAACCATTCACTTATGCACCAAATATTTATTAACTGCATATCACGTCCTAGCCCTAGGTGTACAAAAATGGGCAAAGTAGACATCTCTGATCTACAGGGGTGAGTGTGGAAGGCAATTAAGCAATTACAGCATAGTGTAGTAGAACCAAGATTAATGGATGGCAGGAGAATCTAACCTGGCCAAACAATGAATTGGAATTGGCCAGGCAAAAGACCAAAGAGTGGAACGTTTTAGGCAGAGGGAACAGCATGTTCAATGACCTGGAGGTTAGAGCACCAGCTCAGGGCCTTGGGAAACTGAAGTGGTTCAGCACAGCTGGTGAGGAGAGTGTGAGGCTGTGATGAAGGTGAGGATGTATAGGCCAGGTGAGAATGTAGGCCAGATAACAAAAGGCCTTTGAAGCTATGATACAGATGTGGACTTCATCCTAAGGATAATGGGGAACCCTGAAGGCTTATAAACAGGAAAGTCATCCTGAGGTTTGTTTTTCAGAAGGATTATTTTGACTGTGGGAAGTAGATTACAGAGAACCAGTCTTGGAGGGAGGAAGAACAGTGATGAGTCTTTTGCAGTTGTCCAGCTGGCAGATGATAGTGGTTTAGACCAGGTAGGTGACAGCAAGAGTTAGAAAGTCAAGAGATTGCAGATACAGGATTGGCAAAATTTGGGGTTGACAGATATGTGGGATTTGAGGAAGAGGAAACAGGGTTAACTCCCAGGTTTCTGTCCTGGGCAAAGACTAGAGGGGGGTGCCATTCATTCATTGGCAAAAGGAACATCAAAGCTGTTGAGCACACAGTGACAGGCACATAGTACTTCGTGAAGGTTGACTACAATTATTATCATAAGTTAACTTCTAGACGTATAGTGGGACAAATATTGAGTAGGGAGTGGGATATATGGGTAAGTGAGAGGGTCATGAGATGATTCAGTGTGATAATTTGCATAGGCATTTGGCACAGTGCCCTAAACACAAGAAGCTCAGTTAACATGAGTCTTCTCCTCCAATTTAGTCTCATAAGCAGAAAATACCATTATAGTCTATTTATTACTGACACCTTCAGGGAAGACATTTAACTAGGGTTGGCATCTGAGGGAGAAGGTTGAGTGGCACTGAGAAGAGTTGTATGATGGCCTGTTATATGGCTTGGCTCCTAAGACTGGCAAGGAGCCCTCACCTCTCACAACACTTTCTTCGTTCATGAGCTCAACTCAACTCGAGGTAGTCTGGGCAGGCATTATCATTCCCGTTTTACACATGGGTAACCTCAAATTTGAGACACTGACTTTCTCAAGGTCAAACAGTGGTAATGGTTCACGTGTGCCTGGAACTGAGGTCCTCCTGACTCAAAAGCTTGGGGTCCTTTCCATTGCACCACAGTACAGACTAATTTAGTGATGTGCCAGGCATAGCACCAGACCCTTTGCAAGGATTAACCTCTGATCCTTGAATTGGGATTATCATTGCCATTTACAAAGTAGAAACTGAAAATGGGGTGGGTATTAAATGATTTGTCAGAGATCACTCAGATAGGAGAGGCACAGCGAGGATTAGCTTGTAGTTCTCCATCCGTTCAGTAGCAGGAATTTTACCAACTTTACTGCTAGACGCTGGTTGGTGACCGAGCTGGTTTATAAACATTGCTCGATTCAGGTAAACAGTTTCAGAGGAGGAAAAAAAAAAATATACCGCGCCTGCGCGCTAGCCGCGGAGGCGGGGAGGTCAACGCGAGGGCGAGAGTACGCGGATGCCAGAGAGGGCGTGTTTGCTTCCCAAACACCCACTTGTCCCCACGATGCATGTCTGTCCCAAGGTTGGCCCTTCCGACTTGAGTGGTGGCATCTCTTAACCAATCACCGCGGAAGTCGGCCTGTTGCCAGGGTGAAGCGGCGCCCGCCTCTCCACCGGATGTGAATTTGTAGGTGGGTGGAACCGGAATTGACGCTTCAGGAGCTAGCTAAGCTCTGGGAGTGTTGATATTTTTGCAGTCAGTCTGGCTGACTTCGGCCAACTTAGAAGCCTGGGAGGGAGGCGATTTTAAACTTTCTGTGCGTGGGGCAAGCCACGCTGTTCTGTCGCAGTGCCCCCGCCTGCGAGTCAGAGCCTCGGGGAAAGAAGAGCCGGACGGAACCAGCGAAGGGAAAGGCAAGGAACAAGGGTGCCGACTTTGACTGAAATCTGAGACGGAGGGCAGGGGAGGGCGACGTCCGGTTCTGATTGGCCTGTGGGCATCATCGAACACCCACGCAGCCGCTTCGATTGGTTGGTGCTCGCAATTGTTGTGGCGGCAACGAAGATTTTGCCCACGTACTTCCGAGCGAGAGGAGGGGCTGTGCCCCAGCGCGCCTGCGCAACGTTCCAGGCCCCACCCGGTAGTTCAAGAACCTGCGAGGGGGCGGGGCGAAGAGGTGCTTGTTTTGGTTCTGTTTTCTTTGAAGCCGTAGGCCGGAACGAGCGTAGCAATAAAGTTGCTGGACTTGGAGAGGCTACGACAAGCTCGCCGCGGTGCCTTAATCTTGGACTTCACATCCGGGTTCTCCTGCCGCGTGACCCGCGTTCCACCGACGGTTCGAGAACCGGTGCCGCGCGCTCTTTATCCGGGTCCCGGCGATCCCGTCGTCCTTCGCGCACCACTGTAGCCCCCCCCCATCCGGGTCCTCTCCCAGCGTCCCCAGCGCCGGGTTTGCTGGGGGCTACTCGGCGGTGCCGCCATGACTATTCTCCCCAAAAAGAAGCCGCCGCCTCCCGACGGCGATCCCGCCAACGAGCCGCCGCCGCCCGGACCGCTGCCCCCGGCGCCTCGCCGCGGCGGGGGTGTAGGCGTGGGCGGCGGCGGCCCGGGTGTGGGCGGCGGCGACCGCGACCGTGACTCGGGCGTCGTGGGGGCCCGTCCTCGGGCTTCGCCACCGCCTCAAGGCCCTCTCCCGGGGCCACCGGGTGCGCTTCACCGCTGGGCGCTGGCCGTGCCGCCTGGCGCCGTGGCGGGCCCTCGGCCACAGCAGGCCTCTCCACCTCCTTGCGGGGGCCCTGGAGGTCCCGGCGGCGGTCCTGGTGATGCGTTGGGTACAGCAGCGACGGGCGTGGGCGCGGCGGGTGTGGTGGTGGGCGTGGGCGGTGCCGTGGGTGTGGGCGGCTGCTGCTCAGGGCCGGGTCACAGCAAGCGGCGGCGTCAGGCTCCCGGGGTTGGTGCGGTTGGCGGGGGCAGTCCTGAGCGTGAGGAGGTCGGCGCAGGTTACAACAGTGAGGATGAATATGAAGCGGCTGCAGCGCGCATAGAGGCCATGGACCCCGCCACCGTCGAGCAGGTATGGGCATTGGGGTGGGGGAGGTGAGTGAATGTGGTGGATGGGATCCCTAGACTGGCTAGGGACCCAAGGAAGGCTGTTTGAGCCTGCTTCAAGGGGCCTATGTCTTCTTTCTTGAGTCTGGCACTCTTTTCCCTGGTGATGGGGTTGCGAGACACTCTCCCACCCCGCCCCACCCCCCCCGCGAGATTTGGGATTAGAGGCCGCAGATAAGATGGAGGATTTAAAGATGGGGTCTGTGGTCTTTTCTAGGACCCGTAGTTGATGGTGGGCCCTGGGGCCTCATCGTGTAGGGCCAGTAAGGTAGGCACTCCCCAGGAGAGACCAGGCAGAATGGAATGTCTCCTGAGAGGGGAGTCTCGTGACTTTCCAAAGGACCTTGGTTTGTGTTTGGTGACTTGAGGTTTCTTTTCCCCTGGAATGAGATTCTTAAGATTCCTTCTCCTGGGAATACAAGTAAGGTGGCGACCTCAGAGATAACGAGTGTCCCCAAGATACCTAAATCCTTTTCAGGGGTCTGAGACACTATATAGGGCAACCCTTTCTCCTCCTCAGGGGAATACAGCACAGGGCCATGCAGCAGTGGAGTCTGAGACTCCCTTTTCTAGAAGTCAGGGAATTGACACACACACATACATATTCTCTTATGATCTCTTTCCACTTGGGTACTAGGATAAAAACCAATACGGCTGGAGAAACTCCACTAGAGTACATGAGATTCATCCCTTTCTAAGTGACAGGGGTCTATGCTTTCTCTGAAGGATCTGAGACCTCCTTGGAGACAAGAGTCTGAATCTTTCTCTAGGAGCTTAAGCTTTTTTTTAAGGGCTGGGCACCCCTCCCCCAGGCCTGAACCTTTCTTCAAGAAAATGAGACTCACTGTTTTGTATTTTGGAGCCTAGGATTCCCCCTGCCTATAGCCTGGGGCTTTTAGGTCTGAAGCCCTCTTCAGGAAATTGATATCCTCCCAGAGGTCCCTAGGGGACTTTGCTACTCAGGGACTGGTCTGAGTATTCTCTTTGGGCATCTGAGACCCACTGTGTCAAGGATTCTTGAGCTTTCTTTCAAGGATAAGAGATGCATACGTACCTCACTGACGAGTATGTCTGTAGAGATGAGGTCCACACTTCCCCTTCAAGGAACTTAAGGCACTCTACTTAGGAACAGGAGGTCTCCCTGGACCAGAATTGAGCCCTGAGACCTTTCCCTTGGGGCATGGATAGAGTCCCTCTGGAATAGGGTTCTGCATCTCCCCTCATGAGTTTGACTTTGCCTTGGGTTCATGAGACACCTCTCCCACCTTTGGACCTAATATCTGAACCTACCCTGAAAGAACTGTCACCTCACTTAAAACAGCATATGTGTACCCTAGTCTTAAGAGGCCTTTTGGGGTCATAAAATTTCCTGCCTTGGGGACTTGAGCCTAAGCCCACCTTCCACTTTGAACTGAATCCTTCTGGCTGCTCATTCCCCTTGGGGACATGGGTAAGATGGGATTCTGAGGGAAGGAGTCTGAGTCTCCTCCCAGGGGCCTGAGCTTCCCCTCTGGGACTAGAGATCCTTTCCATTAGGGAGGGGCTTGAGCTCTCCTCTTGGGTATGAGGCTCTCCCTCCCTCCCTACTCCCCCAACCAGACAATCCTTTCTCATCTGGGAGAAGAATATGATGTCACCCCACTGTAGCCTGAGGCCATCCGCAATTGGACAGAGGACCTGGATACTTTTCACAGTCATAAGAATTCCCTGTCTGAGCTAGCTCAGGCTAGGAAGTTCCCCTTACTTTCTATGAGAAGGTTGTCAGGTAGGTACTGGGGACATAAGGACTAAGAAAGAACTCCTATCCTCAAGAACTAGGAGGATGTGCTGAGTCTCCCTGATTCAGCTGTGCTTCTAATTTTCTGGATCAGAGAAATATTCTGAGTTTTCTGAATAGCTTTCAACAAGCTTTTTTCTTCCAGAGAGAGGGAAGGGGTTTGGCACATCCCCACTGCAGGGGATTCTCCACCCACATTCTTTCCCCCCTTGGCTCAGGTAAATCTTTCTATGCTTCACAGGGTCCAAGGCCTTGTCTTGAGCCCTCATCCTTGTTCCCTTTTCATCCATTACTGCTTCTCCTGGCAGGATGAATCATCTTTCAGGGTCTGGACCAGGAGTTATTTCTTCTCTCCCTGGTCGTGATAAAGTGTGCCTTTCCTTTTCCTTATTTCCTACAGAAATAAGGAGTTTCAGGGGCAAAGAGAAAGTCATGTGCCACCATGGTGACTAGAAAGACACCTCCTTACATCCCCTTTGCTATCTCTTAGGCTAGGAGTTCTTCCCTTGTATTGACCCCATAAGAACATGGAAGTCAAGTTGTGTGGTTGCATGATACCTTCCCTTCCCAGTGACAGAGGAGAGGTTTCGTGCTCTCTTTACTTCTTGGGACAAAAGGACAAAGAAGGTGCTTCTTGCCTCACCTAGTTCAACTAGGGGATGAAAATAGGAGAGATTCTTCCTGCTCCCCTACTTGGTCCTGAACCATCATTGGAGCCATTTGTGAGCAAAGGGCCATTTAGACCCTTGGGAAAGGGGAGAGTTGTTGAGAAGGAGTCCACATGGTGACTCTGGTCCTTGTGACCGTCCAGACTTCCTGTCTGTCCTGGTGCTGTTACTATATCTACTGCCTTTAAGAGCCCTTTTGACACCCCAGAGGTCCCAGTGCTAGGAAGGTGGTGGTGTCAGGGATTTCCTTTTCTGGGTATGGCTGCCTTGCCAGAGTCTCCCCTGTGAAAAGAATGACTTGAGAGGGTCCTGAGCTTGAGGACCTCACAGAGCATTTTGAGGTCTCCTTAGCCACTGGACCACCAGGGAAGCCCCTCACAGAGCATTTTGAGAAGGGGGCCTGTGTGCTGAGATGGTGGAAGAAGGTGGACCTGGCACTATAGCCAAGCTGCCAGGTTTCCCATTCTGGCTCTGCTGGGGCTTTTCTGGATGAACCAGAATTGTTCTGCCTATGCGCCCTGGGCCAGTTTTCTTATTGATGAGGTAAAAGTTGGTGGGGCATTGTTTAACTTTGGGATTTCAGGGAGCTCACACCAAAGCCCTTTGGGCCTGGAGGTGATAGGGTATGGTAGGTGTCTTTCAAGGAAGAACTGGGTTCCTCCCCCACTCCCCTATTCCCTCTCAGCCATCCAAGCTTGGTGGTCAGGACAAACAATCTGGTTAGTGTGAGGCTCAGGGTTGGCCTCATAGTGATTTTTGTGGCCAGCTAGCTTGGGGGTTGTTAGGAGCCCTTTTGGATGGTGTAGAGGTAGGTTTGTGTGTAGAAAAAGTTTAGGCTTTGGACCTGATAGGTCTGACTTCAAATCCCAGGACTCCTGCTTAGCTGCCAAAAGTACATGCATGCCCAGTGTTATTGACTCAATATCTGACCTGGCCCACCTTGGACCTTGGCTGATTCTTCTTCTGCAGTTTCCCCAGGATCATCTGGGTTCTTCCTAGGAGCATTTGAAACAATTTCATTTGGCACCTATGAACCTGCTGATTGCTCTGATCAGGAGGCAGAGTGGTATAGCAGCAAGTGGTTGGACTCAGCCTGGGCGTCTGAGTTTGAGTCCTGTATCTTCTGCAGTTACTTTTTCAGGGTCTCAATTTCTCCATCCATAAAATGGGTAGTGATGAAGAAAGAGGTTGTACTCATTGCTCTGTAATGTCTTTAATTCTCTGCTCCTTACTCCCCTCATCCATTGTGAAAGTCTTGAATGGGGTCCCTTGGCTTTTGGGGGTATGCTATGAAGTTTTAAGCAGTTACCAGCTTCCCTCTGCCCAGCCAGTGCTGTAGGCCTTTGTGTGTGTGTGTGTGTTTAACAGCTTTATTGAGACATCTTTCACACATCAAAAGGTGTACAATTCAGTGACTTTTAGTATATTCACAAGTTTTGCATCTGTCATCACAATCAGTCTCTTTTAGAACATTTTCTTCACCTCAGGAAGAAGCCCTGCATCATCATCATCATTGTCCCCTATCCCTTCATCCCTTCTCAGCCCCTGGCAACCACTCATTTACTTTTGTCTTGATTGATTGGTCTTTTCTGTACATTGCATATAAATGGAATCATATACTATGCAGTCCTTTGTGACTTCATTTCTTTCATTTACCATAATGTTTTCAAGGTTCATCCATGCTGTAGCATGCATCAGGACTTCTTTTTGTTGCAGAATAATAGCATCTCCGGTTTTTAAAAATTTATTTTTATTTTTTGACTGCACCCAGTCTTAGTTGTGTCATGTGGGATCTGGTTCCCTTGCCAGGGATTGAACGTGGGCCACCTATATTGGGAGTGCAGCCTTAGCCACTGGACCACCAGGAAAGTTACCTGCATCTTTTTTTTTTTTTAAATTATTCCCCCCCCCCCCCCCGCCCAGTGGCCTAGTAGTAGGTTTGGGGCCTTGCTCTTTTCTGATTCCTCTGCTGCCCTGGAGAGCTCTGTTAGTCCTTTTTTTTTTTAATATTTATTCATTTATTTGGCTGCACCAGGTCTTAGTTGCAGCATGTGGGATCTAGTTCCCTGACCAGGGAGCGAACCTGGGTCCCCTCCATTGGGAGCTCAGAGTCTTAACCACTGGGCCAGCAGGGAAGTCCCCTCTGTTAGTCCTTAAAGAGCAGTGTGTCGTCTGTGTTTCTCACTAGATGGGTTGCCTATGTTTAGCCCATGGAGCAGAGCCAGTGTTCTGGGTGTTTTGGGGGAGAGAGGGGTGGTCTTGGCACCAGACTTGCTGGGACAGAGCTGTGTAGTCCAGAATACTAAAATCCTCTTGGCTGTGGGCTCCTCCCACACATCTGTCTGTCCATGAGCTACCACTGCTGCTGCCATCTCCCCCTGCCGCCTCCTTGTTTCATTGGCAACTCATTCATCGATAAGACAGGGTCAGCAGCTTCCCAGGCTGGGAGGGGGGATTCCAGGCCCTTGCAGCTTTAATTCTAACCCTTTCCCTGGGGGTGGGATGCAACTGAGGTGGATTCTGTGGGGTGGGAGCCATGCCATGTTGCCTCACAGTTCACGCCGGGGAGTGCTACAAGGGTGTTGTATTTGTGTCCTGTGGCTGCTGTGACAAATTACCACAAACTTGGCGGTTTAAAACAGAAATTTATTCTTTCTTTGTTCTGCAGGCCAGAAATCCAAAATCAGTTCCACTGGGTCAAAATCAAGGCACCGGCAGGGCCAAACTTCTTCCAGAGTCTCTAGGAGAAAATCCAGTCCTCTTCCAGCTTCTGGTGGCTGCTACCATTCCTTAGTTTTTGACTGCATCACTCTGACCTCTGCCTGTCTTCTCTGTGTATGGGTGGTCTCTCCTGGCTGTGTCAGATCCTCCTCTGCTGTCCTAAGGACACTTGAAATTGCATTACATTTAGGTCCTACCCTATTCCAAGATAATCTCCCATCGCAAGATCCTTAACCACATTTGCAAAGACCCTTTTTCCTTGTAATATTTACAGGTTCCAGGGATTAGGGCCTGATATTTTTGGGTGATCATTATTCAGGAATGTTCTTGTTTCCCTTCCAGGGCGAGAAAGGGAACTCATTAAGTGCTCTCATACTGACCAGTCTTGTAATATTTGAGTCTGTCCAGTAGTATCCTTGTTATTGGGAGACTTGTTGGCCTGTTTTACAGATTGGAAAACTGTGGCTCAGAGCAGTTAATCACTGACTAATAATTGTTGGAGTTGGATTGGAACCTACGTCAGTTGGGTCCCACGGGCTGCTTCAACTTTTCTTGAACCTTTGAAGCAGTAGGTTGCAGTTTTGTACCTCAGATGCCGTCGTGTCAGAGAGCTTTACCCAGCCCCATTTTGGAGGCTCAGAGATGTGGAGGGAGTTGCACACAGGTTCAGCAGTGGGCTTGCAAGATTCAGGGTCTGGACTTTTTTATTTCAATTCATTATTATTTTGGCCATGCCATGCCTCATGCAGGATCTTAGTTCCCTGACAAGGGATTGAACCCATGCTCCCTGTGGAGTTTTAACCACTGGCCCACCAGTGAAATCCCAGGGTCTGGCCCACCAGTGAAATCCCAGGGTCTGGACTTGACTTTCTTAGGCCAGGGCATTGATGTAGCTTATGGCTGGGCCTGCTCCCACCTCTTACTCCCGCCAACCCTTCCTTCCTGGGCCATTTTCCTAAACAGCATCCAAGTTGGCACCTTCTTTGGAGGTTCCTGTCTAGCTGGGGAAGGGATAAAACTGTGTTCTGAGCTCTCGGGACTCTAGGCTCTCTTTGAAGCCCAGGACCATGACCTCCCTGTTTTCTCCCCACAGCGGGAGAGAAGGGGTTTCAGCCAGAGCCTGCTCCAAAGGCTGCTGGTGCCAAAGGCAGTGGGTGATTGGTTGTCTGGCTTCCATATCCAGACCAAGATGCCAGTCTGGCTGCCCCAGGACCAAAGCCTTGGCTTGTGTGAGGGGAACACACAGGCCTTCTCCACTTTTAAGGACAAATCAGGATTTCCCCAAATGGGCTGCCAGGTGTGTTTCCATGCTGTGATTCATGAAGCTTCTCTTGTTGCCTCTACACTAGGCTTTGCTGATGCCCCAGTCCCAGTTCCTTTCTGCCTTTATAAAATGAAGATAATACTTCCTGCCACCTGAGCTGTGGTAAGGACAATTAAATGAGATTACCTTTTGCATCTGGCACCTGACATGGTAGGCATTTGGCTAATAAGAATTCATCTTTTTTTCCTGGCTCTGCCCTGCTTACTTGCCTAGTCCTCTCCAGGACTTCAGCTCTGCTGAACTCATTGTTGGGTCTCTGGCATCTGTGGAATGACAGAAGTGATTACTAAGCATTTCTGGAGGTCTTGGTATTTTACTTCTTTACTCAGGTGGCACCTCCTCTCAGATGCCAGCCTTAATGACTGACCCAGGTCCCTTGCTCTGTTTCACAGCAACCCTGTGTTCACTTCTTTTAAAGCCCTGCTCACACTTGTGTGTGGATATTGCCTATTTCCCCACCCCCTAGCAGTTTATGAATTTATCACAGTTGAGACCAAATCTGATTCATTTTTCTGTCCTCATTGCCAGTCCAGGGTCTGACTTAGTAACTGCCTGGTAAACCTTTGTTGGATGAATAGGTAGGAGCACCTCTCGTGCTCTTTGACCCCCTTTTCCCCTGTTGATCTCTCCCCCCCCAATACTTGAAGTCAGGAGGTTGCTGTGTGCACTGCTTCTTTAGAACTTCTGTCCAGTCTGGGATTATAGTCATAGTTGCAGCTTCTCTGCAGGTGCCATGGTGCTGGAAGATGGCTGACCTGCAGGGCAGGGATAGGGAACTGGCTGGAGCAGGCTAGTCCAGTGTGACAGCCTCCGGGGAAGGAGGGACACCTGGACTGCTGGAATGTTGTACATAAACAAGAGTTTGTGCTGCCTGTGGAAGCCCATTAAGAGCTTCCAGGTGCCTTTGTCATCTCTGGAAAGCCAGCCACACCTTCCTGGGGTGTAGGCCCTGATGGTGGCGCTATAGGGTATTCTCTTGTCCCCCGTGCTTCATCTCCTGTCTAGCCACTCACCTAGGACTTTCTGAGGGCCTCTCAGTTCTACGTCCCCTATGTGTGTGCTGGTCTTGTCCCTTCTCTTTCTGGTGACCCCCTCACCAGTGCATGGTATGTTGTTTAGAAAGCCTTTTCAGTTCCTGAAACTTCTCTAAGCCTCTTGACAGCTCTGTCAGGCAGCTCAGATATCCCCCGTTTGATAGGAAACTGAGGTTTGAAGAGTTCAGGTAGATTACCTAAACTCATGCAGCAAATGAGTGACAGAGCTGGGCTTGGACCCAGAGCTTTTATCCTCTAGATCTTGTGCTTCCTACTTTGCCAGGAGTTTCTCTCATCTGAGATAGTAAAAAATGGCCTGCAGAGAGGTGATCCCCTCTGTCTGATCAGCAGTAGCCCAGATCTTATAAATCCCTGGGCTGGGTGGTGTGACCAAGGAGCAGCCTTGAGATTTCTGGCCCCTGGGCCTGATGCGGGTCAGGCTGACTTCTTCTGGTGACCAGCAGATGGCGTGAGGAGGCTAAGAAAGGTCTGCTGGTTTGTTTAGTGTTGAGATGGAAAATGTTTTAAGTGACACGTGGACATTTTTTTAATAGACTTTATTTTTTTTGAGCAATTATAGGTTTATAGCAAAACTGAGTGGAAGGTACAGGGAGTTCCCATATACGTCCTGGCCCCAACCATGGAGAACTTCCTCCAGTATCAGTGTCCCCCACTAAGTGGTACATTTGTTATAGTCATTGGACCTACATGGACATGTCATAATCACCCAAAGTCCATAGTTTGCCTTAGAGTTTGCTCTTAGTGTTGTTCATTTTCTACAGGTTTGGATAATTGTATAATGACATGTAACCACCATTACAGTATGTAGCATAGTTTCACTGCCCTAAACATTCTATATGTTCCACCTATTCATTAAAACGTTTGCAAATACACATTTGTACGGGTTCACTTAACCCACACCTTTAGGGCCAGCTGTACATTTGAATTTAGAAATATTTCAGAATTTGAGGAAAGTCACTTGGATGTAAACTGTGTATTATGTAACACTTTCCGTGGGGTCTATAGCAGCACTTCAAAGTCAAACACCTGGATGTTTCTGCTTGGAAATGTTTGAATATTCGCTTTTAAGTGAAATAGATGGGTTCTTGTCAGCTCAGGTCAGATTGTGATGCTAAATGAGTTAGATAAAGACTTGGTTTTAAAAGCTTTTAGAATTTTGGATAACATATTGTATACCTGTTATAAATGAAGTGGTGAAGTAGAATCACCTGTAATACCAACACTTAGGGATAATATTTTGTTGTGTAAAGTGTTCCCAACTTTGTGTGCATGTGTGTTTGTATACTTATGCATATATATATGTATATGTTAAATGTCACAAGTGAGATTGTACTTTGCATATATTTTGCTTTATACAGTATATCTTGGAATTTTCTGGCTGTATTGTGGGGCTCTGGATCTAGGCTCTTGCCAGTCACCTCCCTCCTCAATATCTCCCCTACCCTAAATGACTAGAGGGTCCCCAGGTGAATCTCCTGTAGGTCAAGTCAGGTTCTCCCCCTTGGCACTTGCTGGTTCTGGGCCTTTGGCTGCATAGGGGATAGGCCCAACATGGAATTCCCAGGATGGTCAGCAGGGGTTAGAGTACAGATGAGGCCCCTCTAGGAGCAAGCCTTCTGCTTACACAGAGACTGATTTGCTAGAAGGGTCTCCTGCTCCACATGCATGGAGTGGTCTAACAGGGCAGAGAACTGGACCTTGTCCGTTGTCCTCTCAGCCAGTCATCTGGGTCCCTCAAGAGCTCAAGGACAGGGCCTTGGGGGTGAGGGTATGGGTCTTTCCTGTTGATGATCCCTACCTCTTCCCTCCAGCAGGAGCACTGGTTTGAAAAGGCCTTGCGAGACAAGAAGGGCTTCATCATCAAGCAGATGAAGGAGGATGGTGCCTGTCTCTTCCGGGCTGTAGGTGAGTCTTTGCCTTAGCCTTCAGGAGCCTAGGGCTGCCCCTGAACTATGTTGCAGTTGTCAGGAGTGACTTGTGTGACAGGGTTGGGGGCAGAGTTAGCTGGTCTTTTAGGGACTCCTGGCCTCAGTCTAAGTTAGTAGCTGGCCTCTAGCTTTCGGTCACAAGGCAGTGTGGTGGTGTGAAAGTAATAATAACAGTATTAATACTGATGGAGAAAATAACATTACTTAGGAACAGATTGGAGAAGTAAATGGCAACCCACTCCAGTATTGTTGCTTGGCGAATCACAGGGACAGAGGAGCCCGGTGGGCTGCTGTCTATGGGGTCGCACAGAGTTGGACACGACTGAAGCGACAGCAGCAGCAGCAGCAGGGACAAACTGCTCTGTCAGGTGCTACAGGAAAACTTTTTAATTCTCCTCCAAGCTAGATAAGTGAAGGACCATTGCTTCCAGTTGTCAGATGAGAAAAGCAGCTCAGAAATAGAGAGTGACTTACCTAGGGTCAGAGAGTACATAGTGCAGTCAGGAGGCAGAGTCTGGGTTAGGTTAGTGAGAGGCCTGTGCTCTTAACTGAAGCACACAGCTGTCACCTTGGGATCACAGAACTTCCTTAACACAAAAGTAGAATAGTGAACCCTTTGTGTACCCATCACTCATCTTCAAAATAATTGTTAACATATTGCCAACTTTATCTCATCACTACCCCACCCACTCTTTCACTTTCCTGAAACGAAGATTTTTAAAACAGAATCCCAACATGGATCATCTCATTCGTAAATATTTCTGTATGTTTCTCTGACAAATAAGGACTCTTTCTTTTTTAACATAACAAAAATGCCATTACATGCATAACAAAATTAATAATTCCTTAATACCATCTACTATCCAGTCTGAGCTGGATCTTTGAAGCTTCTCTGGCTCTGATCTGTGACTCAGCAAGCAATTGTGAAGTTAAGGCAATGGCAACCCACTCCAGTATTCTTGCCTGGAGAATCCTGTGGACAGAGGAGCCTAGTGGACTGCTGTCCATGGGGTCACACAGAGTTGGACATGACTGCAGCGACTTAGCATGCATGCATTGGAGAAGGAAATGGCAACCCACTCCAGTATTCTTGCCTGGAGAATCCCAGGGATGGCAGAGCCTGGTGGGCTGCCATCTATGGGGTTGCACAGAGTCGGACACGACTGAAGCGACTTAGCAGCATGCTAGTGTCCAAGGGAAGCTGGGAGTGTGATTCACTCCCTTTGGAGCTCTGATGTTTCCCAAGGAAACGTCCCCTCTGATAAGAGCCTTGACCTGAGAGTCAGAAGCCCTTTAGTTCTCCCCCTGACTCATAACTTCCGTTTTCTCATATTTGAAATGGTGTTGATTCTGCAGTTTTTAGTGGTGCCTCAGAGTCACAAATGTTTGAGTGGGTGATAGAAAGTTAGGTGGGGTGAGTGGTTGTCTCCCTATTCTACCAAGCAGAAGAGGTTCAGGCAGTGGACTTTGATGGGCTGGGAAAATTCCAACTCCCTCATCCCTGTGGCTCAAGTCCGTGTTCTCCCAGGGGTGTTTCCTAGAGAAAGAGATAGGTTTGGGGGGCATCTTGGACCAAAGGAATGCAAAGAAAGAATAGATGAGGACCCATTAGGTGTTAGGCCTGTGCCAAGACCTTAGTCTGAATGTGGGGTAAGCAAGGCTGCTGTTGGAGTGAGGGTCAGAGAATGCAGCTGGACATCTATGTCTTGGGTGTTATTTGACGTGGACCTTAGGCCTGTTTAAGACCAGGCTTGGCAGTAACCCATGTAAGAAACAAAATTTAAGTGTGTGTCCATCTGACTGTTCTTCCCAAGCACCTTCTGACCCACATCTTCTGACCCTTCCCCCTCATTGAGACCTTCTAGTAAGGGGCCTAAGCTTACAGGAAGAGCTGACCATGACAGGTTGAAGGCCTTTCCCTGTCAGCACTATGGCTACACATTTCCTCTGACTGGGCTGCACTTGGCTTTTCTTTGTAAAACCTCAGAAGCCCCATGGCCTCTGCCTGAGAAGTACATGACCTCCGGGTCTCTAGGCCTCATGTGGAGGTTTCCCTGGGGCAGAGTGCACAGGACATGTAACCCCAGAGGGGACTTTATCCTCATGCTTTCTGTTGCCCGTCTGCTTCCAGCCTCACTGGGACAGGGACAGGTGGTAGTTGCTCTAGGTTCTGGTGAGAAGGGTGACAATTTTTAACTTCCTGTCACATTGAATAGTAGAAGGACCACAGAACTGAGGGTTGGAGTTGGAACGGGGAGAGACAAAGAGACCACTCTTGTTCCTTGACCCTGTCTGATTGCTCGGCATTCCACGTGGTGCTTCAGGTTCACCTGCAAAATTGGGATCCTTATCCCATGAGACCAGGTGAGAAGAGCCTCCCATTGAGGCTCAGGAAGGGGAAGTGACATACCCAGGGTAAGTAGTGGCAGAATTGGCATGGGAACCCAGATGTATTCAAAGGACACATTCTTTCTATGACCCTAGGAAAGCCCTAGCTTCTTAGGAGTCAACTGGCTGGGTGACTGTGGCTATATTCCTTGATCTCTAGGGCCTTGCTTCTTGCAGCTAGGAGCCTGTGGCCCTCTACTCTTAGGAATCCTGAGGCAGGTGGGTTTTTACCCTCTGTTTTGCCTCTGAGGTCTAGGTGTCCCCAGTGTGAACCAGTATCCCATGCTTGTGCCCAGTTCTCTCTCCTACCACCTATTGGAGACTTGTGGGCATCAGCATAGGCTGGGCTGGAGTGAAAGTGGGAGCCTGGGTCCCAGAGTATCCTGGGTCCCCAGTATCCTGTGGTCCACCCTGCCCCTGGTGTGCTCAGATAACCTTCTCCTGGAAACGTGAGTCTGCATCTCTCTTCCCTCCCTCTCTGCATATGGCTTTGACTCAGCAAAAACCTCTGGCCCTGGCCTTGGCCTCTGTGGGCAGAGTGGTGGCCGTGTGTGTGGGTGTCTTGCATGGGTTGTGGGGATGCAGCTGGGGCTCTGCATGTTTCGGTGGTGGGGCCCGGAAACATTAGCTAGGTCTACTGCTCAAGGCCTTTTGGTCTTGGAACATGGACTATCAGCATTGGAGGAATGGATCTTAGATCAATTTGTCGTTTTATAAATGGGAAACAGTCCTCAAGAGAAGATCGGGGCCTTATTATCTAGGTCACACAGTCAGTATCAGACATTCGTGTTTGAGGTTGAAGCAGGCCAGAAGGAGAAGAATCCCATGGACCACCATGTACACCGGCTTCTGTTGACCTCTCTGCCCTGCCTCCTTCAGTTTTTCCATCTTTGCGGTGGGAATTCTTGAGTAGGGGAGCAGGCATCTTGAGGCCAGGCTATTGAGAGGGCTGAGTTTTGCTGGCTCCCCGACTGAGGGTGTGGTAGTTGGGGCCACTGGCCAGGTATGCACTGCAGCTGCTCAACAGGCAGGTGAGACCTTTTTCTTGGTTCATCTCCTCGGTGGGGCCAGGGTTCCCACTGGGCCATGAGAGAAGCAAGGAACAGAGCAGGTCCCATCTCCTGCTACTGCTTTGTGTATACATGTTTGTGTGTGTGGTTTTTTAGATTCCCTGCAGGCACCAAGCTTCCTTTTCTGTTCTCAGTGGAACTGGCTGTGGTTCTTCTAGCAGGCAGTCAGGCATGCAGCAGCCTGGTAAGGAGGCAGTTCCCAGGTGCATCTAAAAGAAATGGCAGGGCTTTATACTTAAATTGTTTAGATAGTCCAGGCTCTCCTGTCTTGCTCTTCCATATAATTTCTCAGCAAATAGTGACTATATTTTGGTGGACCTTCCCCCAAGTAGCAGGGGAGGGAGGTTGAGACAAGTCTGTTAGAGCCGTTGGCTCTTCCCCACTCCTACCAACCCTTGGCAAAGGCTCGGAAGGAGGTGAGCGGGGGTTCTTCAGTTTGTACAGCCTCGCATTCTGTCCAGCCTTCAGTCTTTGCTGGTTGGTGGCAAGGGCATCTACTTTTTGAATGCAACAGTTCTCTGTAGTTGTGGTTGTGTGGGTATTTGGCTTCAAGGAACATGTTTTACTGACTGTGTGCATGCACATGTGCATTTCTGTGCTGCTGTCTCTGTGTGCTCAGAGAAAGGACATCCATAGGGTGTGGGGAGGGAATGTTCATGCTGACCTCTGTGGCCTTAGTGAGGGGTACAGGTCCTAATATCTGTAATCTCTGACCACTTGCAGGCCTTTCCTAGGTTCCAGCTTATTCCTGCTTGTGTTGGTAGGGAAACTGAGGCAGACAAGCCTGACCTAGGGAGTTAGGTGGCTAAGGTGACAGCCAGATTGGTGGTGGTAATGTCTCCTGCGTCATCAGTGCTCAAAGTTACCAGTTATTCCTTGAAAACCTGGCCTCTCCTTCAACCTCCCCAATGTGTGGCCTTGAGCCAGCTGTGCCACATTTCTGTACCTTAGTATCCCTCCTGTGTTAAGTAGGGTTTTTTAGGGTAAGGATGGAATGAGCTGGGATGTGAAAAGGCCTTGGCAGAACCAATTGTAGTAATGTACTGAAGATTTGTGAGCCCTCTTTGGGTTGGGGACAGAGGTGAGGGAATGGGGGACCCCCTTCCTACTGGACTCTGGGAGGGGAGAGCAGGTGCAGATTGCCCACAAGTGCAGTGTCAGCAAGAGGAGGAGTTTCAGTTTCTATCAAAACAAGTGCTCTGAATTCCCCTACCTCTGCAGGACCATTGGGCTCTTTTCCTCCACCTTGGCCCCCACAGGGAAGTCCAGCTCAGTCCCTAGTTCCATGTGCCAATCTCTAGGGAGGGAGGAGGGCTTTCTGGAGGACAGAGGTGGGGCTGGCAAATTCAGACAAGCATCTCCACAGTGAGGATTTCCTGTGTTCTTAGTCCTGCACTGGGTGTTTTTATGTCATCAAGACGGTCCTTCTACTGTCTCTCATTGGCAAGGTATTGTTGCTCTCTTTCCTTGGTTCAGAGATGGACATTTTCTTCCACATTGATGATCCCCAGACTAGGGTATGTCTTATAACCTGTGAGGTGGGTTTCCCTCTCCCAAAAGCTATGATTAAATACATGTTTTGTACCACCTATTGGTGCATCTTAGAATTGAAGAGGGAAGGTGGTATTTTACATTTTATAGGTAAGTTGAGAAAGTCATCCTTTGCCCACACTTAAGGACCCTATTTTGTGAGGCTTGTGTTACTGATTTGATGTTAATTTGGTTGCTAAAGATTTGAACTACGGGCACAAGGTAGGCTAGTGGACCTTTGGATTCAGCAAAGGTAGAGAACCAGTTCTGCCTGCATGAGGAGAGAGAACCTCGACTCTGAGTTTGGGACTTTCCTCTGGCTGATGAAGTGCAACAGAAATGAGGAAGGACTTAAGTGGTTCTGGTGAAATTCTAGCTGACTTGTGGGTGACTGGCTATCTGAAGGAGTCATCGTCCTCCTTATGACAAACGGAACCCCATCTCTTGAACATTTGCAGCAGCAGTAGCAGCAGGTATTTGGCAGACCATCCCCTGTAGTATTGACAATGTCCCATGAGAGGAAAATGAGTTATTTCCCCCAGTTTATAGATGAGGACATTGCAGCCCAGAGAGGTTAAGGCCTTGTCCAGTACCACACAGGAGGCAGAAGAGCCTTTTTGTCAAGCAGGGAGTCAGTGGCAGGGAAATGGGAAATTCTTGGGAAGGTTCTCTCCCAACTCCCTTTCTGGTCCCATAGTTTCCCCTTTCCCCTGACTCCTTACATCTGGCATCTCAATTGGGTAGATCACCTCCCAGGACTGGAAATGCCTGTTGCCTGCTTTCCTGGGAACATCTCAGCAACCTTCCTGAGCCTGGCAGACCAACCCCTATTTAACCCCTTCACTCCCATCTCAGTTCCTGTTTACTGCAGCTGCCAATAGCACTGCCTCTTCAGCACCCCAGGTTTATTCTACGGAAATAGCTCCTCAAGCAGCTCCGGCAGCCACAGCGGGTTTGTGGTCCTGGCTTCTAAGAAAGGCAGTGGCAGGGGGCCCCCAGTCTGTGCACAGGGCATGTGACTTGCTGGAAGTGCTGCAGAGGGGGAGGGGGGTGAGGGAGAGTGTGGCCACAGAAACCACATCCTTGTTTACATCGGTAAAGGGGCTACCCCTTCCCACCTCACAACCCCCACTCCCTATCACCCTCTGGTTTCTGCACCTCCAGGAGGACATGAGACAGGCATGGGCCCCGTTTTCTATCTCAGAGCTGCCTTTTTCTCTTTATCTCACAGAACCCTTCAGGGAGGGGGAATGGGGGAGGGCAGCAAAGGCGTTCTTCTGGCGATTCTTCGCAGAGGTAGACTGGCTGTTATGGAAGAACTCTGTGGTGTTCGTTGCAGGACCTGCCCCTGCTCCAGTGTCACAGGGAGATCCCATCAGAGCAATGGTCCTCTGGGGAGACGAACGGACATTTACTCTTCGTCTTAGCCAGTGGACATCAGGCATGCTTCATCTTCAAGCCCACTTTAATTTCTCACAGAGAAGGCTCCCTGACTCCCCTAGCCTCCCCAATCCACTCAGCAAACTTGCATTTCTTGCACTGCACCAGGCTCTGAGCCTGGGGGTAGACTTGTATGTGAACTGCCCTCTGCCCTCAGTGGGAGCCCAATGTGATCAGGCAGATGAAGTCTGTATGCATCTTTGATAAATCTGGTGATGGGGTGCCTTGGAGGAGTGGGAAACTGTTTTAAGAGTGCATTGGTGTTTGACAAGTAGTGTGTGAACATGTGTGAGCATGTGTGAACATCCTCAGTTGAGGCAGAGAGAGCCTAGTTCTTATTGTGACCAAAGCCCTGTGATGCCTGGACGTTAATTAAGTTAGGTGCATATGTGTCTTATCTCTCTTGTAGACCACATGCTTCTGGCGGATAGGGTCAGAATTTTACTCACTTCTGTCGCCTTCATCGTACCCCACATTCAGGCCCCACTACGGGACAGGGTCTCTGAGTGACTGCTCTGTCCCAAGACTAGGGCTAGTCGCTTCACACCTATTATCTCATTAATCCCACAAGAGGCTTGCCAGGAAGTTACCCAGCTTGATCCCATTTTACACTTGAGGCATATGAAGCTCAGAACACTTGGGTCATTTTGTTTACTGGTACCTAACAGAACTGGGCTTAGAGCCCAGTTATTATCCCTTCCCTTTCCCTCTTTTTTCACCTTATAAAGGCCATAATGACTCCTGAGAGTCAGGAAACTGAATTCTATAGTTGAATCTGTCATGGACTGACTTCTGGGTGACCTTGGTCAAATCACAAACTCCCTGAGCCTCAGTGTCCTCATGTGAAGAGCGAAGGGTGGTGTATGTGGAATCGATGGTGCTTAAGGCCGCTTATCTATACAAGATACCTGTGGTTCTGTCCCTTTTACCTGTACTCTTGTTCGTAAAGACTGTCCTTGCCTGCCTTTTTTTTTTTCATGACCATATTCCAGCCCACAAAGCCAAGACTCTCCATTCCTTAGGGTAGGTAAGGAAGTTTCCCTGGTCCCCAGCCCTTCACCCCCCAAGGATGTTCTGATTTAGAACTCTTCTTTGGTGGCAGCTCTGACTCCAGCCTCTCCTTCCTTCCCCACAGCTGACCAGGTATATGGAGACCAGGACATGCATGAGGTTGTTCGAAAGCACTGCATGGACTATCTGGTGAGACCTTGCAGAGACCTTGGGGTGGGGGCAGAATGGGAGGATCTCTTCTCCACATAGACATTGATCATCTGATCTTTTCTGCAGATGAAGAATGCTGACTACTTCTCCAACTATGTCACAGAGGACTTTACCACCTACATCAACCGGAAGCGGAAAAACAACTGCCATGGCAACCACATTGAGATGCAGGCCATGGCAGAGATGTACAACCGGCCTGTGGAGGTGTACCAGTACAGCACAGGTACTTCTGTGGTGGGTAGGTGAGCAGTTGATCACTCCTGGTCTGAGCCTGTTCCACCCAGCCCACTGTGAATCCTTTCTCCTCTTTCTCTGCAGAACCCATCAATACATTCCATGGGATCCATCAAAATGAGGATGAACCCATTCGTGTCAGCTACCATAGGAATATCCACTACAATTCAGTGGTGAATCCTAACAAGGCCACCATTGGCGTGGGACTGGGCCTGCCATCATTCAAACCAGGGGTAAGCACGTCCCTGTGCCTCGAATGGATACTGGAGATAGACCAGAAGACCAGAAATTTCATGTTGGCGCCTCATTTTTGCCCCTTGCCCACAAAAATGTCTTGTTAACCTCTCTGAGTCGCCCCTAAGGTCTCACCTCTTGAAATTAGGAAGTTATCCAAGGTGATCCCTCAGGGCTCATTTTGTGGTCTCAGTTTGCCTGTCTGAGCTGGTTCACCTATCTTTTGGGCCTGTTGAGAGTTGGCATTTTGAGATATGGAGTCAAACTTGGGAACTGTGAACCAGGGCTCAGTCTAGGTGTTTTGGTACCCACATGGATCCTCCTCAAAACCTCAGCATGTACAGACAGCTGTGGTCACAGAGACTTGAAGTGTAGGCCTGGCCCCGCCACTTGCTGGCCTTAGTATCTAAGTCAGGTTGTACAAGTGATTTGACTGGCAGCTTGGGTGATACAGAAAGTGCCTAACACTGGGTCTGGTACCTATTAGGTGCTCAGGAAAGGGCAGTAGATTGTCTCAGCACACACTGACAGATTTTCATTCTCTGTCTCAAACAGTTGTCTGTTGGGGATTTTGCTATCTTTTATTGAGGTTTCACTTCCTACAAAAGTACTCCTGCCTCATTTTAGGAAACACACCCTAACACAACACACCCTCCAACATAGAGGTTTTTTGATGTGGACCATTTTTAAAATCTTGATTGAATTTGTTACAATATTGCTTCTGTTTTATTTTTTAGTTTTTTTGTCTGATAGGCATGTGAGATCTTAGTTCCCCAACCAGGGATCAAACCTGTACCCCCTGCATTAGAAGGTGAAGTCTTAAAACCACTGGACCACCAAAAGTCCCCATAGAGGGTTTTTTTGGTTTCATTTTTTTAAATAAACCTTTAATCTCAGAACAGTTTTAGATTTATGTAATTATTGTGATTAAAGAATTCCTATATACTCCACTGTGATTAACATATTAGCATAGTATGTTTGTCACAATTAATGAACTGATACTGATATATTAACTAAAGACCATACTTTGTTCAAATTACCTCAGTTTTGGGCTTCCCAGGTGGCTCAGTGGTAAAGAATCTGCCTGCCAATGCAGGATACACAGGTTTGATCCCTGGGTGCGGAAGATGCCCTGGAGAAGGAAATGGCAACCCATTCCAGTATTCTTGCCTGGGAAATTCCATGCCCAGAGGAGCCTTGGAGGGCTACAGTCCATGGGGTCGCAAAAGAGTCGGACACAACAGTGACCAGACGACGACAACAAATGATGATACCTTCAGAAAGGGATAAAACAAAAACAAATTATCTCAGTTTTTCCCCAATCATCTTATCTGTTCCAGGATCCTATTCAGGATACTGTATTACATTTAGTTGTCGTGTCTTCTTTTGCTCCTCCTGGCTGTGACAGTTTCTCCGAATTTGTTTTCCATCTGTTTACAGATTCTATGACCTTTTCTAGAATGTCATATAATTGGAATCATACAATATATAGTTTTTTCAATGGCTTCTTTTAGGTAACACTGTGCATTTAAGAGTCATTCCTGACTTTTAGTGATTTGATCACTTGTGTCTTTTCTTTTTCCTTTTGTTAAAACTGTGAGTGCCCTAAGTTTTTTTTTAATAGATTTAATTATTTAGAATAGTTTTAGATTTACAGAAAAATTAAGATAGTGCAGAGTTCCCACATACCCTCCTCCCTTTTGCACAGTTTCTCTATTATTCACACATGTCAGATGAGTGTAATACATTTGTTCTATGAACCAGTATTGATACATTGTTATTAACTGAAAGTCATCATACTTCTTTATACTCCTTTGTCTTTGATGGTTTCTCACATTTTCATGTTTTTGGTGACCTTGGCAGTTTTGAAGAGTACTAGTCATGTATATTGTAGGATGTTTGTCTTTTGGAATTTGTCTGATGTATTTCTCATTAGACTTGAGGTTATGGGTTTTAGAGAGGGGGATCACAGTGGTAAAGTGCCATTCTTATCACATCATATCAACAGTATGTACTGTGAACATGATTTGTAACTGTTGATGTTGACCTTGATCATCTGGCAGAAGTAGTTTTATCAAGTTTTCTCCACTGTAAAATTACTCTTTCCCTACCCCCACTCCCTTTTCCATGTTGTACTGTGTGGAAGGAAGTCATTTATAGTCCACACTTAAGAAGTAGGGATTAGGGGGACTTCCCTAGTGGTCCAGTGGCTAAGACTCCACCTTCCCAATGCAGGGGGCCCATGTTTGATCCCTGGTCAGGGAACTAGATCCCACATGGTGCAACTAAAAAACCCAGTGCAGCCAAATAAATAGATAAATGTAAAAAAAGAAGTAGGGATTAGGGAATTTCCTGGTGGACTAGTCGTCAGGACTCCACATTTTCACTGCCAAAGGCCTGGGTCATATTCCTGCAGTGCAGTGGAAAAAAAAAAAAAGGTGAGGGTTATACTCCATCTCTTTGAGGGCAGAGTATCTACATAAATTATTTGAAATCCTTCTGCAAGGGAGATTTATCTCATTCTCATTTATTTAGTCATTTATATCATTGTGGATGATGGATATTTATTTAATACTTTTATACTTTGGGTTATAATCCAGTACTATTTTTATTTTGATGCCCAAGTTTTTCCAGTTTTGGCTATTGGGAGTTCTTTTAGTTGGTTCCTGCATCTCTTTGAAATATCTCCATCATTGTGGTAGGGTTTGTATGTTTGTGAGGGGGTGTTTTTTGGCTTGTTTGTTTTCATTTTTATTTTATTTTTCATTTTCATTTTGAATACTTAACTTTCTGGCACTACAAGGTGCTAGAGGCTCATCTTGTATATTTCTTGCCCCATTTCTAGAACCAGCCATTTCTCCAAGGAGCCCTAGTTCCTTTTATTGGAGAATCTTATATTAGAAACCAAGATCTGGGTGCTGAGTATGCTCTTTGCTATTGGGGTATCCTTGCTTTAGGCCCTTTCAGCTGATAGAGCAAGGAGGTATATGTATATACTAACCTGTGTGTATACACATGTCTAGAAATATTTCTGTATGTAACCATCTGTATCTGTATGACACTATGGTTCTTACTGATACCTTTAACTGAGGGGCACCTTGTTTTAATTTGCAATTCCTAATGACAGATGATGTTGAGCATCTTTTCATGTGCTTATTTGCTATCTTCTTTGATGAAATTGTGTGTCTAGACTTTTTTGCCCATTTTTAATTGGCTTATTCTAACAGCACTTTGCATTCTTTTTGGACTGTTAGCCATGGGTAAAAAATTATATTTTATACCATTACTTAGTGTACATACACGTTGGTGTATGGTGTGTATATGTGCATTAAAATAAGTTTTCACTGAACGAAATTTACTGTTACTCCGTGGGATATGCACTGATACTTTGAATTATTCCTTTTAAAAAATCTGTTATGTCTCACAGCCTGACACTCTCCTATGGTGTTGCACAACTCATAGTACCCCACACCATGCTGACACTGTCCTCTTGTCTACTTAAATACCCCAATACTCAAATCTACCCTGTGCACACAGGACTCATTTCTTAGGTGATCTTTTCTCCTTGTCCCATCTGGGCATAGGTGAAGAAGGCCTCAGCAACTGAGTCATCAATCAGTGAGGTGACTTTAAATTGTAGCCCTGGCTGGAGGGCACCTGACTGCCCCAGTCTTAGTACATCAGTTGAGGTGTCTTGGAGGTGGCAGCAGGACTTCTGAATATAGGAATTCGAAATGACAAGTCCCCCAACCCAAGCCTGCCTTCCCCTAGTCCCTGATGAATAGGCAGCCTGCCCAGGGGTGTGCTTAGTAAGAGTATCTGCCTTCCTGCCTCTCTTCTGAGCATGTGAGCCCACCTCCCTGAGCCACTTCTGGCCCTTGGCCAGAGTTCAGTGTGTCACCTCACATCCCTGTTCCTCTCCCACTCCTTGCAGTTTGCAGAGCAGTCCCTGATGAAGAATGCCATAAAAACATCAGAGGAATCATGGATTGAACAGCAGATGCTGGAAGACAAGAAGCGGGCCACAGATTGGGAGGCCACAAATGAGGCCATTGAGGAGCAGGTGGCCCGGGAATCCTACTTGCAGTGGCTGCGGGATCAAGAAAAACAGGCTCGCCAAGTCCGTGGCCCCAGCCAGGTGGGTCCTGGGGTCTGTCACTAGCCTGGCGAAGAACCTGTTACTTCCCATGTTCTGTCCCCAAACAGGCAGAAACAAACTAAGCACTTATGACATGTGGGAGAGAAGGAAGCTTCTAGACTTTTCTCTACCTCATCTTGGCCTTAGTCTTGACATTGTGCCTTAGAACTCTCAACAACTGTGCAGAACAAGCTCTTTTTTTTTTTTTAAAGAAGTGAGAGAGGGCAGCCACTGGTGGTAAAATGCCAGATTCATGGATAGTTTCAGAGGGACAAACTTTTGCTGAATGTTGTGTGCCAGACTCTGTACTGAGGTTGTAAAATCAGGTCCTGCATGCTCCACCCTCAGTGATCCTTTCTTTTGAGGGGGAGACACATGCATCAGTGGAGCCCTTGACTCTGACTGGAAGACCAGTAGAGGTGGGGGATCTTGTCAGTCTTCATACAGAAAGGTTGAATTTTTAGGGCAGGGAGTGAGGCAGGGCAGCCAGGTATTTGAGGAGTCACAAGAAGTTTATAGAGTGATTAATCAATGTCGGCAAGAGCTGACTCATTCGTTGAACAAGTATTTATTGCAGGTCTATGCCAGGCACTGTTCTTAGTGTATAGGGGTACATTGGTGAGCTGGGCAGTCCCAGGTCTGTCTTTGTGGTGCTTCCATTTATGCACAGTGGAATGAAATAAACATGAATAAATCATTTGAGAGGTGGTATGGACGAAAGATGTAGAGCAGGGTAAAGGGGATGAGTAGGACTGAGTGGGGCTGGGAGTTCACAGTATTAATTAGCATGGTCAGAGTTGGCCTCAGACCAGGTGAGATTTCAGCAAAAGCTTGCAGAGGTGAGGGAATTACGTGCCTATACCAGGGAAGACAGAGGACCAGCTAGAGCAAAGACCCTGAGGTACGTACACACCTGGTGTGATTTGGAAGCAGCCTGGAGGCCAGTGTGGCAGAATAGAATGTAGTAGTAGATGGAGTCGGAAAGGTGTGGATGCCATATTGGAAGGGGCTTGTGACCTTCCAGTTTGGCCTGTGGTGAGGACTTTGGCTTTTCTTCTGAGTGAAGCAAAAATGATGAGAGGGTTATGAGCAGGAAAAGAGTGGGAACTTAGAATTAACAGGATCCTTCTGACTGCTGAGTGTAAAATGGAGTCGAAGGGGCAAAGGTGGAAGCAGGAGACCACCAAGGAGAAGATGACTATAGTAGTCCTGATGATTGATGGTAGTACTGGCAAGGGAAGCAGTCAGAAGGGGATAGATTCTGGATCTATTTTGAAGGTGGAGTAACAGGTTTCCTGTCAGACTGGCTGTAAAGGTGTGAGAGGGGCTTTAAAGTGCTTACCTTGATCCTGTGGTCCATTATGTTACCAAGAATGTCGGTGGCCTATGTAGAAGCTATTTCATAGCCAGGATTCTGGGAGGGAATGAGCCCTTCGGGAATGGGGCAGAGGACGGTTGCAACTGCTATTGGTCTTTACCACCACCTTCCTCACCGCAGCCCCGGAAAGCCAGTGCCACATGCAGCTCTGCCACAGCAGCAGCCTCCAGTGGTCTTGAGGAGTGGACCAGCCGGTCCCCAAGGCAGCGGAGTTCAGCGTCGTCACCTGAGCACCCTGAGCTGCATGCTGAGCTGGGCATCAAGCCCCCTTCCCCAGGCACTGTCTTAGCTCTTGCCAAACCTCCTTCACCCTGTGCACCAGGTCAGTGACTTGCTGATAGGGAGCATGTAGGGGTCAGGAAGTCCTGCCTAGGCCCTGAGCCCTGCCTTTGACTGTCTTGTCTGCCCCAGGTACAAGCAGCCAGTTCTCGACAGGGGCCGACCGGGCTACTTCCCCCCTCGTGTCCCTCTATCCTGCTCTGGAGTGCCGGGCCCTCATTCAGCAGATGTCCCCCTCCGCCTTTGGTAAGCCTCTTCTGTCTAGGGTCTAGGGGCCAGCTGGGAGTTGGGGAGAGATGGAAGAAGCAGCTGGTCCTGAAAAGGGGGCTTCTGAAGCCTCTGGACATCTCCTCAGGAAAAGAGAGTTTTTCAGCCCAAGAGTCTGCCCCAGAGGGGATCTGAGTGGGGTTTTGTAGGCTCAGAGGAGCCTTCTCCTTAGAGAAAAAAGTGGTAGGGGCCTGAACGGGATCTCTCCAAAGCCAAGAATCAGCAAAGGGCAAGGAGAAAGCAGGCTTAAAGTGCTGTGTCATTCTTTTCCCCTTCCTCTTGCCCAGCAGGTCTGAATGACTGGGATGATGATGAGATCCTAGCCTCGGTGCTGGCAGTGTCCCAACAGGAATACCTAGACAGTATGAAGAAAAACAAAGTGCACAGAGACCCACCCCCAGACAAGAGTTGATGGAGACCCAGAGACTGGAGACCATTTCCCAATCCCTACCACTCCTGCCCTCCGGTGCCACCCCACCTTCTTTGGCTTTCTCCCCTCTTGCCTTCTTCCTTCTTTCCGCTTCTTTGGCTCCTCCCCACTTCCCTCTGGCTGGCCCACCCGTGTGCACCCTCTCATCGCTGCCACCACCACCATCATCTGTCTCTTCGCCAGCTGATGTGCCCTGTTTCCCCCTGCACAGCACCATCCCTGCATTCCACAGGGGACTTGGGCAAGGGTGCTGAAGGTAGGCGAGGGGCATACAGAGACAAACCAACTGGCAGCCAGGCAGCCCCTGAGGAGAGACATTCAGACAGCAAAGTCTCCCTGCCCTCTATTCCAAGATCAGAAACTTGTCACCCTACCTTCACAAATGATACCAGGGAGGTGGGAGGAAGAAGTGGGAAAAAATCCCCTTCCCAGTACCCTTAAAATGTCTGAGCCTTCAATGTTTTTTTCTTTATTAAAATATACTTTTATCTTATAAAATCAATCAGTGATGTAGACAACAGCATTGGCTCTATGAAGGTGACATCTCTCTGGTTTGGAGGCAGGTAGGCCACGGGGCACAAAGATGTGGTTGATGTACCTGGCCTCCAGCTCTGTGGAGATGGGCAGGGTCTAGAGTATGAGCCAGGGTGGGGTGGGAGGGCAGGAGGGGGCAGGTGTCAAGTGGGCTTTGGACGAGACTCTGACCTCGCTGCATTCCTTATGCTTCCACCACCACCACCAGTCTTTTTGGAATCTCAGGGTGGGGGGCACCTTTGAGGATCATGGCCGCCGCCCAGGATTTGAGTGTGGGGGGGTGGGAGCAGCCTCAGCAGATGGGGCACTCATGCCTTGCAGGTGTCAACAAGATCCACCATCTGTAATGTCCTTGGCACAATAAAACCAAATGTCAGTTTCCCCTGAGCGCCTCTGTTCTGTGTGGGGCAGGGGGTGGGTGAGCCTTTGGTCAGAGGCGGTGATGGCACAGACCTTGGCTTGACTTGTAAGGGCTATATGCTCTCCATTGGGATCTCTCTGGAGGCCCAGAGTTTGTTCATACTTGATTCACTGCTTACTGAATCAGCCTTTGGACCTGTTACCACCAAGAAAGCTCTGTCTTTGCCCACTGCCCCTGCCTCAGTATTGTCACAGGATATAGCCTGCCCACCCTATTTCCTGGGGTGTGATGGAAGCAGAGAATTGAACTTGATGGCAGGTACTGAATGTCCAACTTCTCTGCCTGCCTCTAGCCCCCATATGTTTGCTCTTTCATTGTGAGTATTTGATGAGGAAATGCTTTGGACAGGCACAACAGTCGCTTCATAGCAACCTGAGTTTAGTGGAAGTGACCAGAGGGTGGACCCCCCCACACAAGCACAATGGGTTTTAGAAATTGGGGAATAGCTAAACCTTTTTTTATTCATGTTCCCAGTTCTCTTGACACTTCTGTCCCTGCCTTTTGTAGAGGTAAAGCCAAGGCAAAGAAGGATGGCTGGCCCCAGGTTTTTCAGTTCTTTTCTTCAATGTCCCTCAATAATGGGGTCCCTGTGGAAGGATGTATGTCCAGCTCTGCAGATGAGGGTGTGGCTATCTGCAGGTGTCTCTGTGGAATCCACTGGTTAAGCACTGTGTTGGAGAGTTGGTTTAAAACCGGCTTTTTCTAACTGTGGCTTTGGTCAAGTCGCAGGCTCTCTGAGTTTCAAGTGTCCCATGTATAGGACAGGAGTGATAAATATCTACTACCTCACGCTCTCTCTGTTGTGAGCATTGAGAGAGTGTATATGGTCAACATAATGTATGATGGCACAGTGCCTGGCACATTCTGAGAGCTCTAATGTTAGCAGGTATTATTTATTATCCTGAAGTTGAAGTTTCTGCACTATTTGGCCCCTGAGTACTTCATCTTGCCTCTCTGTCCATTTTTCCTTGGCCTCTGCCTGGAATTTGCCCTTCCTCTGTCCCAGGCCTCCAACTTTGTCTTTCAAGATGGGTAGAGGGTCTCCGTCTGAGAAGCCCTGTGTGACCCCATTTACATTCTCACCTTTATATACAGATATGTCTTTATTTCTTCTCCAGTAACTGTACCATCAAATTCTTGGGCAGGGCTATCTATGATGCCTGACTTAACCTGTGTATCTCTTAGTATCTGCACCCCCTCTAGGGCCTTGTAGGCTTACAGTAGACCCCTAATAAATGTTGGATGAATAAGGGAGAGTACCTGTGTATATTTGCTTTTTGAATGTTTGTGTGTGTGAGAGACTGGTGAGTCCAAGCCTTTGTGCATCTCAGAGTGTCTCTCTAGTTGTGTGTGAGATGAGGGCTTGTTTCCAGGTGTGTCAGATGGGGACTGCGTGTGGGACTCAATCTCTGACAGTTTGTGTCTGTTTCTGAGACAAGTGCATGTCTGCGTGGGTCTGTCTGTGACAGTGCATCTGTGGTTTCTTTCCGATAGGGTGGATGAATGTCCGTTTGTATTACTGTGACAGATTCTGGGTAGCTATTTCTGGATAATTTCAGTGACAATGCTGCATGTTTGCTCTTGTGTGTGTGTGTGTGTGAGAGAGAGCGACTGACTGGGTGGATCCATGTCTGTTTTTGTGATACTGCCTATCTGTGGCTCTATCACATAAGTATATGTATGTCTTTGGAGCAGTGCATGTGTGTCTTGAGCATCTGTGTGTCTTCCTGTGACAGACTCTGGGTCTCATTTCTGGAATAGTACTAGTTTTTCTGTGACACTGCATGTCTGATGGTACAAGTATCTTTGTGACAAGTTTTGGTGGTGTTTCTGATGGGACATTTCTGTGTCCTTGTCACATGGCAGTGTAGGTGTATGTGAATCTGTCTGGAGTGCCTTTCTGTAACTGCATCTCTGGTGTCATCCTGGGACATAACTCTGGCAGCATGCCTCCCTGACAGTGGATTTCAGTCTGTGACAGTACATATCTCTCTGTGTTTAGGACAAGCTCATGGGAATGTGTCTGGCAATATGTTTTTGTGTATTTCTCACATGGCACTTTACTGTGTGTGTGTCTTTGGAGTGCGTGTCTGTCTTCCTGCAGCATGAGGCCTGTTATTTCCAAATTTGTTGCTGAGGGCATTTTACCACCTCTGAGCTCTCGCAGTCTTTGTGTGTGTCTCGTCCAGAAACACATCCCAAGCCACCACCACCCTGGCTTGCTCCTACCTGCAAGAACCACCCCCCCCCTCGCTATTCCAGATTCTGTACTTGCTGACTGGGCCCATGGCCAGGTCTAGCCAGGTCTTGTCTATATTAAGGGCTCCACGGCAGTGGTGGTCAGGTTAGTCCTCCCTAACGGCTGAACAGGTTCTTCAAGGATCCCTGACTTTACTTCCCGGGCAGAGGACACCTGTCGCCTAGAGGGCTCTGAACCTGGTTTGAAGAGTACCCTTCGGAGACAGGGTCATGGATAACCACAGGCTGATTCTTAGAAGCCTTAGAAGGCCTGGCGTTATCTCTGCGCTAGTCTCGAGGCAGTGGCGGCCAACCAACTTCCTAGGAAAGGGGGCGGTGTATTTTTTTAAGTTTATATCTGCACATACAGACACATAAAAACAATGCCGCACAACCAAAACAAACCCGGTTGCTGCGAAAGGGATTCCTAAAACCAGTTTCTTCTCTACACGCGCCCCCCTCGTGTGCATGCAGACCCCGCCCCCGCGGAAGATACGGGCATGTATTTGCATAAAGGGGTACTTGAAACGTTGAGGGTGGTATGCAAATAAGGGCTGGCTCCGATTGGCTGGGGTACAGCAGGTGCTGCGTCCGGATTGATCAAAGCCAAGTGGGCGGGGCCGTCGCCCCGGGCGACTCTCTCGGGAGGCGCGTGCCCTGTCTCAGTAGCGTCAGGGCTGGCGCGCGCGGCGAATCTTAACGTTGCGCTCTTTGCCGGCCCTTCTGGGCCACCAGTCTCCTTACCTTCCATCCTGGCGCCCCCTAGTCCAGGTTCCCCGGACTCACTGCCCCGGGCGTCCACACCCTGTGGGCTCAGCGGGGGGCTCAATCTGCGCAGCTCCTCCTCCATGTTGACTAAGCCTCTGCAGGGGCTCGCGGTGGCCCCCATGACTCCTACGCCGCTGCCAGGTGAGAAAGGCTCCCCCTAGTGCAACCAGGCCAGGCGGGCTGCAGTGGTTGAGGGCCGCGCGGGGTTGGGGGGGTGGTGAGGGGGAAAGGGTCGCGGGTCGCGGCCAGCCTTTGCACGCCGCCACCCTGACTTCCTTGCCTCCGCCTGCGTAGGAGGCAAGGATCGGGAAGCGTTCGAGGCCGAGTACCAACTCGGCCCCCTCCTCGGTAAGGGGGGCTTTGGCACCGTCTTCGCAGGACATCGCGTCACAGACCGACTCCAGGTATCCACCACGAGGGTCTTGGGAGGGCCAGGTGTGTGTGTGGCGGCGGCGGGAGCCCCGGGGCCAGGATGCTAATTGACCATGGAATGAGCCTACACTGTGTGAGTGGTAGGGTCATGAGGGCTGGGATCCGGTTGTTGAGGGTGTCCGAGTGCGCGCACGCGGATGCGCGCACGCATGTGTGTGTGTAAGTCCAGGTGGGTATATGGGGGAAGGGAGAATTTTCAGGGCAAGAATTCTGGAGGTCCAGGGGAGTGAGACTGGGGAGTGGGGGGTCATGAGGACTCTAGACCTTGGGATCTGGGAGAGGTGTATATATGTGGGGAAGGTGAGGACCTAGAGCTGAGATTTGGGGGGATTTTGGAGTCAGGTGGCCAGGGTGGAGTCGTGAGGTCCAGGACCTCGCTACAGGGTTGTGGTATCCTGGGGCTAGATAGGAAGATCAAGGGTTTAGGGTGTTAGGAAGTTCAGAACTCAGCACCTGGCGTGAGGGTTCCTGAAGCCTGAGAAGGGAGAGCCCAGGGCCAAAGATGGTGGGAGAGGTGTACTTGGTTTTGGAGACTTGGAAGGGAGAAGCTTCAGCTCATTTAGGATTGTGGTGGGGGGGGGGGGCGGGGGGGGCGGGGCTGGGACCAGAAAGACTAGGGTGAGGGTCCAGACTGGGAGATGTTGGGGGGGTCATCTGCTGGCCCCCTCACCTCAGCCTGCTTCTTCAGGTAGCCATCAAAGTGATCCCCCGGAATCGCGTGCTGGGCTGGTCCCCCTTGGTGAGTATCTTTGGAGTCCTTTTTGACCTGGCGACGCCATCTCTGATGGTGGATTTCACCTTGCTCTGGTTTGTATGACTCCTTGGGCCCTGTAACGGTGAGAAGAACACTCCTGCCAGTCCATGTTTACTCCCCTGCGGTGACATCCACACCTCCATACAGTTCTGACTCACCCCTGTTCCCCTAGAGCCCTGGATTCTCCCCTCCCACCCTCCTTTTTCATCCTCCTCCAAACATTGCCTCGGGGGCTGCCCGCAGGGCATGCTGGTGAGAAAAGAGGGGCAGAGGTCATTGGTTGCCATGGTGATGGTGGCTGCTTCTCTTCCACCGCTAGAGCTCTAACGGACAACTGGGCGGGTCTGGGCAAGTTGTAGGGGCTGGAGTGCCCCCTGGTGGGCTGTGGGGAAACTGCGCCTGTGCAGGCTGTGGGACTCAGAGGGAGAAGGCGCGCCTGCGCAGTAGCGGAATTTTTCAGCCCCGTGAGAAAACCTGTCTGCGACTGTGCGTATCAGTAGATTGGCCGGGAGAGGGCCCCACCTCGGACAGGAAGACTGCTTCTGGCAGTCCATGTGTCCCCGCAAAGCTTCTAGCATGGGGAGTATTTTGTGGCCAGTAACATGTATGCCTTTTATTGAGCACTGACGGTATGCCTCAGATTTTGTTTCGTCATAAAAGCTTACTATGTTCCAAGCTCCACTAAGTACTTGTATTCAACACAGTTCTAGGTGCTTGGTGACAGTGACAAAATATCACATGATGACACTATTGAGTTCTTGTTTATGCCAGTTCCTTTGCAATTAATTACTTTTAGCTATTTAACAAAAGTATTTTAGCACCTAGAATGTGCCAGGCACAGTTCTAGATACTTGGCAATATATTACATTTATTGAGCATTCTTTTTGGGCTGATCCTTTTCTGCTAATTGATTTCACCTATTTAACAACTATACCAGGCACTGTTTACTGAAACAGTTTGCGCTGTGTCAGTGAACAAAGCAGACAAACCATTACACAATAATAGTATTTATTGAGTGCTGTGTCAGATCCTATGCTATAAAGTGCTTTTTATCTATTTAACAAACATTTATCAAGCACCTACTGTGTGTAAGGTGCTATTCTAGTTTCTTTGGAGACTTCAGTAGACAAAACAGATAAATTACTACAAAGTAGTGTTCATCAGTTGCTTCTGCTTTTGTTAGGAATCACTTTCATTTATTCTTCAAACATTTACTGAGGAAATTCCCTGGTGGTCCAGTGATTGACAGTCAGCACCTCCACTGCTACTACTCAGATTCAGTCCCTGGTTGGGGAACTAGAATCCCAAAAGCCATAGGGTGTGGCCAAAATAAAGAAAAATTTACTGAGCTCCTATTACATGCCAGATGTACATAGACTTTTGGTTTTTTAAATTTTTTTGGCTTATTTTTAAATGAATTTTTATTGAAGTTAGTTGATTCACAGCATGTTAGTTTCTGGTGTACAGCAAAGTGAATCAGTTATACATATATCCACTTTTTTAAGATTATTTTCCCATATAGTTCATTAAAGAGTATTGAGTAGAGTTCCCTGTGCTATACAATAGGTCCTTATTAGTTATCTACTTTATATATAGTAGTGTGTATGTGTCAATCCCAGTCTTCCAATTTGTCTCTCCCTCACGCCCCCCCATAGGCTTTGACTTGAATCAACTTCCCAATGGCTATATGAGTTTAAGCCCTTAAGATGAGAGAACTGTGGGCCCAGGAAGGAAGAGGGTTGCTTAAGGCCACATAGTCAGGAGGCTGAGGACCTGTGATTTAAGTTCAGATCATAGATCTGAGAAGTCAGCCTCAAAGCTGCTAGCCTGACATCTGTGATCTCTTTTCTCTCCCTTCTTCCCCCCACAGTCAGATTCAGTCGTATGCCCACTGGAAGTGGCACTGCTATGGAAGGTGGGTGCAGGCGGTGGGCACCCTGGTGTGATCCGCCTGCTTGATTGGTTTGAGACACCAGAGGGCTTCATGCTGGTCCTTGAGCGGCCTCTGCCTGCCCAGGATCTCTTTGACTACATCACAGAGCAAGGCCCGCTGGGTGAAGGCCGAAGCCGCTGTCTCTTTGCCCAGGTAGTGGCAGCGGTTCGGCATTGCCACGCCCGTGGAGTTGTCCATCGTGACATCAAGGATGAGAACATCCTGATGGACCTCCGCCGGGGCTGTACCAAACTCATTGATTTTGGTTCTGGTGCCCTGCTTCATGATGAACCCTATACTGACTTTGATGGTAAGTAAGGCTTCCCTAAATCTCTGGAGGGAGTTTTCACCTTTTATCTTTTTGGCCTCTTGACTTTTGACCTCCAATGCTGGGGTGTTCTGTAACCCTTGATCTATAGTGTACCTTTATAATGTTCTTGGTTTTTAATATTAAGTACTTTCAAGCCTTGCCCTCTAATAAAGTCCATCCTCTGACAATGCCCTGGTCTTGTTCTGGGCTCTTATTCTGATGAGGGGATCCTATTATTACCCTGAGTAGTCTTTTTCTGGTAAGGAGGTCCAACTGTACTTTTTAAGTGTTTTTATTCCAATGAGCTTCTATTCTGGTGAGGGGACCATGCTTATGTAGTGAGTTCTCTTAATTCTAGTGAAGGGACCATATTTCTGGAGAGGGTGGGGTGGGAGAAGGTCATTATCAGAAAATGGTCTAATCTGTGGTTTGCGTGCAGGGACAAGGGTGTACAGTCCCCCGGAGTGGATCTCTCGTCACCAGTACCACGCCCTGCCAGCCACTGTCTGGTCACTGGGTATCCTCCTCTATGACATGGTATGTGGGGACATTCCCTTTGAGAGAGACCAGGAGATTCTGGAGGCTGAACTCCACTTCCCTGCCCATGTCTCCCCAGGTGAGACTCATCCCCTTTAGCCCACCAGCCTTTATCCCTCCCAGGGACTGGTGCCCCCAACTCACTGCTAATCTCCTGTGTGCTTCTGATCTGCAGATTGTTGTGCCCTAATCCGCCGGTGCCTGGCCCCCAAACCCTCTGCCCGACCTTCACTGGAGGAGATCCTACTGGACCCCTGGATGCAGACACCAGCCGAGGATGCATCCCTCAACACTCCCAAAGAGGGTCCCACCCCTTTAGACTGGTCCCTACTGCCCTAGTGCTGGCTGGGGCTCCCATTAGTTGAAATAGTCATCCTGTGGCCATGCCACGGGGAAAGATGGTTATCTGTTGATCTGGTTTTACAGGTCTCTAAAAATCCAGTGTTAACTAGGGTCAGAGATTGGGGATCAGGGGTAAGAAGACATAACCCAAGTTTGCCCAGTTCCCATTCCAGTTCTTCTAAGGAGTCTTCTTTGTAGAACATATGCTCTCTTATTCTGGAGGGGCTCCTTCTTTGATTCTCGTTTTGCTAAGGTTGTTTATTTGGTTGAGGTTACTTATATTCTGAACCCCCAGGACTCTTATTCTGATGAGTAGTAACCCCTACACTGGCACCTCCTGCTACTACTACACAAACTTAGTTTCAATGCTCTGATTTGGGCAAGGGTGCTTTCCTTCGAATACCCCCAGTGGCTCTTATTTTAGCAAAGGGACCCTTTCCCCTAGCCCCGGGTCCCATAGTCAAGCTGCTTGCCTGCCTCAGCCCAGGGTTGTTTATTCTGGGGGAGGTAAGCCCTATTTTTGTCCCAGGGCTTTTTTTTTGGTGAGGGGACCCTACTCTGTTATCCCAAGTGCCCTTATTCTGGTGAGGAGAAACCCCACTTCATGGTTTGGGAGGGAATGGGAGATGGACACTACTAGAGTCCACTAGGTTGGGGTGGATGGTTTTTTGGGGGAATGGGGTGGGGGAAATAAGTCTTGTTTGTTCTCCTGGGGCCCCACCCTCCATCTTTTTCAGATTCTTGCTGCCTCCTTCTGAGCCAGGGTTGTCCAGTTGCTGAAATGTAAATACTTATTATTGGGGAAGGGGAGCTCCAACTGTTATCTTCCTCTTCCTTCTCCCCCTGCCTGGATTATTTAAAAAGCCATGTGTGGAAACCCACTATTTAATAAACGTAATAGAATCAAAAGTGACTGGCCATTTGTAGATGCAGTGAGGCATTCGTGGAGCATCTACTGAATGCTGAACCAAGAGGGAGATGGATTGGATTTCTCCTTTGTCTGCAGGAAGCCTCAGTCTTGTGGTACTATCCTGAAGATCTTTTATGGGTTCCTTTAAGGAGGATCACTTTCCAGGTGGTGCTAGGGGTAAAGAACCTGCCTGCCAATGCAGGAGATGTAAGAGATGTGGGTTGATCTCTGGGTTGGGAAGACCTCCTGGAGGAGGGCAGGACAATCCACTCTAGTATTCTTGCCATGGAGAATCCCATGGACAGAGGAACCTGGTGGGCTACAGTTCATAGGGTCACAAAGAGTTGGACGCAACTGAAGTGACCTAGCATGCAAGGAGGACCACAAAGAAAAACTTGATTTTCCCCTCAACTCATATGTAGCACCCAATATATGCAGAAGGGCTCCTCTGGAGATATTGTAGACATTGAAGACATCTGGAACACATTCTCAAGTCAATGGCCAGTTCAGAGGCAGAAAAAACCCCCTTCCCTCAACCCCAGGTGAGGAAATCCTTCTCCATGGGAGAAGAAAAGCCCTTTTTGGGCACTGGTGGGGGTGTGGTGGAGGTTGAGCACTGATAGGAATCCTCCTAGCCCTTGTTTTCTAATAATATCCAAGGTGTAGTCACCTGCTTTGCCCCAGCCTTTTCACCTCTCCCTTGTCTTCTTGCCTGCTCATCCCTCTAATCCTTAACTCTTGACTTAACTTGCCCTACCCTAATCTTGTCCTGACCTCAGCTGTACCCTCTATTGCCATGCTTTCAAAAGATGTGTGCTGTGTGCTAAGTTGCTTCAGTCGCGTCTGACTCTTTGCAACCCTATGGACTGTAGTCTGCAAGGCTCCTCTGTCCATGAGATTCTCCAGGCAAGAATACTGCAGTGGGTTGCCATGCTCTCCTCCAGCGGATCTTCCCGACCCAGGGACTGAACCCAAGTCTCAGGCTTCTTGCATTGGCAGGCACATTCTTGACCACGTGCCACCTGGGAAGCCCCTAGGGAATTACCTGGCGTCCAGTGGTTAGGGCTTGCTGCCTTCACTGCCTTGGCCAAGGTTCAGCCTCTGGTAGGGGAGCTAAGATCCTGGAAAGGCGCGGCCAAAAATAAAGCTAACCTGTAAGCCCCTCACCTCCTGGCTTACCTATCCCCTTCTCACTTATCCATTCTAAATGGTGACACAATTGTCTTCCCTTCTCAGTCTCAACTCCCTTGTGCCTTTTCACTAGCATATCCTCAACTGCCCTGCTTGCTTATCTGCCAGACCATCACCTGCCCCTGACCCCTCTCACTTCCCTTCCAGAGGCCTGCGGTCTCTCCAGAGGGCGCAGGGTGAGGGGGGGGCGGGGGGGGTGGGGGGGTGGGGAGCTCGCCAGAAGAAGGGAAAAGAACTTCAGGCCAACCGGGAAAGACCCAGGAGTTTTGATGCAGAAAGGGCGGTGCCATAAAGGGCGGTGGCAATAAAGAGCCAAGATAGGAGACGGAGAGCGGAGTCAATGAGACGAGGAGACAGAATGAGCTGGTGATATGGGAATACGAGGGCGGGATTAGTAACGGGAATGGGCCAAAGGTTCTGTAAAGACAGCGGGAAACTGAGCCGGCTATGTGCCCAGTCTCCGGATCCCGGTGGAATTTGGAAATTCTAAGGCCGCTTTTAAAACTAGCGGTCAAGACGGACGAGGAGAGCCAATGACGTGGTCGGCCTCTCGCTCGCCCCACCCCCACTGAGGAGGCCCGGAAGCGGAAATGACGAATGCGGAAGTGATTGGCTGTTGCCGAGGGGACGGGCCAGGCAGATGCCAACATGGCAGCTGTTGGGTCTGGTGGTTCCACCGCGACGGCCGGGCCAGGGGCTGTCTCCGCAGGGGCGTTGGAGCCTGGGGCCACGACTGCGGGTGAGACAGGTTGTGGCTGAACGGTCAGCGGCGCGCCGGAGGTCGGGATCTCTGGGGGATTAGAAAGATTCTTCACTAAGGCGAGAGGGAGCATCCCGTATGGACCGACCTATGTGTGTGTGGGGTAGAGGGGAGGAAGTGTGTTTTGGGGGCGGGGCAGAGACCATTCCTGGGAAGGTGTGGAGGTCCTTTCTGCAAATGGAGTGTAGAGACCATTCTGAGTTGGAGAAGGGTATTTCACTTTAAAGAGGCTAAGACCACTGAGACCATTCTCAGGGTGTGTGTTGGGGGGGTCCGTCCTTATACACGGGAGACACTTTTCTGAGAGCGGGAGAGTTTTTCCTCACAGAAGAGAGGGTAGTGGTTTCTTCCTTGTAAAGGGACAGGGGCTGTTGTGAGTTAGGGTGGGGCAGCTTCTCCCTTATAAGACTTACTGCATTTTGAAGATAGGGATGTCCATTATATGGGGAGAAGAACGTTCTGGTGGTCCCTTCCTAATGGAGGTAGTTCATTGTATATTGCAGTGAACAGACAGTTTTCCTTCTATGGCGGAGAAAGGACATTCCGAGGGTGCCAGGCCCGTCCTTATAGCGAGAAGAATTGATTGTGAGTGAGTAGGACAAGCGATAATTCCTTGGCTGGAGGTAGGGGTATGCAGTGGTGGAAGAATGATTGGTGTATAGGGAAATATTTCCTTATATTATTAAGGGACCCAGACCATTGTTAGTGGAGAAACCATTTACTCTATGGTGTTCAATCCTTTGGACAGTGGAAGAATAATTTCTTATATTTGTTAGACCATTCTGGGTCAGGGAGGAATCAGTCATCATAGGAGGGAGGGGTTGGAGAGCCCATTCTGAATGTGAGGGAATAGAATAATTTAGATAAAAGAAAGACAGTTCCTAAATCTTTGGCTTGTTCATCCATAAAGTGAGAATACTGATAGTTCCTTTGGAGATCAGAGCTGTGTAGGGGTCTGTTGAGGTGATCCATATAAATCCCTTATCCCAGTGATAGGCACCCAGTAACACTCAATAAATGTCAAGGAAGCAGTTGGTATTCTGCCCAGCGCAGGGTTGCTTCTCACCCAGGAGAGGAAGAGAGAGGGCTGAGGTGGGTGTCTAGGACCTGGCCCACCTATTTCCTGACACCTCAGCAAAGATTCCAGGTATAGGCTGGACAGGGTGAGGCCCACTTCTCACATTTTGGCTCTTCCTGCCAGTGGATGAAGCAGTGGAAGCTGGCATAGGGATCGGACCCGCATGGGTCAGAATAGGCAGGCAGAAGGAGGAAGTAGTGGTGGCTAGGAGGATCCTGCTTGATAAAGGAGAGGGGAGAGTGATGGTGTGGTTATGCCACAACAGCTTCTGATCCCTTCTTCCCCCTTGCTCCTTCCATTCCCCACAGCTCACCGGCGCCTCAAATACATATCCCTAGCCGTGCTGGTGGTCCAGAATGCTTCCCTCATCCTCAGCATCCGCTACGCCCGCACATTGCCTGGGGACCGCTTCTTTGCCACCACTGCTGTGGTCATGGCTGAAGTGCTCAAAGGTCTCACCTGCCTGCTGCTGCTCTTCGCACAGAAGAGGGGTATGAGCCAGGGAGAAGGGTCTCATTGGAGTCTGTGGAGGGTACTCTGTGTGTTTGTGTGTGTGTCTGAACCCACATGGAGGGTTTGTTGGGGGAGTATTTCTGTGTCTATGAAAATTCCTGGCAACTGTGGAAGTGCAGCTTGGCTGCCTTGTACCTCCAGCTATGAGTAGCTGCATCCACATTTTTATACCCCTAACTCCCCAGGTACTGGCCCATAAAACACTGAAGGAGGGAGATGGTCTGTCCCTATAAGGTAGCAGGTGACCCTTACATAATGGTTTATTGATTTCTCTTTAACCTTTCCTTATGGAGAATTTCAAATACAATATCAGAGAAAATGAGGAAATAATAAAATAACTATGTCCTGTCACACAAATTCAACAATTATCATCTCATGGCCACTCTGCAATTAAATAGATAATCATCAGTAATTATCCACTCACTACCAATCTATGTGTCTGTTTACCTAACCCCCACCATGTTATATTGAAATATGTTCCACATGAAGAGTTATTTTGAAATAAATTCCCTCTTACTATCTTGAGTAAATATTTTGGTACATTTAAAAAAATAACTGCAATATCTAGAAGTCATACATCAAAAATTTAATACTTTTTAAAGTTAACAAATAATCATATACCCAGTCAGTGTTCAAATTTGTAATGATTTCTCAAATATCATAAAAGTTTTAAAAACTGTTTGAATCAGGTTTATATAAAGTCAGTGCTTTGAAAAAAAAATAAAGTCAGTGCTTTGTAATTGGTTGGTGTCTTCTGGGTCTGCTATTTCTAGGTTTCCCTCTCAACTCTTTTTTTCTCTCTCTGCAGTTAATTTGTTGAAGAAACTAGGTCATTTGTCTTATAGACTTTGGGTAGCCTGAATTTTGCTGAGTGCCTCCCAGTGGTCACATTTCACATGTTCTTCTGTCCTGTGTGTTTCCTATAAGTTGTTGGATTTATTCACTAATTTAATCACCTCCCTAAAGGCCTTCTTCTTTAAAATGTTGCCCAATCATTTCTCTATAAAGGCCTCGAATGTGGCTCTGCCTTAGGTATTTACACTGAAGAAAACATTCTCACCCATTCATTAGCTCCAGGACACTGGGAGGCAACAGTTTAGGTACTCATCTCCTGTGTTCTTGATTGATTCTGAGAAGGTTTGAGTGAACACTATGTTAGACTCTGTTCTGGCTTGTGGAGGTAAACATGTTAGTGATGGAGACATACATCTTGCCCTCAGGGGGCTGGTATTTTAGACAGGGAGAAACAGCTACAGGTTAATCACAAGCTTTCATCTCTTATCTATGATTTCAGCCTGTCCCCCGCCCAATTTTTTTTTTTTTAGTTTTCTCATCTGGCATGAATGTGTCCATGAGTCACTGCAGAAATATGAATGTGCTTGATTATGGTGTGTAGCCCCACAAGTGTCGTGTGTGTTATGTGAAATATATAGCATGTATATCATGTTACCTTTCTAATACTTGGACATTTTTGAACACCCAAACCCCTGGGTGCAGGGGATTTGGGTAAGGGGTTAGAGACCAATAATTACTCCTGGGACTTAGTGCCATGAAGGGCAAGGACAGGGTTTTGTGAATGAACATCAGGAGTTCCTGCAATAACCATGTACAGTGGTTGTGGGGTTTTGTCTGAAGAAGGATACTCAGATGAGCCTTAAAAGATGAGCTGCAAAAAAGTGGGGTGAGATTTGTAAAGGTCTTCTTATATAGGAAAGTATTCTCATGAATTGACTGGAGCAGATCCCAGCCACACTTTCTGCTTCATAGTCAAGCCTGCATTCTTCCATTTGACAGGGGCAACTGCTTAATGTGTGGGAGGCTGACGGAAAGCAGCGGCCAAGTGGAAGATTGCCCCTGCTCTCAGGCGGGTGTCAGGCTAGGAAGGATCTAGGAAAAGTTTAAAAGCTCAGTCTCAAACAATCCCTCTTGGTAAACAGCCTTCCACCCACCGTCCTAGAGCATCTACTTCACAAGCTCCTAGTTAGTGATGATAGTTTCATTGCACACACTGCACTGAGGGCTTGCCCTGGGGCTTTGTGCCAGGAAGGTAGGCTCTAAGATGAGTGAGGAAATATGGTCTGTGGTTCCCAGACTGAGTATCCAAAAGGCTTGCTGGAGACGTTGTACTGTAGAGAAACTGTGAGCACAGACCTCATTCTAGCCCTCAGGAAGTCAGTGTGGTGGGGAGACACAGGACCAGGCCCACTCCTGTCCTTTAGAGGATCCCCATCTTTTGGTAGTCAGTGCTGAAAAGGGCTCTCTTCCCTCCATCTAGGTAACGTGAAGCACCTGGTTCTTTTCCTCCATGAGGCTGTCCTGGTGCAGTACATGGACACACTCAAGCTTGCAGTGCCCTCTCTCATCTATACCTTGCAGAATAACCTCCAATATGTTGCCATCTCCAACCTGCCAGCTGCCACTTTCCAGGTGAGCCCAAAGCCCAGCATGGCCCAAGAAGAACTGGCTGGGGTGGGGATATAGGATGTTGGGGAGGAAGTACTGCAAAGTGCAGGGGCTGTGTCTCCTGTGGAATGGCCTTGGCTCTTCCTCAACCTCAGTTTCCTCATCTGTGAGAAGTGGAAAAGAAAATGGTAATAGTAGCTACTCACTGGGATGCTGGAATGATTAAAAGAAATAATATCTGTGAAGAGCCCTTGGTTGGTGATAGATAAGCTTTAGGCTATTTACAGGTGGCCTCTTTAATTGGTTAAAGAGTCTGGATTCTGGCGCCAGGCTGCCTGGGTTCAAATCCCAGCACTGCTACTTTCCAGCTGTGTGATACTGGGCAAGTCACTTAAGCTCTCTCTCTCATCTTTAAATTGCACATTGCAATAGTACACTTCTTAGGTGAGGATTAAATGAATTCATATTAAGTGCTTAGACCCACACCTGGCACACACAGTAAGCTCTATGTAAATGTTTACTGATGTTATTTCATGATGGATACATTTGTATCAATATGTATTTATCAAGACCTCCCTCATCTGGATGTTTACAATTCATTGGTTACGTGCTGTGTGAGCTACTTCAAATATGTCAGTTGTATTTACAGATGATTATGTCAGGGCTCAGATTAGGCAAGTGCTTCGTCCCTTTTCACACAGCTGGGACACGGGGTTGGGATGTGGACTTGGTTGTGGCCCGGGGCATCCTTGCACAGCCATCCTCCAGTGTACTTTCTGGGAGGCACCTCAGAGCTGTGTAGTCGCATCCCAGTCAGTGGCCAGTGGCTGGATATCTTTGCTGTTTTTATGGTCATCTACTTACTCTACCCTGTCCCTCCATTGTGCCTGGGGGCCTACAGTGGGCGCCATCCCCCATGTGCACATGTTGGGGGTCAGGATCAGCCCTCAGTGCCTCCCACATGCCACTCGCAGGTGACGTACCAGCTGAAGATCCTGACCACAGCACTGTTCTCCGTGCTCATGCTGAACCGCAGCCTCTCCCGGCTGCAGTGGGCCTCCCTGCTGCTCCTCTTCACTGGCGTCGCCATTGTCCAGGCACAGCAAGCTGGCAGTGGGGGTCCGCGGCCACTGGATCAGAACCCTGGGGTGGGCCTCGCAGCTGTGGTGGCTTCCTGTCTCTCCTCAGGCTTTGCAGGTGTCTACTTTGAGAAGATCCTCAAAGGCAGCTCAGGCTCCGTGTGGCTGCGCAATTTGCAGCTGGGCCTCTTCGGCACAGCCCTGGGCCTGGTGGGGCTCTGGTGGACTGAGGGCACCGCTGTAGCCCGCCGTGGCTTCTTTTTTGGGTATACACCTGCTGTCTGGGGCGTGGTGCTCAACCAGGCCTTTGGTGGGCTCCTGGTGGCTGTTGTCGTCAAGTATGCTGACAATATCCTCAAGGGCTTTGCCACCTCCTTGTCCATTGTGCTGTCCACTGTTGCCTCCATCCGCCTCTTTGGCTTCCATGTGGACCCGTTGTTTGCCCTGGGCGCGGGGCTGGTCATCGGTGCCGTCTACCTCTACAGCCTGCCCCGAGGTGCAGCCAAAGCCATAGCTTCTGCCTCTGCCCCCACCTCCGGGCCCTGCACTCACCAGCAGCCTCCCGGGCAGCCACCGCCACCACAGCTGTCTTCCCACCATGGAGACCTCAGCACGGAGCCCTTTCTGCCAAAGTCAGTGCTGGTGAAGTGAGGGCTGGTGGCAGCGAGGGGGGGAGACAGGGAGGGACTCTGGGTGGAGGGTGTTGGGCATCTGCAGGATTCAAGTTGCCACTGGGGCCTGGCTCCTCTGGGGTTGGAAGGGTCTTTTCTTCCAGGTCACTGAAATTTCCGGAAGGGTGTGGGACTGGGGCAGGGCATCACATGAACCCTTCCGTGTAGCCAGGGGTTTTTAGAGCTGCCTCCTCTGCCCCAGTCTAACCCCTCAGCCAGAGGTGTCCTGTCTCTCAAGCCTGGGAGATTCCCAGCAATCCCTCCACCTTTGTAGGGACAAACTGGACAAAAATTCTTCAGCTCTTTAGTAGTGACTGATGCCTACCTGTGGGGTTCTGATTCCCAGAGCTCGAGGCCTTCTCTCCTCCCTGGCAACTACACTGGATCATGTTAGCAGCTCAGTCTTTTTGTGGCCTTGGGGCAGCTTCCCTGACACAGGGACTTGAAAAAGGGCCTTTTATGAGCACCTAGGGAGAGAGGAAGGGGGATGAGAGCTGAGATTTTTGCATCAGCCCACTCAGGGGGAGGGTGCAGTAGGAGCCATTGGTTTGTAAGTGGTTTGGGGGTTTGTGGTGTAATCAGATGAATGATCCAGGGTGTGGGAAAAAAAGAAGGGAGGTCCTTGAAGTGGCCTAGTCTCATGGAATCTAAGACACTGTTAAGTTGTTGGATGTAGGTTATTTTCTGAGACATCTGGAGAGGAAAATAAAGCTGCCAACCACAATTGTGATACCCCACTGGCTGTATGAGGCACCCTTACTTCATGTGGAAGGGTGTCTTTAAATTGCTGACATGTGGAACCTGCCCCCCTGCACTCCCCAAAGCTTATTAACCCTTAACTGTCTCCCAGGGTGTGTGGGGAGTATGTGTGTGCATCTGTTTGTGAGTGCGTGTGTGTGCTTGCACATGAGAGATGCCTGGGCTGTCTTTGCTATATGTACATAGGGCCATTGGATCTTTATTTTTGATTAATTTGTTCTGATTTTTTGGTTTGTTTTTTAAGGGACTGTAATGAACAAATGTCAGGATACCCAATGCCAAATAAAGATATTGTATTTATTTAGTCCATGTGTAGCTTTCTGACCCAGGGGACCTGCTCTCTCCGCGTGGGCTGTTACTAACCTTGGACTACCAGCCTCACTAGTCACCCTCGCTTGCTCAGGATGCCCACCTGCCAGCCCACCCCAGCTCTCTTGTGTTTTTCTTTCCTTCCTGTCCCCACCACAGGTTGCTCACCAAGGTGAAGGGCTCCTAGCCGCTGGGACTGAAGACGCTGGCCTGGCCTCACTCTCCCTTGTTGCCCTGGCCCAGCCAGGACCAAACTTTCTGATCAGTATTAGTGGTGGGGAGAGGTAGACACTGAATCCCCTGTCCCCACCACCCCCTCCCATGCAGGGCTGACATGACTAAATGAGGGCCCAGACAGGACCCAACCACCTCAGCCTCCAGCCCCTACCACCCCCATGTCCCTGCTATCCCTACAGTATTTCTTAGGTGAATTTTTGTAAATAAAACATGCTTTGCATCTTGCTGGTTTGGGTTGGGAAGTCTCAAAAGTGTGAGAGAGAGAAGGAAGCACTCAGGTCTCATCAGCATGATCCACTGAAAAGCTTTTATTAAAAACCCCGGGGGGGGTGGGGGGAAGTTCAGTCCTGCTGCTTGGTTCGGGAGGCCTCGGCATTGGCCCGAAGAACAGCCCCTGGGGAGGGGTAAGGGCGCTGCTGGAAGAGGGGCCCAGCTGCTGTCGTGTCTGCACCTGTCTTGGCCTCATTCCGCTTGGGGAGTCCCGTTGACCATGTGCCCCTGGGGAGTGACAGAGGGTCAGGGGTGGAAATGTCTATATATGTGTAATATGTCAGGCACCCTCGCCCCCAACAAAGCGGGCATGGAGATAGTGATGATAGAGATGAAGGGGGAAAGGAGATAGTGAGGAAGAAAGGAATGATCAGTGGTGCAGTGAGTCAAGGAAAAAGAAAGGGGTCTTGGATGGTTGCTTACCGAGGTGCATCTGAGTATGAGCTGGGGTCCATGGGGTCTAATTCTTCATCCTTCCGGCTTGCTGCTGTGGAAGTATGTAGCAGAGTGAGGTCTTCCACAGGGGCACAAGGAGTCCTGTGTCACCGAGCTCTTCCATCCCCAGAAGTGGAGCCTGTGGTTGCCAGGCCCCAGGCTCTGGCACTCACGAGAAGCCAAGTGAGGGTTTCCTTACACTGTGGGCTCCTGGTGCCTCCCCACCCCACCTCACCCCAGCTTACCCTTCTTGCTCTTGGGGTAGGGAGCCAGCTCCTCCCGGCGATGGTGGCGCCGTTCTTTGCTCTCTTCTCGGTCGGCCTTGTCATACCCGCGGTCCCGGTCCCGCTCTCTCTCTCTATCTACCTTGTCATAACCACGGTCCCGGTCCCTGTCAGACTTCTCATGGTTCCGCTCTGACTTCTCATGGCTGCGGTCTGACTTCTCATGACCTCGGTCTGATTTTTCGTGGCCACGGTCTGATTTCTCATGGCTCCGATCTAGCTTCTCCTCAGCATCTGGGGACACGAAAGCCTTGTGATCCTCCTCCCACCTCGGAACTCAGCAGCCTCGGCCTCCAACAGCCTCCCCTGCCTGGGCTGGGCCTTCTGGTCTTATCCGCCCCTCCTTGATCCACTAGAAGGCCCTGAGGCACCCTTGGATCTGCCAACTCACCTGCATTACTGCTCCTGAGCTTCTTGGCGGATTTGGTAACAACAGAGTTGGGGTCATGTGGGGAAAGCCAGGACACAAGATCTGTGTCCACATTCCAGTAGTAAGGAAGTCCGCTGTGAGGCAATGGAGGGTGGGGAAGAGAGGGAAGGAATGTCATAGATCTCTCCTTGTAGCCTCAACCCATCTCCCCCCAATCTCTGCCTATACCTGCCCCATTCCAGGACCCCACAGGGAAGAGCCCCGCCCCCAGATCTCTTCCCCAGTGGCCCCCATTTACCCCTACCCAGGGATAGCACAGGAAGGGTGAAGTCAGAAGTTAGCTATTCCTCCTCACCCCCATGTCGTCAGGCTCACCAGGAAGGGTCAAACACCTTGTACCAGCTTGGTGGCAGGCCCTCCAACCGGGTAGCCTCATAGTCCACAGGATCGTCGTCATAGTCCTCAGCAATGATCTCTTCCTCTGGTTCTGGCAGGACAAGGAAGGGAAGAGGACAGCAATAAGGACCAGGGAGATTCCCATCCTGCAATCAGGGCCTGGAGAGACACACTCACATTCACATGGGCTATGTGTGTGTGTGCGCACCAGGTCTCACATGCCAGAGCAAATACTGCTCATGTTCCAAATCCAAGTATCCGAATATCAGGATTTACCAAAAAATTTACTCAAATCTGTTCTGTTTACAGGTACTGCTACCCAAACTTATCTGGTTTCAGACTTTAGATACATTTTTAAAAAAAGTATCCATATTTATTCAGCTTCTGAGTTCAAATAGTATGTGACACTATACTATGCAAATTTGGATAAAATGAGTTTCAACAGCAAGGGGTTTACCTAAAAATACGTCCAAATCTATTCAGCTTCCAAGACTGGCAAATATGGGGTTCCTGACTCCTATATATTGACTAGCAAGTTTGGACAGCAAGGGATTTATCCAAATACTTCTCTGAATCTGTTAAGTTCCTGATGCCTGCAATAGTTGTCAGCTACTATCAACAGCATAAAGAATGGTGTATGAGTACTTGGACCTCAGTAGTCCTATCACAGATTTCACCCATGGATATAGTTAACAATGAAATGTATATGTCAGCAACAGCATAGTGCCTGTCACACAGTAGGGCCCAAATTGATGTCAGCTACAATCATTAGTATTGTTAGTAAGATACATACAGTTAGTACAGGGCCTGGTAGCAAACAGCCTTAAAATAAATATCATATCAATAAAATTATCAGTATTATTAATAACCAAAGATCTTTGTTTGGCACACAACAGGCTTGTAATAGATGTCGCTTATCAATAAAGTGAAAATAAGATGAGTTTTCTAGTACCTGGCACACCTTAGCCCAAAATAGATGCCAGCTTTTACTATTATTGATAAATAAGGTATAAATACTAGCAACAGCAGCACAGTAGGCCTAAATGATAGATCCTATCATTACTTTATATACTGTTAACCACATGTGTATGATAAGCACTTAAGTAGACTCAAAATACATGTCAACTATTTACATGGTGAACAATAAGATATGGACAACGCACACAGTGCCTAGTTCCACAGCAGATCTGAAATGTCATCTACTAGTATGGTACAGAACAAAGTATCAGCACCCTGCCGCCATACTTGGCCCACAGGAAGCTGCCATAGGTGTCAGCTTACTATTGCTATCCTTATTACACTTCCAGGAATTAACTGATGGGTTAAACTTTGGCTACAGAAGACCCCAAAATATGCATCAACTGTCAGTATTAAGGACGAAATGTCTATTCCCCCCCCCAAAAAAGAAATGTCTATTCCCCACCCCACCTCCCCTCCTCCTCATAGGACAGGAATAGGGGTCAGTAATACGTATTGTTAACAAGGAAATGCCTGCCGCCCCACTGCTTGGTGCACAATAGGCCCATGCTAGATATCAAGTGGCAGTATCCACAACAAAGTGCCTGTCAAGCCCGGCACATGGTAGGCCTCTCTTAGTTCTCTCACCGGGCTCCAAGTGTTTGAGGATGCCTCTCTTGGCCAAGCGGGTCTGCAACGCAACGGGCAGCGGCATAGCGGATGGCAAACAGGCCTAGGGAAGGACAGACAGACTGAAAAATAGCTCAGATGAGGACTGAATCTGGTTACAAGAGTAACCAAGTGCTTCCCCGCAGCATGTACTCAATCTGGACCCCCACCTACCCATCTACACTAGAAGGGAGACAGATCCTACCCGCTGAAAGGTGGAAGGGGTTGTAAATAGCAATATCACCAACACTCTCACCAACTCTGCTCTCCCAGGCCAGTGGCTCCAGCACCGGGTTCCCGTCCTAGGCCCAGGCTCCGCTCATCGCCCAAGGGGCCAAACGTGGCTCCCCCGCGACCCAAAATGGTTTCACCCAACGTCCCCCAAAGACTGCTGGGTGGGAGGAACCAAAGCGCTGGGATGGGGGAGCACAGTGTAACACTTCCTCCAGCTTCAAAAAATGCACCCACCCCAACATTACCAATGTAGTCACGCAAGTAGTGGACGACTGTCCAACTGGCCACCTCTCTCTCGTTGTCTCTATGACCGCCAGGACCACACGATTCTCTTTTCCCAAAGCACAGAGTGAGTTTCTCTCTCCCCGAGCTTAGAGGTAACTGGGCGATGCTCACTTAGTGAAAAGATGACGTAAACCTACCTACCCAATGAGAGTGCGCTTTGGTCTGAAGTCTGGCGAAACAACCGAACCGCTGCCCTGGGATAGGTGGAAAGCTCGAGCGCCTGTTTACGTTTCCAGTGGGGGTGTGGCCCGGAAGGGGTTTAGCGATACTGCGAGGCCGGACGCCGGCGCCATGGAGGAGTATGCTCGGGAACCTTGGTACAGCGAGGGGCACAGGTGTCGGGACTGTTGCCGCGGCGCCACGGCCAGGGGTGGGAGGCGGCTGGGGGAGGCACGGGCCACACAGCGCCACGTCTCAGACTCGGAAGACATTTAGACTTTTGTTGTCTTCTGCTCCTCTCCACTTGGTTTCTCTTACTCGGGTTCCGTTAAAAGGGGCCACAATCGTGTGCCTGCAGGAGAAGGTGCGGTGCAGGACGGACCACTCCATGTTTCCCTTGATTCCGTACCTCCTAGTCCCTCTGTCAAAGACACGCTGGTCGAATCCATTCCAGCCAGGGGGTGGTGCGGTCTTGAGCAGAAATCCCCTGGAAAAACGCATGGTTTTTCCCAGGTCTCTTTGGTTAATGGTGGCAGGACCTGGATGAGCCTCCAGGCCACGACCATGATTGTGGTCATGGAGGGGTGCTGGGTCCTCCGCACGGTGTGCGCTTGATTTTTCCCTGTTGTGCGAGGGTGACAAGGGAAGAGGGCGTGGCTTTGTTGGACGTGCTCATTGTCGGAAAAAGGGGTGCGACCCCATTCTGCTTTAGCAACAGTGCCAACAAAACCTGTAGCTTAATTCCTTGCCTCATCAGTTCATTTAATCTTCGATAGTAGTCAAGGAGTTGGTTGATTCCTTGGTTGGCTGTGAAGGGGAGGAGCGGACAGGGCCAAGACTGATGTTTTCCCCTCTTCGCATTATTTTTTGCTTAAATGAGGGGGGAAATAATCCCAGTATTATCTGAAGTGCTAGTTCTCATTTGGGTGACGTATTGCTCCCAGTTGGAAAGAGATCTTGTGGCATGAGGGAGTGCTCTCATTAACCTCATCCTCCCCTTCCTGCTTGCAGCCCATGGCGAATTGTGGATGATTGCGGTGGAGCCTTCACTATGGGTGTTATCGGCGGTGGAGTCTTCCAGGCCATTAAGGGCTTCCGCAATGCCCCTGTCGTGAGTCCTAGCCTTCCCTGGGTGCTGCTGAGGTCCTGCCCTGACCACATGGGATACTGTTCTGAAACTGCTTGGAACTGCCAGTCACGTGCACTTATTCATTCTGGTGTCTGCTTACCTACTGTGTGCCAGGCCTAGCTCCAGGATGGGAGTTTGGGGGAACTGCAAACATGACCTCTGACCCTCACCCTGCTGGAGCTCTTCGGAAATGCTGTGCTGTCAAAAGGGTCATAAAACCAAAACCTAATTGTGTGCAAAATCAGTCAGATTTTACCAAGAGTCAGATTCTGGGTGGGAAGCCTGGGAAAAGGGAAGTGACAGTTTAACTGGCAGGAGGAGGACAGCCTTAAAGTTGAGCAAATGCTTTTAATGTAACATAATCAATTCTGTCTGTCTGACAACACTCCCCTTTTCCCATCTTGAGAGATTTCATCAAATGTCATGACTTTAAATGCCATCCACTTGCCAAGATCTCTGCAATTTCTCTATCTAGCTCTGTACCTCCTCTCAACTCCTGGCACTCTCTTTCCTGAATCTTTGTCCATGTTTCTCCCTCTCATCCTCAAGGTCTCAGAACAAATCCCCCTTCCTTTAAGAGGCCTTTCCTGTCCTCTCAGCCACTGTCATAGCTCTTTATCTTGTTTCCTCTAGGGTCCTGAAGCTGCCTGAAGCTATCTTGTTTATCTGTATCCTTATTCAGGATCTGTCTCTCCCACTATAATGTGAGCTCTGAGAGGGTAGGGGCCAGGTATACCTTGTTCACTGCTGTATCCCTGCATATACCATGGCACCTGGCACATCGGTGCTAAGTACTGAATGAATGAATAACTTCCTGTCATAGCTCTGGGAGCACTTGTAGTGGGCCCTAGTTCTTGGCCACTTCTCCACATCTCTACCCTTGAGACTCTTAACAGGTTTCCTACCTCCATTCCTCTCTTAAAAACTAGAAACCTTATCTGCCAGTGTCCTGAACCCTGCTCTGACTCCCTTTCTCCTCACTTTCCCTCAGGGAATTCGGCACCGATTGAGAGGCAGTGTCAATGCTGTAAGGATCAGAGCCCCCCAGATTGGAGGTGAGAGGTTTGGGGAGACAGGTGTGATAACAGAGTTGGGGATGCTTGCTCCTTGGAGTCTTAGACTGCAAGTTGAGGGTCCAGATTCTAGCCCCAACTCTGCCTGGGGCTTCCTGGGGGGAGTGATATTTCTCAGCCGTTTCATACGGGTGAGCTCTGGAGTTTAAATCCAGGCCCTGGCTCTTGCCTGATGTCTGTATGACCTTGGGCTAGTGGCTGAACCTCTCTTAACCTCACCTGTAGCATGGGAATGATAAAAGTAGTAACCACCTCAATCAGTTTTGTAGTTTATGTAACTTACATAGTACTTACTAAGTGCTGGTTGCTTGCTAAGCACTTTGACAATATTAACTAATATAAATTTTCAGAAGTCAAGTAACATGCAGTGTGTAGATCAGGTCATGGCACATGGTAAGACTTCTGTAAATATTTTAACTATCATTGTTAACTGGCTCTCCTCACCCATTTCCTTCTCTCCGAAACTCAGGTCAGATTCCAATTCTATGTGGTAGTCAGGATGGTCAGAGTTGCTCTGTTAAAAGCCGTATAGACAGGAGTTCCCTGTTGGCCTAGTGGTTAGGATTCTGGGTTTTCATTGTTGTGACCTGGGTTCAGTCCCAGGTTGGGGAACTGAAATCTTGAAGGTCCCATGACAGGACCATAAAAAGCCACGTTGAAGCAGACAAATCTGCTTGTAACCATGTATCCGCTCCCTATGAAGGTGAAGGGAGTGCTGATGGGGATTATAAAGAGCTTGAAGGAGCTACCACAGGGACAGATGGAGATTGTCCTCTTGGAGTTTGCCATCTGTCTCTATGTCTGGTTATTCTCCCCAGTCTTTGCCACAGTATTCAGGCCCTGGGAGTCCCTGAGCCATGGTTTCTCAGCACTCCCCATGGGCACTGATTAGGCTTTGGTTCCCCCACAGGTAGCTTCGCTGTGTGGGGGGGCCTGTTTTCCACCATCGACTGTGGTCTGGTGCGGCTTCGGGGCAAGGAAGATCCCTGGAACTCCATCACCAGTGGCGCACTGACTGGGGCTGTGCTGGCTGCCCGCAGTGAGTACCCCAACCCCAGGCCCCAGCCTCTTCCACCCTGCTCTGCCTGTTCTCACAGCTCTCCACCCCCCCGCCCCCTTCTTTCTCCAGGTGGCCCATTGGCCATGGTGGGCTCGGCAATGATGGGGGGCATCCTATTGGCCCTCATCGAGGGTGTTGGCATCCTTCTCACTCGCTATACTGCCCAGCAGTTCCGCAATGGTGAGTACCCAGTGAAGCTGGTCAGGGAAAGGTGGGAAACGCTCTGTCTTGTCTACTCCAGTCACGTTTACCTGTTTATCTCCTCTCCAGCACCCCCGTTCCTGGAGGACCCTGGCCAGCTGCCCCCTAAGGAGGGTACCCCGGGCCCAGGCTACCCCAGCTATCAGCAGTACCACTGAGGAAGTGACCGCCTATCACCGCCACTGTGGGAGCTCCTCCTCGGTCCCCTCCCCGATGATCTACCTCGAAGGGAGGGCTGGCTCCCAGTTGGCCTATGGGACCCTTGAGAGGGCCTCTATCTGTTCTCTTATCCCAGGTTGGGGGTGGGGCACCCCAGCTGCCCTGATGGATGGGTCCCTTTTCTCTCAGGGCACCCCAACCCCCACTCACATATGTAACACGCTGTCACCCCAATCCCTTTGCATGGCGCTCTGATGAGTATTTAAAGCCAGTTTTGAAAATGCTTGTGTATGTACTCCTTAAGCCACCCCTAGGAGTTGCTCCCTAGGACAAGGGGCAGAGCCCTCTTCAGGGATGTGGGAACCATCACATTTGGAGTCACACAGAGAGTTGTCTCTAATAAAGGTTTGTGGATGAGTGAGTAGGAGGGGGTCTATGAATCAAGATGGGAATAGTATATGAATAAGGATGTGCGGGGGCCAAGTGGTGAATCACAAGCAGACAGAAGAGGAACGGGCTTAGAAAAGGAGTGAGCACAGGTTGCTGGGGTGGAGGGGGTGGTTCAGCATGTGGTACCTCTGAGCCCTCTCCTCTATGTCCCCATTGCCAAGGCTGAGAAATCTGACCTGATAATGAACAGTCTGCCTAGATAGCAGTCCGCACATTTGTGAAGATAATTCCCCCCTCCATGTGGCTTCATCAGGGACCTGGGATGGAAGTAGGGATCCAGGAGACCCAGCTTCCTTGAAGAAGGTACCTTTAGTTTCCTCTTCTGCACCACAGCCGTATTTGTGCTCTGCGATGCTCACTGTTGTCAGTATTTAAGAGTACCACAGAATAACCAGAAAATGAGTTTTCATTTGGGGGTGGGGTGGGGATTATGGGAAAAAGAACTTCCTGGATAGACATTGGCCCCAAACTGTCTCTTGTGTGCAGACACCTACATGTGTGGGGCAGACGCCTCCACTGGGGTTTAGATGGCCTCATGGGAGACACACAAACTGTCCCTTTTGTGCAAGCCATTGCACAGAGGTGTCAGTGCTCTCTCTCTCACACAAAGTCACTCCCTGGGGGTGCAAATGCTGAGTTCTCAGGCCTCCCAAGGCCTCAGCGAGGACCTAGTGATCCTTGATGGTGGTAGAACTGCAGCACTCCTTGATGGACTCAGTGCCAGGTATGGGCTGCCGGCCCTGTGCCTGTAGCTCTCAATGTCACAGCAGAGCCCTAGCCTTGAATTTAGAGATTCCGCCACCATGCCCCCCGCAGCAACACAGCTGCCGGTGTAGGACCCAGTCTCCAGCCAGACCCAGGGTATCTCGGTCTGCAGCCCTTGTGTTTATAGGCCACTTCCGTCGGTCCTGCCCATTTGGTGCACCTAGGCCTCACACTTCCTGACTTCCAGACCCCATTCCCCGCTGTTTCCAGACCCCACCCTGCTCCTGTCAAACAGGCACGCTCTAGCTCTTTTGAGCATTGTTCTCCTGTCAGCCCTCTGTAATGTCCACAGACGTCTCTAGGATCCTCCCGCTCTGGTCCACCCTCTCTCCCACCCAGGCCTCTTAGCCTCCTGCAGGCCTTCTGTGTATCAGCTCCAGCTCTTCTGAGGCCCTGCCCCTGCCGTGTCTCCCTCAGTACATTTCAGTTCAGTCATTCAAGTCATGTCCAACTCTTTGTGACCCCAGGCTTCCCTGTCTATCACCAGCTCCCGGAGCTTGCTCAAACTCATGTTCATTGAGTTGGTTATGCCATGCAAACATCTCGTCCTCTGCCGTCCCCTTCTTCTTTTGCCTTCAATCTTTCCCAGCATCAGGGTCTTTTCCAATGAGTCAGTTCTTGGCATCAGGTGGCCAGAGTATTAGAGCTTCACCTTCAGCATCAGTCCTTCCAATGAATATACAGGACTGATTTCCTTTAGGACTGACTAGTTTGATCTCCTTGTAGTCCAAGGGACTCTCGAGTTCTCCAACACCACAGTTCAAAAGCATCAATTCTTTGGCACTCAGCTTTCTTTATGGTCCACTTCTCACTTCTGTGCATGACTACTGGAAAAGCCACTGCTTTGACTAAGCAGACCTCTGTCGGCCAAGTAATGTGTCTGCTTTTTAATATGCTGTCTAGGTGGGTCGTAGCTTTTCTTCCAAGGAGGAAGCATCTAAATTTCATGGCCACAGTCACCATCTGCAGTGATTTTGGAGCCCAAGAAAATAAAGTCTCTAACTGTTTCTATTGTTTCTCCATCTGTCTGCTGTGAAGTAATGGGACCAGATGCCATGATCTTAGTTTTTTGAGTGTTGAGTTTTAAGCCAGCTTTTTCACTCTCCTTTTTCACTTTCATCAGGAGGCTCCTCACTTCATCTTTGCTTTCTGCCATAAGGGTGGTGTCATCTGCCTATCTGAGGTTATTGATATTTCTCCTGGCAATCTTGATTCCAGCTTGTGCTTCATCCAGCCTGGGATTTTGCATGATGTACTCTGCATATAAGTTTAATCAGAAAAAAAAGGAAAAGTTTAATCAGTGTGACAATATATAGCCTTGACGTACTCCTTTCCCAATTTGGAACCAGTCCATAGTTTCATGTCCAGTTCTAACTGTTGCTTCTTGACCTGCATACTTACTTCTCAGGAGGCACGTAAGGTGGTCTGGTATTCCCATCTCTTCCAAGAATTTTCAACAGTTGTGATCCACACAGGCAAAGGCTTTGGTGTAGTCAATAAACCAGAAGTAGATATTTTTCTGGAAATCTCTTGCTTTTTCTATGATGCAGTGGATGTTAGCAATTTGATCTCTGGTTCCTCTGCCTTTGGGCTTCCCTGGTGGCTCAGCTGGTAAAGAATCCACCTGCAATGCAGGAGACCTGGGTTCTATCCCTGGGTTGGGAAGATCCCCTGGAGAAGGGAAAGGTTACCCACTCTTAGTATTCTGGCCTGGAGAATTCCATGGACTATATAGTCCATGGGGTCTAAATCCAGCTTGAACATTTGGAAGTTCTCGGTTCACGTATTGTTAAAGCCTCACTTGGAGAATTTTGAGCATTACTTTGCTAGCATGTGAGATGAGTGCAATTGTGCAGTAGTTTGAACATTCTTTGGCATTACCCTTTGGGAATGGAATAAAAACTGACCTTTTCCAGTCCTGTGGCCATTGCTGAGCACTCCAAATTTGCTGGTGTATTGAGTGCAACACTAACAACATCATCTTCTAGGATTTGAAATAGCTCAACTGGAATTCCATCACCTCCACTAACTTTGTTCGTAGTGATGCTTCCTAAGGCCCGCTTGACTTCGCATTCCAGGATGTCTGGTTCTAGGTGAGTGATCACAGTACCATGGTACAGTACCACAGTACCATCTGGGTCATTAAGATCTTTTTTGTATAGCTCTTCTTTTTTTAATTAAATCAAATTTATATATTTTTTAATTTATTTATTTTAACTAGAGGCTAATTACTTTACAATATTGTAGTGGTTTTTGCCATACCTTGACATGAATCAGTCATGGGTGTACATGTATTCCCCATGCTGAACCCCCCTCCCACCTCCCTCCCCATCCTATCCCTCAGGGTCATCCCAGTGCACCAGCCCTGAGCACCCTGTCTCATGCATCAAACCTGAACTGGTGATCTGTTTCACACTTAATATACATGTTTCAATGCTATTCTCTCAAATCATCCCACCCTCGCCTTCTCCCACAGAGTCCAAAAGACTGTTATATGCATCTGTGTCTCTTTTGCTGTCTTGCACATAGGGTTATTGTTACCATCTTTCTAAATTCCATATATATATATATGTTAGTATACTGTATTGGTGTTTTTCTTTCTGACTTACTTCACTCTGTATAATAGGCTCCAGTTTCATCCATCTCATTAGAACTGATTCAAATGTGTTCTTTTTAATGGCTGATTAATTCCACTGTATATATGTACCATAGCTTTCTTATCCATTCGTCTGCTGATGGACATCTAGGTTGCTTCCATATCCTGGCTATTATAAACAGTACTGTGATGAACATTGGGGTGCACATGTCTCTTTCAGATCTGGTTTCCTCGGTGTGTATGCCCAGAAGTGGGATTGCTGGGTCATATGGCAGTTCTATTTCCAGTTTTTAAAGGAATCTCCACACTGTTCTCCATAGTGGCTGTACTAGTTTGCATTCCCACCAACAGTGTAAGAGGGTTCCCTTTTCTCCACACCCTCTCCAGCATTTATTGCTTGTAGATTTTTGGATAGCAGCGATTCTGACCAGCGTGAGCTGGTACCTCATTGTGGTTTTGATTTGCATTTCTCTGATAGTGAGTGATGTTGAGCATCTTATCATGTGTTTGTTAGCCATCTGTATGTCTTCTTTGGAGAAATATCTGTTTAGTTCTTTGGCCCGTTTTTTGATTGGGTCATTTATTTTTCTGGAATTGAGCTGCAGGAGTTACTTGTGTATTTTTGAGATTAATTCTTTGTCAGTTGCTTCATTTGCTATTATTTTCTCCTATTCTGAAGGCTGTCTTTTCACCTTGCTTATAGTTTCCTTTGTTGTGCAAAAGCTTTTAAGTTTAATTAGGTCCCATTTGTTTATTTTTGCTTTTATTCCCATTACTCTGGGAGGTGGGTCATAGAGGATCCTGCTGTGATTTATGTCAGAGAGTGTTTTGCTTATGTTTTCCTCTAGGAGTTTTATAGTTTCTGGCCTTACATTTAGATCTTTAATCCATTTTGAGTTTATTTTTGTGTATGATGTTAGAAAGTGTTCTAGTTTCATTCTTTTACAAGTGGTTGACCAGTTTTCCCAGCATCACTTGTTAAAGAGATTGTCTTTTCTCCATTGTATATTCTTGCCTCGTTTGTCAAAGATAAGGTGTCCATAGGTGCGTGGATTGATCTCTGGGCTTTCTGTTTTGTTCCATTGATCTATATTTCTGTCTTTGTGCCAGTACCATACTGTCTTGATGACTGTGGTTTTGTAGTATAGCCTGAAGTCAGGCAGGTTGATTCCTCCAGTTCCATTCTTC